CCGTATACCAGAAAGGAAGAGATCCGCTGAGTAATATGCCCGGGCTAACAATTCATGATGTCAGGAACCTTCATGCGAGGAGATCAGATACATGTATCTAAAGTGTCAACTAGAGCTGACTCGAACTCAAGCAATCCCCCTCACTTGTTGCTCGACATCAGGGTCTCAGCCTTTCCTAACTGAAACTAAAGAACACCAGCATGCCATGATCGTAGTCAAGGGGTTAAGTAGTCCATGGAGGGCATCGACCAGCAGACCAGGAAACGCCAAACCATAACATTTATGAACAGGTGTCGGCGGTTTCGGCCAAACTATCCAAGTACCTAGGCTAAGAATCGGGTCAGGGGAACAGCCCAGGGGAACAGCCAGGGGCCCAGGGGTGTTCATCGGAGTTGGCATATCCCAATGCTACCGTATCTAGAGGCACGGCCACGCCGGGCTAAGCACTATTTCGTAGAAGCTGTGGTGTAAGTGCTGGCTTAGATAGAGGGTAGTAATCAACATTGAATTTGACATCTGGTTTGACTAAGGTACCTTGATGTTCCTGGGGAGTCGACCCAGAGTTTCTCAGAATAACGATCAGTCCACGGACTTGGAATTTTTTGAAGGAGATGATTCATAGGGAGATAATTCATCGAACTCAAGCTAGAAACAGCGCTCGTCGCTTTATCGGTGCAAGTCTGCTCATGGTCCCGGCCAAACCCATGAAAGTGAAGGGCATTCAAGTTGCTAGATATTCAAGGGACATGGTGAACTGGACTCACAGATGAGAATGAGTATGAGGTATCTACAGGCTTGATTAGGTCCAGTCCTTGCTGCGGGCGAAGGCAAAGGGGACAATTTGAGGTTGACGGCGATCATGAGCTCGACTAGTAGATGTGGTTAGCACCACTTCTTCCAGTCCGCCATTCTCGTGTAAGCATCATGAATTTTCCACGCAATTCATGGGTCCTCATCTAGAGTGGGTTGATACTAAAGACTCTGGTCCAGAGTCACTACCTTACTAGGACCTACTTACAGAAAGGAAACCCAACTTACTGGTAGGGAGTTAACTGTCTCTAGATTTCTATTGTGACCCTGTGGAATACAACTGAGTTCCCATCAAAGATATCACAGGGTTTACTCACACAGACAGACGAATCCACGTCAACTGAGCCTTGCCCAGGGGGCAGAAACGGCGGGCCCAGCCGCCGAAATGGGGAGAGAGCTTTGTGTACCTACCTAAGACAAGCAGTTGTAATCTGCTCATTGCTGGTATTGAGGCTGCCAGTGTGCTGCTTCAAACCCTACTAGTATGGAATATTAACAAGCTGTTGATATATGACAGGAAGGCCTCAGCTGTCAGGTCTCGTAACCCAAGGACTCGAATCCTCCGTCGAGTTACGCAGGCAGTCATTGCCAGGCCAAGGCAGACCGCAACTTCAGCAGTGAACCATAACGAGACCTGTGCGAGGTTCGTTCTTTGTGCCTTGGCTCGTACACCTCAGAGGGTCAGATCAGGACGCGGATATCCGCCTTGGGCTGATACCATGGCATGAAGCAGGCCTGTCTTCACAACGTTATTTGACTGGAGCTGGTGGGAGGCAGCCGATCGAGAACAATTTCATGCTGTAAGGTCTGGGATAATGACCGACTCCCGACGGAGGGATACGTGTACGGTGTATATCAAATCATTTGCTTCGTTGGATATCATTGGTAGAGGTTGACCGACGAGTGAGCCCGACTGGTCAAGTGGCAGGCTGGAGTCACTGGACACGAATACTACATGTATCATGTATGCTAGCTGAGCAGCATGAAAGGAAACTCATTGGGCCAGGGTCTCTATAGACACACCCTGTTCAAGATCCAATCCTTTAGTTTCCATGTCAAACTCCTGTGATGAGCCCCCCGTAGGTAGGTAGGCCATGCGAATGATCCGTTCCGATCCCGACATGGAAAGGATTGCCGTTACGTCCCTATTACCGAACAGCTGGAGAGCCAGCCACCCGTCGTCGCCGGTCTTATTGTCGGCTCCCTCCTCTCATCTCCAATTAAGAATCTGGAAAACCATCATGGATGGCTGGGCGTACGCGTGTGCTGGCATGCCATGCGGGAATCGTCCAAGGGCTCATCTCGCATATGACGCGAGACCGGAGTGTGAGATCGATCTCGGGCCCTGACTGAGTCGAGCCTCTGCTCCAACGGTCTGCGTCCGTCCTACGTCTCGGATTGCCTGGAGGTTGGGGCGAGGCCACTGTTTGTTGGACCCTCTTAGTCGCAAGGCGTATCTCCATGGAGCACATGTCACATTGCCCTGAGCCGCACCTCTGGTGTCTAGTAGAGCTGACGTGATATTGCCACTCGAAAGTCCCAGCCCCTTGCCTGTTGATCGTCCACGTAGCTCGTCGTCTGGCCTCTCGTTCGTTCGATGCGGCTCTGAGGCAAGTCAGAGTTGCCTCTCTATTTGTTCTTTGGGTCAGTGTTGAGGCAGGTGTCCCAGTTGGATTAGAGAATGAGAGCCGCAGGCGCAGGAGCAGGAGCAGCGGGGCGCAGGCAGACTTTGAACTGCCAACCTATAGATCTACTCAGGTAATGGCGAGTCGAGAAGCAGAGGTACTATTATAGGTGCTGTACGCGTTGACCGGGGTTTACCGGCAGATACTAGTGTAAACCCGAGAAGCAGGATATTCGTTGATCTCTTACGCGTCTTGAGCTCCTACAGCCGGGATGCATACTAAGTACGCGAGTCTAGGCAAGGAATCACCGGTCTATACACTAGTGTACTTGTTCGAGGGAGGTCACGTTGAGATCTAGATCGAGTGGGGTGAACAGTGTCCGGGGTAGCGTTTACCCAGCAGCGAATCGAGTCAAGCAACGACCGTCCTAGGCGCTTCAGGCGAAAGCCCGCGTGGGAAACCTCTGGCTGGGTAGAAAATATCTCACCTGCTGGGCTTAGGCGACACATCAAGGCAACATGCTCCATGCTGTCTGCCCGAAAGTCCAGCTGGCCCGACCTTTCCGCGCTGATGCTCAGGGGCAGTGCCTCGGGCCGCAACTGCATTATGATCCTGAACAGTGGGTTCTGGTGATGAGTCGCACAAGCGAACGTATGGGTGCCTGTCTAGCCGCCGTATGCTGGTAATTTTCTCTTTTCATGCTTTTTCTTTCCTCACATTGCCCGGCCAGCGTGTCTGTTGAGTTGCCGTATCCTATCCATGCCCGTGATCCATCAAGTATGAGTGGCAGCTCACCTGGCATCACACCATGTCTCAGCGCGGGCTTAGCTCCAGCCAGCTGTGCGTTTATGACGAAATGAAGTGAAAACAGTGCGTCGCCAGCGAAAGCCAGAACCCTGCCCTGGTGATTGTCACGCCTCTGGTTGAGCGACGAGAGGTGCCGCTGTCTGCCCACTGAGGCGCATTTGACGATTGGGTTGGTCGAGGCCTGGCTGCAAAGTTCACCGCAGCTGAACGCCCAATTGAAGAGTCCAAGACAGAGTCAATACATACTGTACCTTACAGTATTAGAACGGGGATCGTTTATCGATGCCCTGAATGTCAGGAGAAGTTGTAGACAGAGTCGGGTTCATGTTTTCCCTACAGTACCTCGCACTGCGTAAGTACGCTGCAGTGCCACTGCAGTGAATGAAAAAAAAAAAAAACCCCCTCTTGTTGCTGCTGCGGGCCGTGACTTTGAGAAGGCGGGAATGGAAAGTTGCAGCCTCCAGGAGAGCAGAATCCCGCAAATTCTCGCGCAAATCGAGCAGGACCACGTTGGGCTGTAGTGATGTTGTGGCCCAACTGATGCCCAACGCCAGGCGCCTTTTTTATGTCTCTGTCCTCTGATTGGCTGTCCCACGCGCCAATGCCCCGCACCAGCACGGAACGCATGACACTGCTCGTGACTTCCGCCGGATGACCAGGGATACCAAGGCCAATTCCCAACGATCCTGCCGCCATGTCGTCGTCCAGACCCAGGGCAGGTGCACCCATCCACTTGAAGGGCAACTTCAGCGGAAGGTTCTTGCCCTGACCTGAAATTCTGAGGTGTAAAATGGCGCGTTGACGTTTTCCACGCACTTCCATTCCAGAACCGCCCTGAATTCCAGGATTCCAGGTTTGTTGACTTTGTTCTGTTTGGCGATTCCTTGGTTCACTGCCCCTGTCAATCGTCTCGGGCCGGCACAGGAGATCAACGAACACGATTTGCCGTTTGCTGGGCTTCATCGGCCCTGCCACTGGTGATTTGGCAATGGGGTGGCAATCGACATTGCAGCTCACAGCCGCTGTTTCCTGCTTAGCAAATGACTGCCCCTGGTGCGCGCCTCGGCAAGGAGCGTAGGTGGTGCAGTCACTGCAGTGTCTGCCCGACTCGTTTTCCTACAGCCCATCATCGCACATCTTGCCCCTGTTGTGGTTCCCCATCTCGGTTCCGGTCCGCCCTCCAAACAACTCTCTCTGCCCGACCCGATTCGACGTAGTCACCGTGTCCATGCCCAATGCCAGCCATCCAATTTTCCTCACGCACCTCGTCTGCTTACCGCATTCAGCACTTCGCGAGGCTGACTAGCCACATTCAGGGTGAGTCACGATATTCATGGCACCCAGGCCGGGTCGACCGGGTTGTACAATACTTGTACAACGATCGAGCAAACGAGATGCAAAGCCGCAGCTCGGCGGTGGGGGCTGCCATCTGCCGTCGCTCATAACCAACTTGTGCTGCACGTCCTAAGCCCACTTCGTCTTTCCCGCTTGCTTCCCCCTGAACCGCATCACAAGCTCCGCTGTCTGTCGTCCACGCTCAACAAGCACAATTCTCGTCCCCAGGGTTGAGAATTCCACACGCAATGCCCGTCCCTGATACAGCAACCTTCAAGCCAAACCACTACGACGATCCCATGACGACCTGAGCAATTTGACGACAGGATACGGGAAACCAAGCAGCATCCCGGAACACTTCACCGGCAGACTCTAATAAACATCATACAGCGGCCACAGCAAACGGAGCACAGAAAACACAACATGGAGCGGGAACGACAGTATATCCGCCCGAGGGCAGGGGGCACTGTGACGCCCGGCGCCGAAGCCCGGGCGGGCCGTCCCGCCGAGTGGCCCCAGTGGGAGCCGGGCCAGGAGCGTGACGATTCCCAGCATGAGCAGCCCCTCAAGTCGATAATGCGCAAGCCCGCAAGGCTGCTTTCGACACGGCCGCGGCGGAACTCGGACACCTCCGTCACTTCATCCAACATGCCTGCCATAGGGAGCGACTCGGAACCACGAGCACCTGTTCCCCTTCCCTCCGCCTCGGCAGGGACACTGCCTAGAAAGGTCCTCAAAGCAAAGTTCCCGGGGATTCCTGCGGAACGGCAAGGAGTTGTCAACCTACGGCCTTCTCGGTCCTCCTCCTCCAGCATTCCATCCAGCTATCATGTACCTCCAGTGCGCACCGTTCTTGCGCCCCAATACCTGGTTGATAACGGGCCCATGGACCGTCATGAGCCTTATGACCGCCGGGACCGTCACGACAGAAACGACTACCGCGATGAGACCGAGTCGGTTTCAGAATCATCGGAGCTCTCATCCTCCACTCAAGCCACCACCGTCATCTCGGCAACATCAGATTCAACTGCAACCGACATGACACCAACCGAGACCAACACCGTGACCAAGTCAGCCCCGTCTGTCCGCTTCACACCAAGCGTTATCGGCTCTGGCTCCAGTGTTGCCAGTTCAGTTCCTCCTAGCCGAAAAGTCAAGCCGCGGTTGGGCACCCGGGCAAGGCCACCTTCTGACGCGGACCGGACTGTTGCCAAAACTGGCGGTCGGACAGCTCCAGTCAAACTTCTTCCCCCCAGCGCCAACACACCCGAACCAAGGTACTCGGAGCTTGAGAAGGCACAGCAAGACATGGAGCGTCGACTGCTGCACACGATTGAGCAACTCGAGCACGAGAGGCAGGAGCTGCGTGAGAGCCAGGCCAAGCTGAACCGTGAGCTAGCGGAAAGCTCATCACGCCTCACGTCTCTCGGCCAAGAGAAGGCAGCTCTCGAAAAAGAACGCGACCTTGAGCGCCGCAGTAAGGAGAAGGTTCTCGGCATGCTTGAGGAACAAAAGGCCGTCTTCGACGAGTTCCGAAGCAACTTTGAACTGCAAAAGGTTATGCTCGACGACTTAGAAAAGGAGCGGGATGCGGAACGTTCCAGCAAAGCGGAGCTACAGACGAAGCTCGACAACACCCGGCAGGTTCTAGACGAGTTCAGGTCCACCTCTGACTTGCAAAAGACCATGATCCTAGAGGCTGAGAAGGAGCGTGACGAGATCAAGCTGTCTAGAGACAAGCTGGAGGATCAGTTCGCTCAACTCGAGAAGGACTTTCAGAAGCTTCAGGAGGACCGCAAAGAGCATGAGGATCTGCTCGCACAGCAGATTGCGGCACTGGAGATTGGCAGGGATGCCCTCAAAGACCAGCGCGACAACAAGGATAAGGAAATTGCGGAGATACTTGCGGATCGCGAGCGGCTAAACTCCGAGTTGGCGGCCCTAACAGCTCGGGTAGCCGCGTTTGACGATGAAATGTGCAAGCTGAAGGATATGGCCGAGGAGGAGAAGGCACAGATCCGGAATGAGGGCGAGGAGAGCCTTCAGGCATCCAAGAACCGTGTGGCGGAACTTGAGCAGGAAAAGGCCGAGTTAGAGAAAGCCAAGGAGGCCATCGGGCAAGAGAAGGCCGAAACCGACGCAAAGCTCGCAACTGCCGATGAGAACATTGCCAAGCTTAGTTCCCAGATTGCGGACTTGACATCCACTGCATCGGACCTTAACGCCAGGATAACAAGTTTGGAGGAGATGCTGTCTGCAGCCAAGGCGGAGGCGGACGACCTCAAAGCCCAAGTCGAATGTCTCGAATCTGACAAGGCCGGACTGCAGAAACAAGTTGAAGATCTCACCGCCGAGAAAGCCGACTTGGAAGCACAGGTGTACACCCTCAACACCGATCTAGAGGGCGCAAAAGCCGCCAATGTATCGCTTGCAAGCCAGAAACTTGATCTGGCAGGTGATATGGCAGGCATCCAGGGATCCCTTGACGCGGCCAAGGCTGAGATCGAGACCCTCCTCAATGAAAAGGCTGCCCTACAGGCTGAGGCGGACAAGGTTGCCGGCCTAGAAAGCGCCAAGGCCGAGCTTGCGGCGAAGATTGCGGAGCTCCAAGGGAAGACATCCGACCTCGAAGGCAAGCTTGCCGAGCTCCAAGGCGAGGCGGACAAGATTCCCGGCCTTGCTGGAGAGAAGGAAGCTGCTGATAGCAAGATTGCGGAGCTCGAAGCGAAGATCGCTGACCTTGATGGCAAGGCTGCCGGTCTCGAAGCAGACCTTGCCGAGGCACGAGCTGAAGCGGGCAAACTGCCTGCGCTTGAGGAAGCCAAAGCAGAACTCGAAGGCAAGGTATCTGAGCTGCAGGGCAAGATTGCTTTGCTGCAACTCGAGCTCGAGAAGGATCCAGACTCGGCCACGGCTGCCCTGAGGGCTGAGCTGGAGGCGAAGGGCCAGGAAATCGCACGGCGTATGGAGGAGATTACTGTGTTGACGGAGCGTAACACGGCGCTGTCAGCGCAGCTAGGCGCAACCAAGCAGCAACTCGACACGACTCAACAATCCCTTGACGAGACGACGCAATCCTACACGGGCCAAGTCATCGAGCTCCAGCAGCGCGTCGAGCAGCTCGCGTCGGCGTCGCGAAGGGCCAGCCGGTCTCGCACGTCTTCTCCGCAGAAGAAGGAGCGGGAGGGCGGCGGCAAGAAGGACAAGCAGTTGGTGGTGGTGCGGAACCCGGCCGACAGAGGGGCCCTGTCAGTCATGCTCCAAATCGCTGCCTCCATCTGAACTTGCACTTGTCAAGCCCCCCTGGTAGTAGGTGACTAACGGGGCTTGCATACCTTACAGGCAATTCGTGAGGAAACGCGACCTGAAGCGCAGCCCGAGCACGCGCACCTCGACGTCCTCCGTTGCTAGTATTGCCAGTGCCAGTGCCTCGCAGTCGGAATCGGACCGTGACGGTTGACTCTCGCGGATTATTTGACGTGCTGGCGTACGGTTCGATGCTTTTTAGGTCATGGAACCTCCACACTGGCCGCCGCGAACTTGGAAGAAGCGATTGCTCACCCCCAGCGCATGGGCTGGGTGACACTGGGTGGAAGGCGGGAGTACTGGGACTCTTCTCTATGAGACGGGAGGGTGTCAAAAGGAAAAGAAAAGTCTGGCGGATCTTGTGCTTCGGGTGGGCGCTGTTGTTCTGTTCTACTTTTTCCTTGCTCTGTTCCCCCACATGTCTCTTTTTCTGGTGTGATTTACCATGTGCCCGAAGCAATATTTTTTTTTTTTTTTGCTCTGTTCCCTCACATCCATGATGTCTCCAGTCTTTCCTGTGCAGTTCTACCCCCTGTTTCCTTACATCATAGATGTCTCTTTTCCTGGTCTGGTTTTATCCTGTCCCTGTCCCCGAAGCACATTGGCGCTGGATAGGAGCCCGCAAATCCCGTGTTTTGATATGCAGCCTTGTTTTGCTCCAGGCTCTGGTTGATGTGGTTTGGTTTACACAAAAGTTCTGGCTTTGGTGCATTGCGAGAGGATTGCAAAGGTTTGATGTTTTAAGCTGGCTGAGGATGGAATGGGATATCCTGGGCTCGGGTCATGTAACACACAGTCATGTAACGATTAGTATTTGGTTTCTTTTGTCATGTTCAGAGTTGTTTTGGTGCATGTTATAGACTTTGTTACTTTGTTAAGGTCACGGTGCATTTCAGCGTTGTGGTGACTTGGCTTGATGAGTTTATGTTCATGTTGACGAGTCATGATATGCACGAAGCACATGATGATGATGGGGATGGATCATGTGGGACATAGGTGAAGGGGCATATGCCGCTGGGCATTATAAGATTGTGCACAGACGGCAAGGGGAGGAATAGAGCCAGGCCGTCGTGGTTGGTGATGGTGATGGGAAGGGGGTTGGTAATGTCGAGTGAATGTAATCCGTCTCAAATTGGTACATGTATGTAGCAGTCGAAGAAGAAACGAAGGGTACCTACCTACCTTACGCTGTTGAATGGCAAGATGTTTACTTTCATCCATATGTTTCCTGGTTACCGTACCTTACCTTATGCTCTGTACCCAATGTGAGTAAGAGATGCAGCATGCCTTGGAAGGAGGAGGTGAAGCTGTAAGTCTGCTTGCTTGTACTTATCGGCATAGAAGCGGGCATTTCCACTGCTCCGGACCCTGGTCAGAAGTTTACTCAAGTGGCCGGACTTGAAGGATGGATGGAACATTTGACTCCCAGTAGCTCATTCCCTTGTGTGAGTTTCAACTTAAAGGTTCATAAGACGTCCACTTTTATGTTTCTCGATTGCTGTACCTTATGCTCTGACTCTGTGAGCATGAGAAGCAGCATGCCTCGTAAGTCTGTATTGCCATAGCAGCAGGTGCTGATTCATGATCTGGGCTCTGCTCAAACGGAGTGTTTCACTCGATAAGTGGCCGTATCTGAAAGATTGACTCGATGGAGCATGTGAGTAGCTCATCCCCTAATATGAGCTACAACTTGAAGCTAAAACTTGTATGAGGCAGATATATGAGTACATATCGGCAATGACACCGGCATGGAGGGTTTCGAAGACGGCGGCACTCAGTTAGGCTGTATGCCCGGCTTAAAAGTTTTGAACCTATCTAAACATTCACTGCATCATACCCAAGCTAAGGTAGGTATAGTGCCCGAATGAATTTGCCTTAACCTGTGCCAATGAATTGAAGGCTGGCAACATGAAGTAAACCTCGAAGTTTTGGTAGTCCGGGCTGGCCGGCAGTGTTCAGATCATCTCCGTCAACGTCAAGACTCGTGGCGGTCTGCAAGTGCAACCCTGCCGCTAACTTGATGTAGGCATGCTTATCCAGGTTATCCTGCACGTCATGCACCTCGGTGAGTTTTTGTCTTTTATTTTGGTGCCAGGTCCCCTGGTATTGACTCCGAGACCGGCAGGAATTAGATAGAGATTGATAGATTGGGCCCTGCCGGGACCCCCTGTTCCAAACCCAAGTCCCGACTGGCGGTCTACGGATGAGATAGTGGGTGTTGCCTGGCCTGGGATTGGGACTGGACGGGAAACTCAGATGGGCGGATGTTGTGTTACATACATTGTGTTGCGCCGTTGCACCGTTCCGCCTCACTCTCACCTTGCAGGACATGACATGACATGCAAGACACGTGGATGTGAGAATTTCCTCCCTTAGGTGAAATTCATGGTGGGCGGCTGGTTGGCGAGTGGTATTGATGAGTAAAGCGCTGAGTAAAGATGAACTTCATGCTGATATGACTGATGTATCATGAAGCTCCGCGGGCAATCACTGCAGTAATTATGGTGAGCGTCAGTCTCGACCACGGTGATGCGGCGGGGTTGACCTCGACCGCCGTCTTCTCCCGATTCTAACAACATCACAGGTGCACAAACTGACAGTAACATCAAGCTGAGCTGAGTACATGTACAGAGAAAACGCAAACGTCAGCTCACTGGCAGGCAACACAAGAAGAGATCATAAGGTACTCATCGAGGTAACAAATCCTCCAAGCCCGCTGCCTGGCGAAGGGTGCTGGTCCTGCACCCTCCGGATTCGTTCATCCCTCGGCCGTTTCATCTACATATCCCTCAGCTAAGGTAAAGCAACCTATCTAGACGGCGCCTGACCCATCATCCCACGTCTGTCTGTAAAACGCCTTGTGACCAGTTCCGGGGTATCACCGTGACCGATTGCTGCGCCCACCGTCTCCGTTACCGAATCGAATCCATGAATAGCCCGTCACTTCTGCTCCGAGCCATGCTCCCAAAACAGATCCACTTCCTTCCCATCCAACCACTTCTCCATCTCGGCATACATCCTGTCCCACAGCTCCCCGCTGGCTGTCGGAAGCACGCAGTCAATCTTATACCCGAGCCTGGCCTGTGCGGCACCAAGGTAGCGGTAGCCGACGGGGTACTTTGCGAGTTCCTCGGGAGAGAATTTCGGCGAGTGGCGCATGGGACAAGCGTTGACGGGCACGACCTTGTCCTTTTCGTAGAACAGCTTGACGTACTTGGTCTTCCACTCGCCGGTGGTGGGATTTTTCTCGCAGAAGAAGATGAAGCGGCAGTCGCAGTCAACGTCGAACTCAGTTGGAACTGGAACTTTGGTCTCGGTGCCATTGGTGCCGTTGGAAGTGGTGCCGTTCGTCTCGTCCCTGCAGTGGCCACCGCGAGCCCAGCGGAAGCGCTGGGTGATGGTGGCTTTCATTTTGCCGATGGCGCGGTTGCGGTCGGAGCTGAGCTCGACGAGGGTGCCGCACTCGCGGTGCATGATGAAGGCGCCGTTTTCTTTGCCCGCTTTGGAGATGGCGATGAAATCGTCGATGGAGCGGGGGCCGCTCCAGGCTGGAGGGAATGGGGGTTAGATGGAGTTCTTACTCATGTTAGATTCTGGGAAGAGATGAAGTATCTTACTCGTCCAAACAGTGGCATCGTCGGTAAACAGGGAACGAAAGTTCTTCCACTCGGATGCATCGCGATAGACGGGCCATCCCTTGCAAAGCTCCGACACGGCGAAGCGGTCGAGCAAAGCCTGAGTGCCGTCGTTGATGTGCGAATAGCACTTGGTGTGCGGGTCGAGCGGTGAAGTCATGGTAACAACCGGGTTGTGAGTCGTGAGTGAAGTGAGTGAAGGTGTAGTGAATGTTTTCCGACCTAAGATCAGGTAGCTGAAATGATGTTGTCGGGAGGTTCTGGCAGAAGGCAAGGCGGCTACTGAGGGCCTTTATATATGCCCAATCTTCGAGATTCGTTGACCTGTTTCTTGGTTACCACGCGTTCTCTCAGGGTTCAGATGAAATAGTGACCGAGACGGTGAAGGTTCACTTACCAGGACACAAGGGGATTCTTGTGCAGTGAAGGACTGGTGACGGTCAGCAAACCCGGCCGAGGTGGGATGAAAGCGAATTAAACATCGAAGACTCCTTGGGCGAGTCGACCCCTGAATCCCTGAATCCGTGACCCATCTTCACCCACAGGCACTTTTTCACGTCACCGCCGGTCTGAAAGCCGGAGTGAGAAGCCCAGGGGTCAAGCAAAGGCCCGCATGGTAATTACTGTTTATAGGCAAGGTACATGGACGGGAGGGGTGAGCAAACATGGCGGCAGTCTGTTTCACAGCCGGCGAGACTGGTCCGCGTGGCGCCCGGGGATGCTCGGAATGCGCCGCGATTGTCCTTTCTCTGGACGTGAAGACGGTCTAGAGGTCCTTAGCACAGATTTACAGTGGTTACTGGATTGGAGATATAACGAGTTGGCTGACAGAGACCCCAAACTCGGGAGCGAAGACGGGATACGGTGAGTGAGCCCGCCATGCCATTGGGCTGCGTTGACAGTTGAACACATGCAAGCCGAGCCAGGACCATGCAGCAGCGTGGTGGTGTAACTGACGCTAGTCCTGTAGGCACACACTACAGGCATAGCTAACTTGTTGAATGGTGCTGAGCTGCCAGGAGCTGGTCCATTCTTTCGATCTCGACACCGTTCGTGCTGTTGTGTCACGGCCCCGCCATATTGAGTAGGTAGGGATTGGCGTGTAAGAAACGTGGGAGAACAGAGGGGAGGCTGGTGACTATTGGGAAATACCCTTCAGGTTCATAGAGTCGTTCAATCTTCGCTCTTGAAGTCTTGATTGATTGACATCAGACCGCTCATGTCTGTGGCGTCAATGCGGTTGAACTCTTGTTGGAGTCGAGTGCAAGGATCGGAATCCACAATACATCCAAGGCTCACCTCAGATTGTACGCAACATCATGGAAAATGAGTAAGGCCAACGTCCGTTAGCCCCCACGATTTATGATCCTTTAATCATGGCATCCGTCCTTTTTATCAACGGCAAGAACCTGGAAGCAGCTGCCTGGAAGTTTGGTAAAAGTTTGGATCTTGGAAGCAGCGGGTTAGGGCTCTACCAAAGATTCGGTACTCCGTTTTCGGACCTGCTCCGTTGTGTGGCCTGTGCGCAATGCGCGACCGCCTTTGCGCTCAGGCTCTGCAGTGGCTGCTTGTGGCGCTGTTAAGAACCCGCCGGGCTGAGGTGGCCCGTGGGTTGAGACACCCCACTTGGGATTTCTTGTGCCAAGTGCCCACTGCATGTTGAGGACTTGAGGCATCTCACCTGTCCGGCTTCTGCCTCTGTGCCTGTTCTCTGGCAGCCATCGCCATACGCGGCTACGACGCTGCCCTGGGCCATCTGTGTCCTTCACCCCACGAGTCCGCACGTCACCTGCCGACCGCGCAACGAAACCCTCCGTGTCGCCGGTCATGTCCTCGTCCGACCGCATCAGACACATCGCATCGCTCGACGAGTTCAACTCGCTCCTCTCGTCGACGCGCTATGTAGTTGCCGATTTCTACGCCGACTGGTGTGGTCCATGCAAGGCAATCGCGCCCCATTTCCAGCAGTTCGCCGCCGCCTCGTCAATCGACGGCTTCCTCGCTTTCGCAAAGATCAACGTCGACAAGGCCCCCACGGTCGCACAAAAATACGGGGTCGCTGCCATGCCCACATTTCTCTTCTTCAAGGATGGAAAGCAGGTCGGCGTGAATGGCGCCGCTATGATACAGGGCGCGAACTTACCCAGCTTGAAGTTGGCTGTTGAAAAGATGAGCAGGCTGGCCAAGGAGAAGGCTGACGCCGCTGCTGCGGAGAGCGCGTAGAGGATGTGAGGAGACGAGAGATACCCATTAGCCCTTGAGCGGAACATACATTTCTACTACTCGGCCGCGATAATGTTGTTTTTCGTGGACTCGAGAACTTCGACTTCGAGCATGAAGCATGGCCTTGTCTGTCTGTGGCGAAATGGCGACGGGATGGAATACAAGGATTCTTGGCCACCGTACCTTATACGTGCCAGCGCGAGCCATATGATGTGCCATCAGTGCAAACCAGAATAGTCGATTTGAAGATGGCTTAGGTGGCTTGCTGCAAGTGCCTTCTAGAAAGCAGCTGGATCAAGAGCTGTCGGCCGGGTTGGACAGCTGTGATGTCATAGCCATCAGCATCACCTCCCGACGGCTGCTACCCTTCCCCTCAAAGACCCTTCACCCCCTCGACAGCAGTTTTTTCCGAAGACGTTTTGCTTTGCGTATTTACATCAATCGACTCGCGCACCGTGTTACCCATTCGCTTTCTTTTCTCACCTCCAAAAGTTACTGGGCGATACACACTTGGGACGTGCCTGGTGGCTGGGAGCTTGAGGACGATGCACAATGTCTGACACGCAGACAGAACGGACGAGCGACTCGACAGGAAGAGGCCGCACAGCAGCCAGAGGGAGAGACCGACAGGACACGGCTCAGACCACCGAGCCCAGTGGGCAGCTGGTGCGGCGACATACGGATAATCAAGGTGACCATCTCGCGAGACGTCAAGACCAGCCTGCGGCTCGGGCCCAGAGCCAGGCAGGCCGCAAAGGCGCCCCTGCCTTGAGACTGGATATGGATCTTGATGTGGATGTGCAGCTCAAGGCGAAGATAGAAGGGGACATTACTTTGAGCATTCTGTAAGTGATGATCTGCCTTGGAATTCGGTGACGAGATAAAGCGGCTAACGTGATGGTCAGGGACAGCGACCAGTACAACCAGCAGGGCGGTCAGCATGGTTGAACTAACACTGCAATGCTCACCTGAGTCTACGGCATGGAGTGGGCAAGTCAAGTTGAAGTTGGGTCGCGGGGCAAGTGCATCAGACGGAAGAAGTTCCTGCAGTTGTGGATGACTTGATGTTACGGCGTTCAGGTGTCTGGCACAATATCTTTTGGAATGCTTATGACCTCACCTAGTTTTTGCATTTCTCATTGCTATTTTATTTTGTTTTATTTCTTACTTTATTAGCTGTCAAAGGCGTCGAACTAGCTGGAGTGTCATACTCTTAGGAGGATTATGCCTGGTGTTCGGGTCATCCGGTCATGTGTGACACCTGACTGACCTGGACAAGCATCACGCAAGAGTCTCACGGGTGCGCACACTGCGCGTCCCGAGGTCGGTCGCATAGCAGCACAAGATATTTAAATAAATGATTGAGTCCTTTTTCTTGAAAAGAGTCTCAGTCGAGTATTCCTCAACTTACCTATTTTCTCGGTCGGAAACTGTCAGAGCAAGCCACCAAAGTCCAGTCAGAAAAAGGGGACAAGTCCACCGTAATGCCCACACACTCCCGCGACCGCAGGTCATCCGACACCCAGCACCGCGACTCGAAGCAACGACAAGAACTCTTGCGCCAAGTCGGCCGTGCAGCACTGGCATACTGCGTGCAAAGGATGAGCCATCAAGACGCACCCGACAGTGATCCCAGCCACAGAGATCGCCGAAGATCAAGCCGCAGCCAGAACCGAGACGCTTTCACTTCAGCCTCCGGTTCTGCGCGCCAAAGCGAAACCACCTGCGACCTGCCCCTACCACCGCCGGCGAGAGGCGACAGCGATTTGCACAACGTCCTAAGCCAGGTCGTGGCAGGCCTGTTTTCCCTTGGCCTCCGCCAGCTCATGCATCGCACGCGTGAAGCGCGACGCCGGCGCCGGCGGCAGCAGCAGCAGCAGCAAGCCCAGGCATCCTCGTCCTCCTCCGCGCGTGTGGACAACTCGAACTTGAACTCAGGGCAGCGCGGAGCCGGTGAGCAGGTTGACCCGGAGCTGTCCGTTGCTCTGGGCAGTGTCACGCGCGAGCTGCAGGCCGCGGCCGACTCGATCCGGCGTCTGGCGCATACTAGTACCTCGGGGCCGGGGGAGCTTCACCATCGGAATTGTGCGGTGCGGGCGGCGCTGGTTGCGGATGCGGATCGGTTGCTGAGGGTGTTGGAGGAGGTGCAGGCGGGGGTGAATAATATGAGGAATTTACATCCTGGGCTGCGGGCGAGGCCGGGTACGGGCCGGGGTGAAAGTCAGGGGCGGGGGCAAGGCCGGGGTTTCGACGGAGCGGGAGCGAGATCGGGCGGGCGGCGGGCGAGGGTGAGGGTGAGGGTGGCACAGCGTCCGAGTCAAGGTCAAAGACGTTACGGTTACGGTCGGGGAGGGACCGGCGGACTGACTGGAGAAGAGGCGGGGAGAAGAGGATATGGAGAGGGTGGGCAAGCTTCAAGTCACAGTTGGCAAAGCCGCCCCGGGCCAAGTCGCCATCACCCGAGCAGGGTCCAATTTGGAGGGATGCCAGTGCGGACTGGCTATCGGTAATGATGCTGCGGATTTGGCGTTGTTAGTCAATCACTCTCAGTTCGGACTGGGGTTAAGAAAGAGGATGCCTTTCATCCTACTGTACGTGCCGGGAATCCAATCAATCATCTGTCCAGGCCAGCCGCCGGACAGCGTGATCGATGGACCCAGTGGCAGCGCGTGTGGTGACCCGCTGAAGGAATTGCCCTGGCGATGCAACTCCGCTGAGATGCGTGTCTACGATAGGCGGAGAACCCTTTATCAAGTTAAATAAATACAGCGCTTTTCAACCAAGAAGCCCGCATGGCGCAGTGGTGGCGCGCATCACTAGTAGAGGTACTAGATCATGATGAGGTCGTCAGTTCGATTCTGGCTGTGGGCAAGTGAAAATATTTTTTGATGTTATTTTTCCCATGTCCACACTGGAAGCGAGTGGGTTCGAATCTGGCTGTGGACGTTTTGTTCTTACAGGGGAGATGCCAACATTCTTTTTGCGGTTCTGGTTGTTAGGGCTTGTGGAACAGGGGAACCACCAGGGATTAATATGGAGGAGGGTACTCGTTTCGAGTGACACCACTAACGTAGCACAGCTAAAAGGATGAGAATAACTGCTTCGTATAGCGGAAGCAGATCAGAATCGATCAAGTACCATGAGTATGATAATACAAGGCATTCATTCATATGTAATAAGTAGTACACGTCGAAACGCCGATTCCACGCCTTGCGCCCCTAGCATACCGTATACAATTTACGAGAAGTATCCAGGAACTGAACCTGAAGACCACAGCAGAACATCTTTACGGACGACCAGAATCCCCCGGCCATATCTACTGAGTAAACTAATACCAGCCACGGTATTCGCCAGTAACCTCAAACCTTCCTGTTCCAATCACCCACCACCCACAGCTTAAGCCTGAGCCTGCGCAGCGGCCGCACTCTCCGCCGAAGACCCCGACCCGCCCGAGCTCCGCGACCCCTTACTGTGGCGTCTCCGACTGCGCCGGCGGTAGATGCGGATCGACTCGCCGTAGCGGTAGAGGAAGTAGCACACGCCGGCCAGGAATGCGGCGAGGAGGATGCCGACTGTGACACCGATGGTGATGTTTTGGTCGCGCATTGTGTACCGTTTCCTGTGGCTGAGGGGAGTCCATGGCACTATGGGAGTTGCGGTTGCGGTTGCGGTTGTGGTGGCTACCAGATGGTGGGTGATGTCCCTGAGCCCATCTTCGTGAAGAGCCTGAAGGGTATTGACGGTGGTGGTGGTCCTGGTCGAGGGTGGGGACTGCCCGGGCCCAGGTGTCAGTGTTGGGATTGGGATTGGGGTGGCATGGGAATTGGGCGGCGGCGCGGGGGTTGAGTCAGGTTGTGCGCCAGGGGTGAACGGGGGACGTGGTATGAACATTAGAACATTAGGCGCCGTTCAGGCCGCCAAGCGCTGTTGCTCAAGTGCTGAGGGGTCCGGTTGTTCAGGTTTTGCTCTTCTAGCAACCGTCACAATCACGGGTCGGGAATTCGGGCAGCGTGCCTGGGTGGGGGACTTGGAGCAACGCGCGTGGTCATCGGAACACATGGAGCCTCCCAGTGATGGTGGAAGACGATGGTGACGGGGAATCCATCAGAGTGGACTCACCGAGCTTCTTTCGGAGGGTTGGGCGAGATTATCTAGAGGTTGCTACCGTTATGGATGGACTCGGATTCACCCAAAAAGGGGGTTGCAATCATGATTGCAGGGCGAGTAGACGCAGAGACCGTCGTCGACATTTCGCGTGTGCCGATGGAAAATGTATGGTTGACCAATTCGAGCCTGCATGCTTCGCTGCCAGGCCGGAAGGCAGGGCTGCAGACAAGCAGCAGCTGCTACCTTTAGCGTGGTCTCGGGACTTCTCACTGCCGTGTTTCCTATGAATGTCCTGCAGCGACATCAACCGGCTGCCGTTATCACTGGCTGAATCGAACCAATGCCTGAACGGAAACCGGCGGGGCTGGACCACTTGAAGAATCCTCTCCCAATCATCGCTGGGGACGGACTGAAGCCCGCCCTGATTCGGCTTTCTATTCCCGGATGACTGCTTGGGCAATACGGCCCTCGAGGTTGCGACCCGAGCGATTCCGTCTGCCCAACCATGGGGTGACGGATATGTGGAGTGCGGCAGGGCAGGATGCTGGCAATGGAGAGATTGCGGATACAGCCTGAGGAGATTAACGAAAGAAATCTGCCAGGCATGGAGGACATACAAGTGTCTTCCTTGACTTGGGCACTGTAAGCCTTAAGGGATGCGAAACCCGAGCACTGAAAGCCAGGACGCAGCGCGCTCGCACCAATTGGCTCGGCGACCGCTCCGAAACCTTGCAGGCGGGAAGGCGGGAGGAGCCAACTTGTCTCAATGCCCAGAGGTAGATGGCTTTTGGGTTTGACAACCCATCTGCACAATACCCTAATCACAAGGGCGGCTAAGGACACCCATTAGGCGACTTGGAGGTACCAAGCGAGACTGGTCACCCCTGAGTCGCGAAGCCCCAACTTTACCAATCGCACAATGACCCCTAGTAGTCCGGCTTGGACTGACCGGATAAGCTATGGGCTGTCTGGTTGCCTGGGGGATCCAGGGGTTGCGCAGCGTTAACGTGTCAATGAATCCGTGTGAAAATGTAGGGATCGAGACACCGCTATCCGCAAACCAACGGCTCGCAGCAGCCGAGCCAGTGATCGTTAACCGGAGCCAAGGAGTAAGGTACTCCCAGGCACCTCGCAGGTGCCAAGTTACCAGTCAAGACATCCAGCCGCCCTTGAGCTCGTTGGCGATGCTGCAGGGGACGGACCAAGAGCAGCTCCCTTCACACAATCAAGCACTTATCCCGCATCGCCTTGATCTCACGCAACCAACTGATCTTCGGCTCCCTTTCCGGCACGGCATCCCTCGCGGCCCAGAGATGCTGCAGCACCTGGATGGCCGTGCGGATATATCCCCACGGACACATCCAGGGGTTCTTCGCCCCCAGCGCCTGCATCCGGTCAAGACACCACTTTCGCAGCTGCAGATCATCTGTCTGCGCGCCGGCCATGAAGGTCGGCCACACGGTGCCCTTGACGAGCACATGCTCAATCGACACCATGGCCAGATGTTCAATCACCTCTTGCACCAACATCTCCGGCGAGAAATCACTAATAGTAACCTCCGGCACCGCGAGGAGAATATAAAGACACGCCGCCGCGCGATGCGCCGAGGCGAGACTCACGCGCACATCCAGATCATCGTCCGGCGCCAGCCCGCGGATGCCGTGCACCCACTGCGTGATACCAAACTCCCTCGCCTGCCGCAGCAGTGCCGCAGCGGCTTCAGCCCTAGCCTCGACAGCATCAATCCCGTACAAGCCACTAGCCGCCAGATTAATCTGCAGAATCTCCGGCGGACAGCAGTGGTAGCTGTAGGGCTCGGCGCGGCGCAGGATGGAAAACAACCCCCGGGCAGCCAGGTCCTGCTGCACCCAGGTTTCCGGGACCACCCCGCTGATGATTGACCCCAGCACGCAGTAGGTCAGACAATCAGCCGCGATGGCGTCGACCAGAGACACAAGCGACGGGGACAGTGCATTCAAGTTTGAACTCCCGGAGTGTAGGTTGGACATGAGCGCGATGGCGGCCTCCATGTGAGCCTGCCACCCGCCCTTGCCGGAATCGATCAGGTCGATGTTGATGAAGAAGACGGTCGCGGCGAGTAATACGGCGCGGGTTTGTGGTGGGGTTATGTCACGGTGGTCGGCAAGGGCGGAGCGGAGGAGGCGGATGGCTTTGTCCTTGGCGGCGAGGGCGTCGATTAACTCGGGCCGGGTGGGATGGTTTTGATAGGAGTTGAGCGCGGCGAGGTGCATGGCGCCTGTGGCGATGACGATGGCGGAGAGGAAGGAGAAGTTGCCGGCTAACGGGACGATGGTGCGGAAGGGGTTATGGTTGGGCTGGTCGACGGAGACGAGGTCGCGGCAGACGGTGGTTGTGACTGGGGGTGTTAGCAAGGCGACCTAAAATTTGGGGGAGTTGGGAATGATGGAGGGGTTAAGGTATGGCTACACACAGTGATGGACATAGTGTCTTGCTCTTCGACCGAGGCCGTTCAAGAAGGGATCGAGGAGGGCGCGATTGACGAAGGAAGGCGTTCCGTGTTCGGTAAGGACGCAAGCCGAGTTTCTCTCTCTAGCTACGTGCATCGGTGCAGCAAGCTTGCCGCGGACGGCGGGAGCATTGGCCCATCGCAGGACCGTGCCGTAGCCGAGACATTGCTCTCCCGAGGTGGAACATTTCCGACATGAGGGAACGGATCGGTCGCAACGGAGCCGGCGCCGGCGGCAATTGTAGCATGCCTTGGACTGTGCTTTTGGAGTGGAAGTTCCTGCCGGGACTCGGAGCGGACTCGGACCGGGCACCGGTATCGAGTTCCGGGTCATCTAGGCTTGCGACTCGTCGTTAGCGTTGTGTGTTTCATAGTGGACTGGACCACATGTAGTGCGCTCCGACAGTTCAAGATTCCCGAGAAGAGTGACGTTGTTCTTCGCCACTTCTGGAATCTTTTTCGAGATTTCGATCGATCCGCCCCGCGGAATGCTCGATCCGACCCACTGCACGGCTTTAAACCCAAAACGGAACCAAAATGGCATCAGGCGCATTAGCCCCCCGTTGACAAATGCTCCCGAAGTCGGTCGAAACAAGAGGGTGATTGTATGCCTTCTTGATAATCAGTAATCATATATTCTGAAAACAATTGAAACTAGGAACCTTTCTTTGACACAAAGATGCGGTGTACGCTATGTGCATTTGACTGCCGGGGGTATCGTGTACATCATGATGTGGATCCTTGACGGAGCAGGCTAATCCGTAACCGGCACCAAATCTTCACCTGGTGCATTCACCTTATTCACGGGCCAGGAAGGAGCAGTAGTGGTGACTAATTGTTTCCATCCTACGGAGCAACTCATCCAAAATTATGTCGACTTCAAAGTTTAGAAATACAGCTTTGACTCCGTACCCTTCTGGTACACTCCCACGACCGCCATGACTGGATTCACCGGCACAGCCATCATCACCCCCTTTTGGACCCCCTTCCCGCCATGAGTCGCCCCGACGTCGAAGACACAGACGAGAGCGCCCCGCCGCAATGCTCGACACCGCAGACCATCGACGCTCATGAACTGGAACGCCTCGGCCGCCAAAGGCCAGACGTCTTCCCCAACACATTTTACGAGGTCATGTTCTGCGGCTCGCTGCTCGTCTCGATGCTGATGGCCGTAAGAACTCCCCGCCCCTCCCCCTTACTACCCTTTCCCTATCCCCCCAACTAACCCCTCCACCTCACACCAAACAGGAATACTTCATCTCCGGCTTCAACATCATCCTCCCGGATGTAGCCCACGCCCTTTCGATCCCCAAAGGCTCTCAAACCTGGCCATCCTCCGTCTTCTCCCTCGTGACCGGCGCCTTCCTGCTCCCGCTCGGCCGCCTAGCCGACATCTACGGCGCCTACATCATTTTCAACGCCGGCCTGATCTGGTTCTCCCTGTGGGCGCTCATCTCCGGGTTCAGCACAAACTACCAGATGCTCATCGCCACGCGGGCCCTGGGCGGGTTGGGCGCCGCGGCGTACTTGCCTACGAGTATTATGTTACTGGGGAAGACGTACCGGCCCGGGCCGAGGAAGAATTTGGTCTTTGGGCTGTACAGTGCGTTTGCCCCTGTCGGGTTTTTTCTGGGGATTATTACCGGGGGTGCGACGACGCAGTTTTTGAGTTGGAGGTGGTATTTTTGGATTGGGTGTGTGGTGACGTTTGGGTTGTGTGTGAGTGCGTTGGTGACGGTGCCGAGGGATATGAAGACGACGAGGGAGGAGAGTAAGCATTTGGATGTGAGGATGGATTGGTGGGGGGTGGTGACAATCGTGCCGGGACTGATCTTGACGACGTTTGCGATTACGGATGGTGCCCACGCGCCTCAAGGGTGGAGGACGCCGTATATTATCGTTACGTTTGTGCTGGGGGTGTTGTTGTTGGCGGCGGCCGTCTATGTTGAGGGCTGGGTCGCCGAGCAGCCGCTGCTGCCGTTTGATCTGTTCAAGCCAAAGTATATGGGGCGTTTGACGGTTGCGCTGTTCTTTGCGTACGGGGTGTTTGGCATTTTTCTGTTTTATGCCAGTTTTCAGTAAGCCCCCTCCCTCCCCTCGTTGCACCACAGTGCAATGGCTCACATTCTTGCAGCATCAGCGACTACATGGGGGCTTCCTCCCTCCAAACGGCAGTCTGGTTCGCGCCCATGGCCGCCGGCGGCGTCATCCTCTCCACCGTCGGCGGCTTCACGCTGCACCTGCTCCCTGGCAGGATCTTGCTCATCATCTCCGGGCTCGGGAGTACTGCTTGCTGTCTCCTGTTTGCCCTAGCACCGAAAGATGCCATATACTGGGCCTATATTTTCCCGGCCATGGTTGGCGCCACCATTGGTGTCGACATCACCTTTGTCGTGAGCAATATCTTCATCACAACCAACATTGCCCGCCACCGCCAGGGCCTCTCTGGCGCCCTGATCAACAGCCTGCTGTTCCTCGGCATTGGCTTCTTCCTCGGTTTGGCAGATCTCGCTGTAGCGGAAGAGGAGAACAGGGGGTCCAGCGAGGGACACAGAGTCGCCTTTTGGCTTGGGACGGCAATGGCGGCGATTACGGCGGTCATCTTTACTACGATAAAGATTGGAAAGGCAGAGAGTGATCTGACGATAGATGAGCGCATGGCGCGAGCGCAGGTTGAGGAGCAGGAACGGAAGAGCATGCCGCAGCAGGTTTGAGACTCGATTACTCTTGAGGGCTTGAACTAATGATGAAGAGAAAATAGACTAAACACTGCTAGAGTCTTGGATAATACAACGTCTAGACATCACTGAATCATGATACTCTACAGCTCATCTCTCACCCGACCCTCCTCCATCTCCTTCTTGGCCTTCATCCGCTCTTCCTTCTTCATCCTGCGTTCATTCCTCTTGATCGCCCGGTGCATCTTCTCCCACATCAGACGAGCGCGCTTCCCGTCCTCTGTCTCTGTCACCGACATGGCCTCGATCTTGAATGTCATGGCCCGATGTCCATGGTCGCGTTCTGGCTTTGTGTGGTCGACCACCCAGGCCATAACCGAGTGGTCTGTCGCCTGGGGCTTGTATTTTGACAGATCCATGAGGTCGCCTGTTGACACCTTGATAAGTATTTACGGTTTGCGATGGGACCTGCCCTTGGGGTGAGAATGAATCTTACTCTCGCATTTGCTGCCCTTTGCCACCCACAGCGGCAGGATCTCATACACCGCACCAGCCGGAAACACCACAATCTTGTCCTTATCCGGAATGTCTGGGGTATGCTCCTGCGCCTCGACTGGTCTCTCTTGCATCTGCCCAGCAGCCTGCCCGTGTCCCTGCTCCTGCTGACTCGATGTCGGCTCAGCCGGAGCTGGATGGGGCGTCACCTTAGGCCTCACCGTCGTATATACCTTCTCCCCTTCCTTCTTCGGCTTCTCAAACACGGCAAACATCCACCTACTCCCATTCTTGTCACGCTCGTCCGTTTGCTGCTGCTGTGCCTCAATCCACTCCCTCACCGGCCCGGGCACATCCACGTACTCCATGACCACGATCTCCCTGTCGTTCCCCTTGTGGTCCACCCCGTCCCAGCTGCCCATGAAATCCCGCTTGCTGAGAAAGACCTCGATCGCGTCGTGCCACGGGGATAGACCGGTCGGGGGGTCCAGGGGGAGATCTTTGAGCTTATAGAGCTTGGCGTGGAAGGTGCCTTCTGCTCGACAGTTGACGTGGAACCCGCCGGGGTCGGTCCCGTCGTCTGGGAAGGGGCGCGACCATTTGAATGAGGGCACCACGCCGTACTCGAAGACGTCCCAGTTTATTCCGGCGAGGGTAAGGGGGGTGAAGGTTAAGGTGAGGAGGAGGGGAACATGGAGGTTCCGCATGGTTTTTACTTTTACCTTGGAGGAGGGGTGAATGGCGATGCAGCGGGCGCGGATGGGATGGCTTTGTCTCAAGTCAGAGGCTGGGAGATCGTACGGTCGTCATAATCTGTGAAGCCGCAGGCGGCTATTGATGGCATATCTTTGAGCAGGTTCTGAGGCCGGCCTTGATGGCTGGCCCAGGATATTTAGGTTTCCGGTGGTTGTTGGGCATGTGAGCGTCCTCCCGGCTATTACATCGGTTGCATTTCCGCCCCTTCCCCAGATCTCGGTACATGGCTGATACAGGCTAATTGCCGGACGACAGTCAGGCTGTCATTTGCCCGACCTCTTTCTGTCTAATCTATACTTTATTGCTATGCTGAAAACACGTGTCCAGTCTGCGAGGCAATGATCATGGATATGAGTCTGGGGCGCTGATCGTCCATACCTGGTCAACCACCAGCTGTGTGTTATCCTTCGAGAAGTTTCCATTATTGCAGGCTTAATATCGTTAGAGGTTGTCAATAGGTCGTGAATGCAAAAGCAAGGCATAATATATGTAATGGAAGGAAAGTGACAACAATAGACGTAGTTCTAAGTTTGTTGTCTGACTCGGCTCATGCTGACAATGATCAGAAGAGCTGTGTCAAATTCAATATGATCTACATCTTACTAGTACATCCATAATACTGCCATGGCATGGAGAAGAAGAGATTCTTTGTAGAAAGACACTCCTATCATGAAGGGGCCCTCCCAGCTACTTGTATACAACTCGCGCTACAGAAAACCATGAATATTAGCGCTCACGACTCAACTCACATCAACCTTAACTACATGTAGTCCCGGCGCTATTAGACCAACATACATACCTACTAATACAGTGGAAATCATACCATTCCTCCCCGTCTTGCGGGCCTCTAATTCGAGAGCCTTTCAAGACCCCAAGTATCACAGCGATGTACTCCAGTGATAAGCTACAGGGTGCATGGAGCTTGTATGGGACGGCAGGAGAAGTCGTTGTTCTCTTCAATATTACCAAGTTCAGGTCACGAAGAGCATTGTCTTGGGTCCAGCATCATCAGTTTCCACGGATCTTCAGCTTCGTGCCTCTTCGTTGATAAGCGGCAACTTTCATGTCGACCTGGATATGTGGGTGTTAACATGACCTAGAGTCACGATCATGAACGCTTGAAGAAAATGACCATGTTGCAAACACACTCTTTTGTGATGTGACAAATCTATCTTCCCCTGAACCAGAGCATATCCACTTGACAGCCCAGTACATGTATGAGTAGCCTGTGCATTGTGCCTCGCTCCAAAGGTCTACAAGAACGCCTCTAAGTTTTGATAGGTAGCCTGTAAGGTGCTGACTAGTGGGAATTGTTGTACCGATCTATGACATCCCATGCGTACCCCCGAGACTATGCATATAAGTTGAAACAGGAATGAAGGAAGCAATGGACCAGCTGGGCTGTTACGAAACCTATGTCAATGTGAATGGTGATGCTGCTAGTGATGATAGAGAACTTCCCCCCTCTGCTAACCTCACCTCAATATGAGGCCCTATAAACAAATTCAAACCAATACCACACCAGGCTTTTAGGTGTTTCGGTGAAAGCGGTGCCCTCACAGTTCACTCACTAGGTAGGTACCCTTACTTGCCGCTCCAACGAGATAGCAACTCGCCAGATGCCGGTATCTTTTACATATGCTTTAACCCGAGCCACCTAGCATACCTTCGCAGGACTAGAGAGATTTCCAATCCATCCGGCGGTCATACATTGCCAAGTACACAGCTACCAGCGGAGTGCTCTATTGGTTCTTCAAGACACCCTGATATAGCACTCCGGAGTATATCAGCTGTGCTGATGCAATGTATGCAGTAGGTAGCTCTAGAGAATCCTATTGCTTGGGCCAACAGTCAAAGAGGACAGTTCATAACGAGAGCTGGATGACGCAGGGTTTTCGAACATGGCTCTTCATGCCAGCATGCTTTTCAGTCTAGCCCCTCCTGTCGTTCATGTTCTCCACTCCGAGTCGGCATCTTTTAGCTTGATGTGATGAGGATCAAAGCATCCATGTCGTTCCCATCGCGGAGATCAAAATAAGGAGGTGCTGTGTGATACACGCTGCACGACCAAGGCCAATTTTAAACACCTTGACCAGGACCGAGAGGTGCAGGTCAGGGGAAGTAGGATGGACTCATCGTTGTGAGGACGAGCCATTGGAGGCGGCGAGGGTCCTGCGTGGCTATAGTCGGCGCTCCTATAGAGTATGGACTCCGGCTCCCCGGATGTCAGTGTAGTTATCTAATACATACATTCAGTTGAATGCCGGAGACGGGTCTCTATCCGTAGCAGATGTCGATCACAGCATGCGTCTGGTATCAGTGGGCCCGACCGTCGGTGATATGCCCAATCCTCGCAGGCCCACATCCGACCGCAGCACTTACACACAGTACACTAGGTAGGAAACGACTGCCCGGTCTTCACCTTGGTGCGGGGCAGCCGATGACGTGAAGCAGGGGTCTTCGTAAAGTGGGAGGCAGCTGGAGGCCGGGCTGCGAGTCGTTTCCGAGAGCTAGGGTCTATGTAGTGTGGACTAGAGAGGAAGAGATACGTTACAAGACGTAGCTTCTTAGGTTGGGGGGATGGTAAACGTGGGGCACCCCTAGCCCCTGACAGAAAGAAGGGCGCTGTAGGACGTAAACCCTATCATCTATGTCACTAAAGTTGCATGTTGAGAGAGAAGTGAAAATGTACCAAGTCACTCAACAGAGGATGTGAAGTAACAACACAGACTGACATTGTCGCAGTTGGTGGGGGGGTTCTTGTTTATCGAGAAGAATACTGAGGCAGAGGCTTGGTAGGTATCCATGTACGTGGAAGAACGAAGCGGGGTCTAACTGTCCCGATTACTTGTCCTGCGGTGCTGGACCAGGAGGGCCTCGTAGACAATGGCCTCGGAATTCCACTTGTAGACATAATGGAGCTTAGTAGAGCAGTGATATTACCTAACGCTTCTCTTTGACCTTGGCCGTCACCATGTATCATATACCAGTAGAACATGTCCAAATTCTGCTATGTACTACATAATGCTTTGATAACCTTCATGCCCCCCGCGGACCCTGGTCCCATCTCCCCGCTAGGTGACCTGGTTCGCTTGCCAGATGTACACCTTGAGGCAACATGGCAGGCCTTGCTGCAGTACGGTACTAGTAGTAGTTCGCCGCAGGACTGCTCTTGACCAGCTTCTGACAACATGAAAGCGGCCCGAGACATGCAGGTTTCGGGTAGGGATCATGTCCATGACAATTGGTCCCCGAACGCAATACCTACACGTGTATTGTTAATCCGCCCAACCCTTTGCGATTCCAAAATCCAATGCCATGTTGATGGGGATGCTGTACACAACATGTGGAGGTACGAACCGGCATGCCCCGCCTACATGTAGGCCAGTCGATGCATGTCTGGTCCTGAGGGAAACCACTGCGGGCTCGGTTAGTCACTGCTGCAGATTGTAGCAATACACTACCGTATACAGGCACTTATCGCGAGAGATACTCCATACAGCGGAGGGCATCGCTCAGAAGTGGGCCCCCGGGTCTGAAGGATCAGATGTACATATTTCGTACGTTACCACGGGAGTACTCCGTACTGAAGGCCGGGGATGTGAGCGGCTGCATGCGATTGCATGCGAGTGCGCTACACCAGACCTCCCATAGGCCCAAAGGTGTAAAGCATGGTGACATGGGGTCTACTCGGTTTTCTTGGGTGCCTACGTATCCGTACATAGGTGTACTTTGTGAGGAGAGATGAACGGTTGGTCTGACGGGACCCGATGGGCTGGTTTTCCTCAATCCATCCTAATGTACGAAGTAAGCTCAGCCACTCAGAGTCATCATGCGAATTGCGCGGAACAGTGCAACTGTTTAGTACAAATATACTATATACATACTGCTGCATCAATGGGCCAACGTGGACAGACCCGGCCTAGGATCGGCCTGGCGATCTCCGGCCGGCCGAGATGGCGTGTTCCTGTCCTTCAGGTTATGTTATGGAGTCCGAGTATAATGTATATAAGTACCAGTTCAACCTCGGTTGAAGACTATCAGGGTGGCAACACACAGTGGACCTCAATAGGGGGGCAAGTTTGCCAGGGGATGTTCAGTTTCTGACCTTGATATCCATTGTCGCTGGGTCTCCGGATATGGTGACAATGACCGGTTCCGAGAGCGAGGACCACACTCTGAACAATGAGGCGGTGAACATCTGCAAGCACAGAGATGCCAAGAAGCGAGATCAATTCCAAAGCCGGCCACCTGCTCTTGTTGTCAAAGGTAAGGTAAGGTAGTGTCGTGTATTCTGCAACTCGGCGGGTTGTCGGCGTGATATCCAAACCGCCGGGTTTCTCATGGAGAGGAGGAGCGGGGTTGTTGCAAGAGAACCGTCCGCCGTAGGGTGCCACGCATGCCACGCATGCCCATGCTAAGAGGCTGGTGAGGGGGGACCAGGGTTCGACAGACTAGTTCGGGATGGATCAGGCTCGGGGATGGATCAAAGACATGGATGCTTGCACCAACGCAACCAACGGCCTTGAGCCCCACAGATAATACATGACCCCTGGCACCTTAAACCTTCACTTATGAAAAGTCCCTAGAGAGGGTGCAGTAGACTATTGCCGGGGATGCACCTCTGACCAGAAAGGTGAGTGATATATTCTCGAAGCTGTTTGCGTAAGTTGACTTGGCCTCTAGCAGGTTGACAACTCTTTACCGTATTTGGGGAGGATACATGTAGATCTGAAGGGAGCTTCAACAGCAGGAAGCAGATAGGGGTAATGCAGGAAGCATAAGGTACCTACTGACTGAAATGATACATTGCCATCTTCATTGACCAATACTACTCTGGTCGCTACGCATATTGACGGCCGGCGTTTGAAGTAGGCCGTCATGTTACCGGTAGGCGGCTCTTGATTGCCAACAGCATACTCCGTAATGACTCGTGCGGGAACATTTACCTACGGATTGAATGTGGAGTGGCTGCAACGGGACCTTTCCGGCAACCCAGGCACAATCCTTCCCGAAGTCTACCCGCTAGCTACACGTGTGGTGAAATTTCGCCATTGATACTAGACCATGATAGTATGTAGTGAACTACAGTCCACTAATAAGATACACCAGGCTAGAACGTACGGGAGAATCACCGTGGGGAGAGACTGGGGTCATATTACAACCACATCATGATCAAAATTGCCATGATGCTGTTAGCTCCAGTCTGTAACAGAGACCTGATTTGCGAAATTGGCCAACCCATGCAGGGGAAGCAGAGTCCACCAGGCCAAGCCTATTGGGGGCTAACACCCCCATTAGAGCGGGAAAAACGTTCTGTATTGCGACAATTTGCTCAGTGGAATACTCTCCTATAACTCTGCTTTGCCGAACCTGTTTCGTCGACTCGCCGTTGGGAGGAGATCCAGATATGCTGTTGCAACCATGCCCCCACAACATCCCAGGTACCCTGGGACACCTGCCCTGTCCCCACGATAACAGACTTCTTCAAAGTTGGCCACTTCTGAACATACCGGAAGACCCCTCCTCCCCCCATCAGATCGAGTGGAGGTCAAGACACGGGCCGGTGGCCCAGGGATATATATAAAACCCCTTCTCAGCCTCAGCGCAGAGACCATTACTAGGTTCCCCCATGCACTCTTTCCGCCCGGTCAAGACTTGGCCGTCTTTTAAACCCCATCGATCTTCACACTTTCTTCTTCTTCCCGCACTGGCATAGCCAATGGCGCTTTCGGAGAAGCAACGGCCCCTCGGGGCCGGGGCCAACACAGACCCTGAAAACCAGACACTCCCCTCACCACCGCACAAACCCGTCCTGACCTCCGACCCTCGGTCGTGGGTGACGGGCGTGCCATTCTTGATCTGGCAATTCACCGAGAATGACTTCCCAACCTTCATCATCCCCAACTCAGCCTTTGGCATCTTTGGCGCCCTGGCCGGCTCGCGCCTGCTCGAGGGCCCTCCACCCACAGTCGAGGAGATCATGTGGCGCATCCCCATCGTCATCGGCTACAACTGGTACATGACCTTCATCTTTGACCTCGCCAACCAGCGCGGCGCCGACTCGGTGCAGGAGGACGCCGTCAACAAGCCCTGGCGGCCCATCCCCATGGGGTATGCCACCATGGACCATGCCCGCAAGCTGATCCTGGCCTTTATCCCGCTTGCCCTCGCCTGCAATTATGCCCTGGGGGTGTGGCATGAGGGTATCTGGATCATGGTGCTTATCTGGATGTACAACGATCTTCGCGGAGGGGATCATATGCTGCGCGACCCGCTGATTGCGGCGGGCTCGTTGGGATTTAATGGGGGCTCGCTTAAGCTTGCCGGCGGCCACGACCGCGCCATGACCAAGGAGGGCAAGATGTGGGTTGTCATGATCGCGCTGGTTATCCTGACCACGGGATACATCCAGGATCTCAAGGATCAGGTTGGCGACAAGCTGCGCAGCCGGAAGAGTGTCCCCATCCTGCTCGGCGACGGGCTTTGCCGCATCGTCATTGCCGGGTTTATCCTGTTCTGGGCCTTTGTGTGCGCCTCGTTCTTCCAGCTTAAGTGGTGGGCTTTTGCTCTACCGGTTGTACTCGGAGCCGGAATCGGGCTGAACGGGCTGCTGAGGCGGAATCGGGAGGCGGATTACGCGACGTGGAGGACTTGGTGTTTCTGGCTCATTGTCCTGTTTGCGCTGCCTGCGCTGTCGAGGTTTTAGATGGCAGGCGATGGCAGGCGATGGCTTTCCGGTGGACGGTATTCGTGTGCCCTTTTGTAGCACGTCCATAGACTCCCGAATGACTTTCTTTTGTTGATACCACACTCTAGTAGTTAGCACATGGCATGTAGTGAATTTTAGCCAAGATACCTCACCTACCACACCACACCAACCGGTACCTTGCCGAATGTGATGAAACCCGTGGACGCGTGAACTTGATCGCTCAGCTGTTGTGTAACCCCGAGCCATACACCACCTGACCGACGTCCAAGTTGCCAATACTTCAGCCTCCCCTCGACTTGACAGGTAACTTCTCATGCACTGGACGGCAGAAAGGCATCGGAGATTTGGGCATGTCGCCAATCAGGCGGCGCGTCGTCGCTCTTATCTAGGCCAGTTGCGCTCCATCTTGAGATCTGACAGAAACACGGCAGATGAAGGACGCGGAACCAGATTGCTTTGGAACAGGTAACGTCGAGTACGTGCAGAAGTAAGACCCAAGTCTGTGCGCTTCCCGCTGACGATGCTCGGCCCGCTCCGTCCCCCGCCTGAAGGAAGATCTCACGCGGAAGTTTTTAGTGGAGGTGGCTGCCTGAGGGTTGAGCCACAGACCATTTGCTACGGTAAGCTAACGTTATTGGGGATCGCTCAACGCCTGTCCCCACTTCTGGCTCAACGAAATCCGTGCGTTCCTGCCGCCTCCAATTGATGAGACGAGGAATTCTTTCTTGAACTTGTCAAATTTCTACTTCTATGTGAGGTTAACGTCGGGCAAGAACGACCGCATAAACAAGTTGGGTGGCAGTACACCTGTGTAACGTTGAGCGAATTTGAAGTCTTTCAAAACCAAGACTTCGATCGCTTGGAAAGGGGCCATCCGCAAAAATATACCCGGCTCTTTTACAGGGAACCCTCGGCAGCGCGTTCGCCACAACTCAGGCACCCTCGGCACCTTGAGGCCTGAATGGTGCGCTGTGCAGGGGACTCTGGCCCCTGAAGAGACGCTGTCAGGATTTCTGGCTTGGCGATGTCATGCAGCGCGGCGCAACCCCCTTGAGCTCCGCGATTGGCACAGGCGAATTCGACGATTGACCAACGGCAAACAAGAAACGTGGATTGAGAAACTGCCATGTCGTCGGCCGTTGATCCTTTTGCGCGACCGAGTGCAACGGCACTGTGGGGTGGCGCCGGATTACAGAGGTTACGCAGCCACTCTAGCAGCCACTTCATGTGAACTTCTTTGGCACGTGTAGTTTTGTGAGCAAATCAGGAACGGCAGTCGCCTCCCTCGAGTGCGACTGGCCGTCGGAATGGGCTACGAGCAAACAGCAGGACGGAAGGTGATTGGCTAATGGCTGTAATTGCCGAGTCTCAAAACGCCTTCCTTCTTTACACAGTCGAACACCAACAAAGGGATACATAAAAGAGGGAAAGACGATGGAAGGAAGCCACGGTTCACAGTCACAACCCAACCGCTGTCCTCATCAAGCGCCCACAGGAACACGGCCAAACCACCACGATGCGCTTCGAGCCTCTCCTTGCCGTGCTGCCCGCGCTGGGCGTCCAGGGCATCCGCATCATCCAATCCAACGACGACGGCTGGGCTGAGCAGTATGTCCGGACGTTCCACGATGCTCTGGTTGCATCTGGCCATGACGTAGTCCTGTCCGCACCCGCCGAGAACAAGTCGGGAACAAGTAAGACCCCCAAGAAACCAGCCTCATTCATATTGTACGAGAGCTAACATCACATGTCCAAGGCTCCCTGGACGTTGAGCCCAGCGCCCGGTCCAGCCCATGCCAATACGACAGCTGCTCCGCCGGCAGCGGGCCGATCGGCCGCAACGCCACCTCCCCGCGGCTGAACTGGGTCAACTCGTTCCCCGTGACGGCCATGCGGTACGGCATCGACACCATCGCGCCACCGTTCTGGAACGGCCAGGGCCCAGAGCTGGCCGTTTCGGGCCCCAATGTCGGCAGCAACCTGTTTCTGGCCGTGCAGTTCTCGGGCACGGTCGGCGCGGCCGCCTACGCTGCCAAGCAGGAGAAGATCCCGGCTATTGCATTCTCCGGCGCTTCGGAGGGTACTCTGGCGTGGAATACTTCCCCTGTGCCGCAGCGCAGTCTGGTGTATGCCCAGCTGGCCAACACGCTTACCAATGCGGTTATTGCGAGCGGCAAGCCCTATCTCCCGGAGGATGTGTTTCTGAATGTGAATTTTCCAAAGGTGGAGGGCAAGTGCACGCAGGCCAGCCAGTTTAAGTGGGTGCTTAGCAGGATTAATATTGGCCTTTTCTCGGAGAAGGATGTGGAGCATTGTGGGAGTGACAGGTTGCCGATGGAGAGCTCGGTTGTGGACACGGATGGGTGCTACATTTCGATCAGTGTCGGGGATGCGAATGATAAGACGACGGCGCCGGCGGAGAAGCAGGCTGTGGTGCTGAAGAAGCTGCAGAAAATGCTGACTTGCTTGCCGTGAGTGCAGGAGGTAGCGGGGTTAGGTTGGGGCTCTGTGTAGAAGGGATTTAATTCAAGTACATATGTTCGAGACAGGACGGATGATGCAACACTTGCACAGTACAGTCCCGTTCTGGTTGAGAAACCTCGTTCTCAACCGCATGATGAAACTGGGGCGTTACATGTGCAACGATGTAAGCAGCAAGGCAACCGATATACTACCTCAAGTCCGTGTCGGCTGCTGGCCGAACTCCCGGTGACGAAGCTCTTGTCGATGCACGTGCTGGGCCTGGCGTCGTCGATAATGAGAAAGGAAGGAAATGAAGAATACAAGGTATGTTCTAATTCAACTATCGGCTACCTCAAGCAGCTACTGATTTGGAATCCAGGAGAATTAGGTCAAGATACTTTATTTCGTTGTTTGGCGGTGAAGGAGGAACTTTGAGAAAATAAGGCGGTGGAAAGGCGGAATCAAACATCTCATATCTTCAAGCGAAAACTTGTGCACAACTTCGGGTTTCCCTTCTCAGCCCAAGCAGTTCTCGGCGTTCCAAGAGAACCAAGACCCTCGGCGCCTTCGGAGCAAATTCCTCGTGTCCTGATTCGCTCATGGGCTGCGGCCATCATCATGGGGGCGGTCAACACAGGCAGCGCTTGGACCCCACATCCGAGCGTGCGGTCTGACAACATGTTTTAATGTTTGATCATGACACGACGGGTTTCCCGGGTCTTGCGGGTTTGACAAGTCTTGCCTTACATAGATCCGTCCATCCAGACATGCGGAGCCAGAAAGGGCCGGGCCCTACACCCAAGGCCCCGCGACCTCTTCTCCCGGCCGCCCGGGATGAAGCTACGACAAATAATAACAACAACTCTCCAGGGGCAGGGGGTCCGCGGGGTCTGACTCGGAGCACATGGACGCTGCCGCCGCGGACCAAGTCGTACTCGACTGCTGCGTGCGAAACGTGCAGAAAGCGGAAAGCCAAGGTTAAGAGCATGCCTCCTTCAGCGAGTACATATATGGTAGAGGAATCCATGCTTACAGGTCAACTCATCTGTATAGTGCGATGCTACCCGGCCGGCTTGTGGCTACTGCGTCTCGGTTGGCACTAGTTGCGTGTATAATACGGGTTCTGCAAAAGAGACGCACGCTCAGGCTCTGAAGCGGAAGCTCTCGGAGCTCAACAACAGAGAGGCAACCTACCGGCAGATCTTTGACCACCTGCGGTCCCGTTCCGAGGCCGAATCGCGAGAGATTGTGAAACGGATTCGGTCGGGGGCGGATCCGGAATCCATCTTGCGGTATATAACCGAGGCCGACCTGCTTTTGCAACTTGCCGTGGTTCCAGAGACGAGATACCGTTACGTGTTCCCTATTATTCAGGAGATGCCTGCAGTCTTGAACCGCCCTGACAACCCCTATCTCAAATCTCCGATCTACGAGTGGGCTGTGAGCAGAGGCCCAAGCCCAGCTGCTCAGGGTCCCCAGTTACTACTACCAGGCGATACTACACGGTCATTGGAACCGCAAAGTCCGTACCTTAAGCCGATCCACGCTGCAGAGCTAGTCGACCCTGTACTCAGCTCGACGAAACCGTCAGACTGGACACGAGTCAGCTCAGATGACGGGCTGATGCGGGAGCTCCTGGCCTTGTACTTCTCGAGCGAGTATCAGTGGCTTCCTATATTCCAAAAGGACCATTTTCTCCAAGATATGGCCACTGGGCGGCACAACTTCTGCTCTCCCTTGCTCGTTAATGCAGTGCTTGCGCTTGCCAGTGTGAGTTATCTCCCCCGTTGCCTCTGGCATCGCAGTTTCGCTCAGACCTTGTCCAGATGAGCCACGATAAACTTCCCAACCGCTATGAATACTGGAACCCCTGGAACCTCTGCTACAAGTTCTTTGCTGAAGCAGAGCGGCTGTGGGAACTGGAGACGGCGAGCCGCCGGGTGCAACTCACGTCCATCCAAGCTGGTCTCCTTCTAGATCTCGTGCGCAGAATGCACGCCATGGAGGCACTCAAGCGCCCGTACAGTTACATGGAGCAGGCAGTCGAGATGGCCAAGAAAATCAGGTTGTTCGATTCCGACAGTGATACTATGAGTGCGAAGGCGGATGTGAAAACCACCAGGGCCAGACAGTTCTCGGCGTGGGGGGTTTTCAACTACCAGAGGTAAGATTGATCTTTCATGGCTCGAGCCAGTACTAGCTAGTACTACGTGCCGTCGTGGCTAACCACCTACGCCTCGTCAGTATTTGCGCCTACGTCAGCTTTGGGCTGCCTCTACTCCCAGAGCTTCCAAACCTCCCGTTGCCCCCCGACCCATCGCTCGATCCTGAATGGTACGGGCAAACCTGGCTGAGGTATCCCTTGGACGGGAAGCTCTACACGACGAATTTTCCGCATTACTTCCGGGCTCTAACCGAGATGCGGATAATAATGAACGACATGTGTATCCAGCTCTTCGGCAGCGCCGACTCGACAGCAGAATATCTTTCGAAGGCCAATGAGTTCTGCTCGCGGCTCAGGAATTGGTACACCAACCTGCCGGAACCGCTAAGACCCGAGAACCTCGTGTTTCCATCGCACATGCTACTACAGTACGTTCACAGCAGCTCCCCTCAATCCCTTCTCACAAGCTAGTATTGTACATCATGATGTACTGACAACTGAACCCAGCGCAAACTATCAAACAATCCTCATCAACCTCTACGAATCCCTCTGCACCGCAGAATCGCCCCAACTTGAAACCCATCTCCCTCAAAGTCAAACCAACAACCCCTCCAAGGACTCGCCATGGGAAATCCGAACCACCGCCATGCGAAACCTCGAAACCGTCCTCCGACTCTACTACCTCCGCCACGGCTTCGTCCGCGGCGACAGCTTCCTCGGCCACCCCCTGAACCTCCTGGCGTTGACCTCCCTCCGTCAACTCCTCAACACCACCACCACCACCTCCTCCTCCTTCCCATCCAACCCAGATCTAGCAACAACCCGCGCCACGCTAATCCTCGCTGCCAAAGGCATCTATGACCAGGGCCGGAACTATTTCATCAACCATGCCGTGCTGCGGCTGATCAAGCAGAAGATGGGCGGGGTTGAAAGGGAGATGTTGGGGAGGGTGATTGGGGAGAGTGCACGTGAGGAGGAGGGTGGGCATGGGCATGGGGGCGTGTGGGATGTGGATAACCCCGGGGAGGAAGAGGTGTTGAGAAAGGTGAGGAGTAAGGTGTTGCCGTTGGCGGTTGGGTTTGGGGAGGATCCGGAGGTGAATCGGTTGGAGTATTTGATTGAGAGAGATTTGAAGTTACTTAATTTGGAGGGGGATCACGGGGGTGGGGAGGAGGAGACTTGGAGGGAGGGGGGTGGGGATGGGGATGGGCATAGAGGTAGAGATGGGGAAGTTGATGGGTGTGTAGACGGCACAGGGGAAGGGAATTAGAACTGGCGTATCAATGAACCAGCTGCCGCTACTACTCCTAATGGTACTGTTACCAGTGAGAGTGGCAATGTACGGGAATGTTGTTGTTGGCTGTTGCACACATTTGAAGGTTTGGACATGTGTTGTGACCGGGAGCTGAGGTCAGTTGTGAAAAGGGTGGATGACCCGGCTCCCATGGGTTCTGCTATCAATGGCATCCCCTTCCGCCCCTGCAGGTCTAAGACATCAGCTATGTATGCGGGTAGACGTTTCGAACTCTCCGTCTCAGGTGTTCCAGATAGCATCGAATCGATGAGCAGTCGTAGTAGTAGCTTTATCCGCAGCACACGGTGGCCTCCTTGGCGGCGCTTGTCTGTACTCCCCTGTTGTCCTGCGTCAGAACTGGTCTGTGACTCGACGGCGTTCTACCTACCCTCCAATCGGCTCCCAGTGGAATATGAAGCTCCCGATGTAAGCACCGATGAAGATGCAAATGATGATGTATCCGTTGTAGTACATGGCAAGTCTGTCCAAGTCAGCAACTTCATTCCTGCCAGGCAGTCTCCCCGGAGATGACACCTACAGCATCACAAAGTAGGCAACCGCAAACTGCAGCATATGCAGCAATGCCCGGACAGCCTGCTCTGCTATCGTGGGTCGATATCCATACCCGCCTGGGACCGAGACGAAACAGGCAGGGGTTGGGCTGGCCTCGTCAGCCACGTTCTTGGACGCAGTCAATGTTGCCATGGGCGTGATCTGGGAATTGAGATGTTTCTTGGCCAGGAACCGATCGTATTCCTTGACGGCACGGCGTAGCATTTCGAGTGAGATGACCAGAAGGATGACCCCAATACAGGAGCCGGCGAATACAGATGTTGAGGTGATTTTCCAGGACGAGGCTAGGAAACACGAGCCGACGGTGTTCCAGTTCCAGAGCATCTGACTCAATATTAGATGCGCCGATGTGTTTTGAGAGGGGAGGGGGGGGGGGGGGGGGGGGGGGGGGGTGGGGGGGGGGGGGGGGGGGGGGGATGGGATGGACTTACCGAAATCTGGCAACCATTCCCGCCTCCCATGCCTCCGTGATCCATGCCTCCGTGGTCCATGCTTCCGTGATCGTGGTCCATTTGGGGTGACGAACAGCTGCCTTGTACGATTAGATATCCAAGCCGAATGACGAGGCAGACAGGTTTAGGCCTGATGCTGGGCGGAAAGTCTGAGGGGTGCGAGAAGGGAAAAGCTGCAGGAATGTCGTTTTCTGTTGGATTCAGGCCGCATATTAAAAAATTTCGAGAGCCCTGGTAGTTGACGCCCAGAGTCCCACAACAGCTGCCTCACTTGAGCCCTGCCATATCAATGTGGAAGGCGCAATGGAGATGCCTGCGGGGTTCCTGACAATCAGCATCAGCCCATGCTGACCTTTGCGTCGATTCAGTTCCAGGTTGTTTTGATATTTCAGCAAGAGCCAGTTGCGTGCATTTGAGCAGGTTGGGACGGCGCAGGAACGCTAGACCCTGGAATGCAACAGCATCTGGTGACCACTGGGCACCTCCTTCCTTCTGGCTCACTGGATCCCGAGGACCCCTGAACTCTGGTACTGTTCGCTTGGTACCACAAGCTGCCTTCCAGAGGCAATCCATACGGAACATCGATACTAAGACAGGAATCCATTCTCGTACTATATTGGAAGGCAGATCCTGCAGTTCTGGATCCAACATCACACTACTGCTGCCCTGACCATCCCGGGCGGCCATTTTCGCACAAACTCACGTTCAGACCCGACTCATGAAGCTCTCGCCGACTCCTGGACAAACTACATGTTTAGCCAACGCGGAGCGTTGAGGATGAAACCCATCAACGATCCAGATATCAGGGCTGCCGACGGGAGAGTAATGAACCAGCCCATGTAGATCCAGGCAACCATACGCCAATTGATGGTCCGCCAGTCGCCATTGCACAATCCCACCCCGACAGTCGCTCCTGTTATACACTGCGTTGTTGAGACGGGCAGTGCTAGACATGCACAGTCAGCATTTCGTGTGTGGCTCAAAAGGGGGGGTTTCGCGGTCAAGGTCAACACTTACACAATCTCGTCGCCATGATGATGGTGATGGTACTCCCGAGCTCCATAGAAAAGCCACGCGAAGGAGAATGCAGCGTGATCTTGTTGCCAAGGTTGCGCATGATGTTGTAGCCGTAAGTCCACAGGCCGATAACGATGCCGGAACCGCCGAAGATACTGACACCGTCAGTGACACGCAGATACAGCCCTACAGTAGCGGGGTGACCTTACAGAATCCACGTTGGCACTTCGGCTTCGTCATTGATGGGGAGTCTGCCGTCCCTCCAGATCTGGAAGATCGTGGCGTAGGGCCCGATGGCACTGTCTCGGTGTCAACAGCCCGGATACCAACGTAAACGGAGGATAAGAAGGCGGCGGCATACTTTGAGACGTCATTAGCCCCGTGAGTAAACGAAGACGTAGCTGCTGTCATGATCTGCAAAAAGCTGAACAAGTATTCCGCCCGATTGTCGTAGCGGGCCGCACGAGCATGCATATCGTCGAGATTGGCTGCCAGTCCGCCGCTCGTATCACTGCTCTGATGCCCGACAACGTCTTGGTCGACCCCATGGAACAGCGCCCACTTGATACACCAAAACACCATCGCCCCAGAGTACCAGGGGCCGTCGGGCTTTGGTCCAACTAAGGACTTCCTGCGAGGCTCCTCAGGCGACACAGCAACTTCATGTTGGCTCTTCTCCCGGTTTTGTTGATCACTAGCAGCACTGATGCTGGTATCGCGGGATTCCAGATCCGCCCGTCGCGCGTCGACTTGGTCGCGAGTGGAATGCCCCTCGTAATAGTCCCTGACGGGGCCGGTATAACTCCCCGGCGGGGGCGATGGAGGGCCACGACGTAACAGCAAAGGGCCTTGGTACATGTGGTACCATTTCAGCTCCCAGTCCTGCTTGATGATGACTCGGTAAAGCCAAGGGACGAAAAAAGTGGCCACGAGTAGGCCAAACCCGACCCCTGTCATGACAATCACAAGGTAGATCTGCGCATCGGTGAGGTTGACTTCGTAGGAACCGCCCTTCCAGACGAGGAGCATCACTATGAGCGAGGACGTGAGAGCCGCGTAGATGGGGACCATGAGGAGACCTTTGAGAACCGGGTTTTGCCTGAGGAGGACGGCGTACTTGGTGGTGAGGAAGATGGCGGAGGCGAAGGTGCCGGCGAGAAGGGGGGCGATAATCCACGCCATGAAGACCTGTGTGCGATAATAGCCTGATCAGCGGGGACTTACAAAGAGAGCCTAGGTAGACGGAAGGAAAACGACTTCCAAAACGCTCACGACGTTTCTAACTCCGGCCAAGACCCAACTCCCAACTCATCAAGCCAGGAACCAACACACTCACCTGAACCACCCCACTGTTAATCCCCCCCTGGGGATCAACCCACTGAATCCCCCCCGTCCCAACAGCCGCAACCCCAAACCCAATCACCCCGCCCATCAACGAATGTGTAGTCGACAAGGGCAGCCCAACCTTGGTCGCAAAGGTGAGGTACACGGACGAGGCAATGACGGCACACACCATGCCCAGCATCAGCACGGCAGGGCTCTCGGCGAACTGGCTCGTGTCGACGATTTTGGTGCGGATGGTGTCAGCCACGCGAGCCCCCACCCCTACGGCGCCCGAGAACTCCATGACGGCTGCTATGGCCATGGCGGGGATGTATTTTATTGAGCGGGAGGCGACGGAGGTAGCCCAGGCGTTGGCTACGTCGTTGGCTCCTGGTGGGGGGAGGGGGGTGTTAGTAGCATGCCTGGATTTATGATAGGAATGTAGACATTATCTTGAAAGATGTTGGGGGCTTTTGGGAGGGGATAAGACAGGGTTGGCGAACCGATGTTCCATGCATCGAGAAAGGCAAAGAGGGTGCCTATGACGAAGAGGTAGTTGAACTGTGTGAGCGGCATTCTGGATGCTGTCGAGTTTCCGTTCCCCAATCTCCACTTGTAGGGTGTTTATGTAGGTAACTTGTAGTCCGAGTCCGGCTCGGGTGTCTTTGCAAGGCAATCTGAGGGCTGATATCCGAAAACCTCGAGAGGTGAATAGTCGAATATCACGAATGGAAAGGAGTAACAACCTCGGACTGAGAAGCTCGCTGCGCCCAGCGCTGCGGAGGAAGGAAGAAACGAAGAAGGAGAAACGAAGAACAATAGAAAGAACCAAAGGAAGCGAGGTACTAGGTGGTCCAGTCAGCATTGATGATATGAGTGAGGGTAACAGTGCGTGCTTAAGAGGCAGATTCAGACCCCGGATAATTTTCTCGGCCCAGACCGAACTCGACTCAAGTTGTACGGCTGCTTGGGCATCAAGGTTTGGTATTCCCTCTCGGAGTCGCACCCGGCGACCCATGTCAGATTCCAGGCTTTCGAAGATCTTCAGTCTGGCTCAACCCGCTCATCTTCTTTATTAAGAGGCGGGACAAGCCATGATCCACCGCTGACATTGCCAAGAAGCCGTCCTGTCTCGACATGATGCTCATATGTCACAGCACCTGAGTCTTGGCGGAGGAGATCACTGCTTCCTGCGACCTGAGAGGTTGAGGCTGGACCAGTATTTTTTGAGAAATCGGGAAGGGTACCAGGTATTTTATGACACGTCGAGGGCTTGGAACGGGATGGGAGAAGGACGCTGTTGTGGTGGCTCAGGAGTCAGGAGAAGGAATGCCACGGTGAACGACTGTCTCGAAATAACGGTGAAGATAACGTTGATAGGATAGTAGAAGATCGAGTCGTGTCTAGGCCTTGCCCATATCCACGCAAGAAGCTGCATGTCGATAATCTAGTGAGATGAACACATGCAGTGTGCGAGCCGGTAGCCATACACTCCCTCAACTCGAAAGTGATAACACTCAGTGATGTTCCAACTTCCTTGTGCCGGCATTCTGCTCGATATTGGATTAGCGCGGAGACAACTAGCAGGGCCATATCTGACCAAAAGAATGAAATTAGGACCTCGAAAGATTCTGGTCGGCATCTGGAAGCATGGCGCATGCAGATCGCCGGGACCTAAACCGGTGTAGTTTCAAGATGACCCCTTGTCCTCGAAATGGCTGAAGCCAAGCCGCAGGGCAGTGCATCCCATTGGATGACACACTCCAAGTGACGACCCCTAAACGGCAAATGGTCGCGTGCCTGTATAATGCGCAGGTCGAGACAAGAAGCAAGCCGTCCAGTCATCACACAAGGTGGATGGATGTTATCTTGGCGGGCGGACGTGAGCGGTTAGAACATAGTAGGGGGCATTCAACCGGGTAGGGTATCGACGGGACGATGGGAATGGACTGGACGCCGGGTCTCACATGCCGGGACACGTCAAACAGTTGGTGGTACCTCTTTACGGTACCTACTTCTATGTATTGACATTTCGTTCCCCTCTTTCATTTTCCCCTGCATTGAGTTCTCCCTAACTCCCTCTTAACCTCAGGAGTCAGCTAAGATATCAAGCAATCCGTGTTCACTATTTCTGTGTCTTGCAAGTTCTTTTTGGTAGAATAGGTAGGTACCTCGGATCTGAAGGGGAGTTAGTAGATAGGTACTCACTCTTACTACCCCCGGTCGAGAGACTTGGGATACCGACCGGCCGTGCAGTTTCGTCTTTAGTACCTTAGAAAATGAAGGTATCAACATGAATGCTACTACTAGTACTGTGCAAAGTCGAGAACACGAACATTCTCGAAGGTTTCTCGAATGATCGAATCTGTAAGATCTCGACCACTGCTTACATCCAGCGGTTGGACCCTAGATTAGCCTCCCTTGTAGTCCAGACGGAGTGTGTAGGCCTGGCGTCATAGTGACACTGAGCACTTAGCATCGCAGCGTACCTGAAAGTTTAAGCTTAGTGATGTACCTAGGTACTAGTAGGATTACGAGACAGAAGAGCTACCGCACGTGCGTCTGAAGCCCGGCCGGATGTATAGGTCCTAAAAGGACCCCGTCCAATGTTGAGTAAAACCATCTGTTCTCAGTCGACCACACGTCTCCAGTCCAGCTGAGGGCTCGGGCGCATAATCCTCCTCATCTAGAAGTGCCAAGAACAGGACACCGGGATGCTCCTAGTACTCCGCGTAGAAGATTGAATGTGCGATATACCAGCAACCGTGCGTCACAGGTCTTCGACCAGCCCAGATGCTGTTAGCCCAGTCGAATGTGTCAGGATCTTGCCACCTTCTAGCGTTCTATACTGTTCTACGGACTCAAGCTCACCGGAGCCGCGTCCGGAGCGCCGCGATAGCAATACTCATCCAATTCCAAGCTGCTGGACGCTCTGACGCGGGTTGTTAAAATGCCGTTCCAACCCCGAAGTCATCGGCCTCACGAGTGCGCCATTACATGGCGGGCAACAATGTAGCCCCCGCCATGTCGACCCTCCCCTACGACGAGCCCTACCCGGGTTGGGCGCAGGAAAACAAAGGGCCCACGATCCTGATAGTGATGACGATCCTCACCACTGTAGGGACTTTGTTTGCAGCGGCGCGCCTATACAGCCGGCGAATTTCGCTGGGCAGGTTTGCCATTGACGACTGTATTGTTGTTCTGTGCACCGTACGCTGAGTACCTGATCTCATTGAAAGTTCCCTCCTGGAAGAGTTCCCGCTGCTAACCGCTCCCATTTTGATGGCTCCAGATGATCGGCATGGCCTACGTTGCGCTCGTTGGCGTCGCCATATCGTATGGCGCCGGCAGGCATGCGGTGACGCTGCATCGTGAGAAGGCGAACAGGGCAATGTTTTGGATGCTGGTCTCGTTTGTGCCGGGCATACTGTCGTTTGTTCTGCCAAAGTTCGCCGTCGTCATCCTGCTCGCCAGAGTCCTCAATCCCGGCCGGCGGCACACACTGGTCATGTGGATCGTGTCAACTCTGCTCCTGCTGCTTACCGTCGGCTTGCTCGCCATCACCTTTGCGCAGTGCTCGCCGCCGGCGGCTCAATGGGGCGCCCCGGGGAGATGTTGGGACCGCATGATCACGGCAAAAATCGCCATAACGCATGCCATTTACTCGGCAGTCTTCGACTTCTACCTCGCTGTCTACCCGACTATCGTCTTGTCCAGGCTGCAGCTTAACTGGAAAAAGAAGCTGGCCTTGTCTTCGGCGCTGGGCTTTGGGTACTTGTAAGTCACGGTATATGTCCTTGGACTGGATGGGTTCATGACATCAAATCTTGAGCCATGAGGCAACGAACCGCTACTAATACACTACGATCAGTGCCGGCGCCATCAGCTGTTACAAGTGCTCCCTATTAAAGAGCCTTATATCACCCGAGGATTTTACATACCGGACCGACGACGTCGTGTACTGGACTAGGTAAGTCCAAGTCCCGGTCTTCGGGCCGCAGGTCCACACTCCCACAAGTCACACCTTACCTACACGCAGCATCTAACGCGTCTTTTGTCATTGCACAGCATCGAAGGCAACTGCGTGCTCATCGGAGCCTGCATCCCGACCCTCTTTCCCCTCGTCAAGAAGATATTTGGCGCCTCGGCCCTCGGTGACAGCACGCCAAATGAAGGAGGACGGGGGCAAAGGAGGACTGGCAGGAACAACAGCAACACGGTGGTGACAATAGGGTCGTATCCCAGGAGGACAAAGCACCCGAGGACGGTGATGCACCTGGATTTCCTCAATGATGAGGGCGAATACATTACGCTGGAGACGATCAATTGCAGCACCAGTGAGCTGAGGGGGGAAAAACTGGCGCCTGTTGTCTATCACCAGCGTGAGCGGGCATCGACGTACACTGGTGAGCCCGGGTGGTGATTGTGATGGTGAGGTTGCCAAGCGCGGTTGGATAAGGGGGATTAGATCGAAGCTTAGTACCTAGGTACCTGACTTATATATATTCGAAACGATACCCTGCTCGCGGCCCAAGGGCAATTCGAAGAAGAGGTTATGTGTGAATATCTCATGCCTCATCTCATGAAGCCCACCTACTTTACATACCTGCGTAACTTCATGTTCCTTTGTATTTAGACCATTCCTTCGGGACTCGAGAGGATGAATATAAGGTACAATACAAGTACCCTACCCCAAGATTCGCCTTGGCTGTTACCTGGCAGTTCCAGAGGTTTACCGTTTACCGCAGCGTAGCGTAGTAGCCGCCCACTCATCACAGCGCCCAGAATCTCGGCACTCCCTCACGAGCCACCTCTTCCCGGTACTGGCAGTTGGAGTACTTTTGACCTCCCTACTATGGCATCGATACATGCTCCGACCTTCCGGATTTGACTGTTTCCTTGAGTTGATCTTCTCTGGCAAAGGCCCGTTCTCGCAAATCTCGTGATAGAGCTCTATCATGATGACATGCAGTGAACTGCCGGCCCGCACAATGCAGATTTCCCATCATGCGGTGTGACTGCTGTAATTTGATGTTTTAAACTCGATTGCCGCACAAGGTCCGATCTCGAAGAGCTGCACCACTTCGTGTTTATTTACCTTAGTAGTTGCTGTTCCGTACTCCCGGTCAGCCCTCGATCTGGCCGCGCCCTCCTTATTTACTTAGATCCTGTATATAACCGACCAGCATCATGAAACTCTTAAGGACCATCACAGCGTTGGCGTTGCTCGCATGCGAGGTCGCAGCAGCCTCCGAGTCCAGCAACAGGAACAGCAACAGCGACAAAGAGGGTCATCATGATCACAATCACGGCTGGCCCAAGAAATGGATCGACTCTAAGACCTTACAGGCAGACATCTCGACGAAAAAGTTCGTCTCCCACTCTCACCCCCGGGCTATCCCGCATCATCATCAACCCCCTTCGCTAACCCGACCCTTACCTTACCTGGTACTCACAGACTAATGTCCCACCTCCACGCCCTCCACTCCATCGCCCTCACCCACGGCGGCAACCGCGCCTTCGGCCTGCCGGGCTACGCCGCCTCCGTCTCCTACATCTGGAACCGCATCTCCCACACCCCGGGCATCAAGACCTGGAAGCAAGACTTCCCCGCCCTGTTCGGCTTTGTCGAATCCATCGACCTCAAAGTCGGCGGCGAGGACATTTATGTCTTTGGCCTGACCTACTCCCCCTCAACACCGCCCGAGGGCATCACTGCTGAGATTGTGGCCGGTCCCGAGGGCGCTGCTGGGTGTGACGATTCTGCCTATGAGGGGTTGGATGTGGCTGGCAAGATTGTGTTGGTGCAGAGGTTTAGATGTCCGACGGGGGGCACGCTGGCAGGGAGGTTGTTACCGGCTGCGAGGGCTGGGGCTGCGGCGGTGATTATTTATCATGATTTGACGACGAATGTTACGGCGGGAAGTCTGTCGGCGCCGAGTGAGGAGCATGTTCCGGGGGGTTTCATTACGCTGGCGGATGGGCTGAGGATTAAGGAACGGTTGGCGAAGGGGGAGAAGCTGGAGGCGTGGTTTCAGCAGACGCAGATTGTGGAGACGAGGACCACGCAGAATGTGTTTGCTGAGACGGCTTGGGGGGATCCGGATAATGTTATCGTCGTATGTTCGATCTCCCTTCTAACGTGAGGTTTGGCTGACCTGGTCTCTCTAGCTCGGCGCGCATTTGGACAGCGTCCAAGCCGGTCCGGGTATCAATGACGATGGTAAGCTTGCTCCCAGCCCAGCTCAACAGCTTCGGCTCACTTACACGGTTACACCCACCTACAGGCTCCGGCACCAGCCTAATTCTCGAGCTCCTGCTCGGAGCAAGCAAGTACCGCACCAAAAACAAGATCCGCTTCGCGTGGTGGGGCGCCGAGGAGAACGGCCTCCTAGGATCGCGATTCTACTGCGCGAACCTCGAGGCGTCCGAGGCCGACAAGATCCTGGCCTACCTCAACTTCGACATGGTTGCCAAGGGGTACATTGGCGTGGGAGATGGCGATGGCAGCTCGCACGGCAGCGTCGCGCCGCCCGGGTCAGACGTCATTGAGCGTATTTACCTTGACTATTTCAAGAGCCAGGGCACCACCACCACGCCGGCGGTCATCACGAATGGAAGTGACTACGCGTCGTTTTGGCAAGTGCTGAACAAGCCGTTTGGGTTTTTGCATACGGGAACGGGGGTTGAGCAGGATCCGTGCTATCATCAGGCCTGTGATACGATCAATAATCCGGATCCTAAGACGATTACGATTAATGCGAGGGTAAGTCCGCTTCGGTCGGGTTGGAAGGGCGACAGACTGCTAACGATGGGATATGGTCCAGGCGGCTGCTCATATGTTGAGCATTCTCTCCATGAAAGGAACGGACCTCATCCCGAAGACCCCCGTGAATTCGTCCATGTTGGCCGGAATTCGCATGCGTGAAGCCCCGCTTGATATCGTCAGGATTGAGGAGCTGGAAGCCTTGGGCGAACGACATTTGGGATGCGGTCATGATATTTGACGGCGATCGCATCGATGGACTCATGCGATCCGTTGTTAGCAAACGGTAATCGGAAGTCGCGACTCGCGTTCATGGCCCCTCTGTTCGAGACGGGAATTGGCGATTTCCTATCGATTGCAGTTCGCCACCGCCCGTCGGGTCGATATTGCCCCGTTGAGGAAGGCCGGCACCCGACATTTCTTGGCTCTCGGGAACCGGTCTCCAACAAGGAAGGTCGTATCCATCCCACTTGAATGCATTTCTAGGCAAAATGGAGGCGCGGTTGATTGATAGTTCTCCCACGTGTCTGGGAGGCGCGTCTTATTGGCAATGTACCTTAGAAGTCATCTTTCAGGGGCAAATAGCGAACCCAATTCCTTGATTGCACGTGCCTTGAAGTTGCACATTTGTAAGGTCGAATTCACCAGACTATTGGTACGCTCGTTCAGCTCTCCAGGCACACAAGCGGCTGAGTTATTTGCATGCAGGTCATATAAGTAGGGTACTGTACCTTAAGTTGCACGGTACCACCTTAAGGACCCAGGCGCAGGGTTCCCGGAACAGGCCTCAGTTGAGAACTTGAGAGCTTGAGATCGTCAAAGTTCAACTGCGTCAACGTCAGGCCCTGTCATCGCCATCACCACGATGCATCTCGCCATGAAGCCGCTTCTGGCGGCGGCGTGTCTCGTAGCGGCCCTCGCCGAGACAGCATTTGCCCAAGAAGACCATCTTGTCAGCCGCCGCAAGCTCTCCAAGCGCTTCATCGACGAGAATGGCAACTACAACATTTCCTTCTACCACATCAACGACGTCCACGCCCATCTCGACGAGTTCTCATCCTCCGGAACTGACTGCACGCGTCCGGAGCGGGGCTGCTTCGGCGGCTATGCCCGTGTCAAGACCGTCCTCAAGGAAACCCGGCCATCACACCCGGATTCCCTTCTCCTCAACGTAGGCGACGAGTTCCAGGGAACCATGTTCTTCTCCTTCTACGGCGGCGAGAAGATCGCCGAAGCGCTGAACCAGATCGGCTTCGATGCCATGACTCTGGGAAACCATGAATTCGACCGTGGTGACGACCACCTGGGCGAGTTCCTCGAGAACCTCACCTTCCCCATCGTCAGCGCAAACATCTTCTCAGACCACCCCGTGCTAAACCGCACCATCAAACCATTTCACATCTTCCCGCAATACGAACTGGCCGTCATCGGCGTAACCACCGAAACCACCCCCGGCATCTCCTCCCCCGGCAAAGGCACCACATTCACCGACCCTGTACAAGCCGTGCAAAACACGGTGGATCTGATCCGCTCCACCACAAACATCACCCGCATCGCGGCCATCACACATATCGGTTATGAAGAAGACCAACGGCTTGCCCGTGAAACCTCCGGGCTGCACCTGATCATGGGCGGCCACAGCCACACCCCGCTGGGGGATTTCGCCGGTGCGGTAGGGCCGTACCCGACTATTGTGGACAACAAGGATGGTGATGAGGTGTTTATCGTCACGGCGTACCGCTGGGGGGAGTACCTGGGGTATATTGACGTGACGTATGATGCGGATGGGAAGATCCTGGCGTATCATGGTGCCCCGATCCATTTGACGAATACGACTGAGCAGGACCCGGAGCTGCAGGCGCAGATTGATGCGTGGAGGGGTCCGTTTGAGGAGTATGCTAAGCAGGAACTGGGGTATAGCAATGTGGTGCTGGACCAGACGACGTGTCAGCAGACGGAGTGCTTGTTGGGTGATTTGGTTGCTGAGTTCGTCCCCCTTTCCCTTCCAACCCTCTCCCTTCTCACAGCCACTAACACGAGCCCAGCGCCATCCTGCAATACCGCCTCAACAGCACCTCCCCCTCCGACCCCACCGCTCCAGCCTTTGCCATCGTCAACGCAGGCGGCATCCGCGCAACCATCGACCAAGGGCCCATCACCCGCGGCGAGGTGCTCACTGCCTTCCCCTTCAGCAACTCCGTAGTCGAAGTGACCATGTCCGGGGACTTCCTCTGGTCTACACTCGAAGGCATCATTTCACGCGTGAATGTCAAGAACGGCCGGCCGGTGACGAGCTTTCTGCAGGTCAGCCGTGGAGTCAAGATTGAGTACACCGCTGCGTCGGGCAATGCCACCAGTAAGCTGGTGAAGGTAACGATTGGCGGGGAGCCGTTGGATAGGGCGAAAGAGTACAAGATTGTGACGATTGACTTTTTGGCGGGGGGAGGAGATAATTTCTTTGATCCCAAGTTTGAGAATCTGGTCGTGCTGGATACGGTCGATGAGGTGTTGGTTGATTATATCGGGGCTGTGTCGCCGGTGGATATTGCCCTGGATGGGAGGTTGAGTGTTGTGAGGAGGTGTAAGGAGAGGGCGGCCAGGAAGAGGATGGCGGCGGCTGCGAGTATGCAGGGAGTTTGATCGACACCTGTTGGAATAGCGTGTAAACAGAGGGAATAGAGGGCATACATGTAGTTTAGCATAAGTTACTTATACATAATGTATCAGTATGAGCCGCTTGAGTGACGAGGAGGCAGCCATCTGAGGCAACTCGGGGGGCAGGCACTTGAGTAAGGGCGGATGCTCGGTGTCGCAAGTGGCTGTCCCGATGGAGGAGGTCTTGCTACGTGTAGCGCTGAGAACTCTCCTCCCCGGGACCGACACAGTGTTAGCCAGGATTTCTGGACAAGTGATGAAGGCCATTTGAATCCGACAATCACGCAAGAACTGGTCAGGTTTGTTACGGCTGACACTGCGTCACATCGTCAATTGTCGAGTTGGAAGGCTCGGCACAAAGGGGCAAAGCTTTCAGGGGTAAAAAGTACATGTAAACATATCGAAGTGAATCCCCGACACGGGTTTTAGGTGGTTCAACCCTCCTATAAGTTGTTGTACGAACTAGGTCCAGTGCTAGCAAACTTGTACTGACAACATGATTGGGCTGCTGTGGCGAATTCATGATGGTACCTTTAGTCTGGCCCGGGCACCTACCAAGCACCAAGTACCTAATAACCTCTAGGGCATGTATCCCACGCTGCGATCCCGCGTGTGCCCTGGGTTCCGTGGTGCTAGCAAGGGAAACAAGATGAAGTGGAAACGAAACGTATATGATGTCAGCCTGGGATAGATGAGGGAAGTGAAGGCCTCTGAGGAGTCCGGCTCCATACTACGACAACGTCGGAGCTCAGGGGCAGAAACATACTGCATTGCCTGATATCGCCCGTACATGCCAGCCCAACTTAGATAGCACACATCTTGAGCGTGTCCTTAGCGGCTATGTAGGAAATTGGTGTCTACCTACCTAGTTAAGACATATAGCCTCGGTGTAAGCTTGAAACTTTCTATACTACATCGGCATGCTCTGGAGAAGCCATCCCCGCTAAAGAGAAATACGATACTGGCAAGGTAACAACCTCCTGAATAAGGTACTTGCCCCGCATCATGTCACTGTTCATGCGTATTGAAGGCCGAATGAGGGTTACTCCATGGTTAGAGAATTGCCATCAGTTTGGCTCGGACTGATTTGCATGTGCTCACTCTCGTGTAGTACACGCATATGTCCGGCAATTCGATAATGATCACCAGGCACCGATTTCCAGCTAGCTCATCAAAATCCATATACGAAAAGTAAAATAAGTACCAGTGCAGTTGCCATGGCCATATACATCTTATGATCCAGTTTCGATGGCTGATGCCGCCCCCTTGGTGTCTCTGACATACTAGGTATCCGAAGTAAACAAATCCCTTGTCTACATCCGGGCAGGTATGTGCCCTTCTCCTGCAATGTTGACCAAGTCTCATCGATGATTGATTTACTTCGGTACTAGTAATAGGCGCCATCTCGGTCTCAATCCCAACTTCCGATCTTGTCCTGAGCATTCCGAGGACATATACCACGTTGAATAACACAAGCAAGACGACGATTCTCAGCGATCTTCCAATTCCGGAAATCCTTTCCGTAGCTATAGTCTCCCACTCCCGGCATATCTCAATTCGGTTGGAAGGATGCAGCTCATGCAATGGTGAAAGAGGCCCGCTCAAAACTACCACATCTTCCCTTACTGTCAATTCTAGGGCAGGGACGCCCCTTCATTAAAAGTGAATCAACGCTCAAGGATACTGGTGGATAAATTTCCCGGACTATAGTGGCCAAGACATCTTGGGGTCCATTCTACAACGTCTTAGACCTGGTCCGTATCCCGTATTGTGTTGGCTCTACTAGTCGAATCTAGATATACTGCGACTGTCAAATCATGGGACCTAGAGCACTCGAACGAGATCACATAAATGTAAATTAACCGCTTCTACGCTCCAATCGGGGAATACTCTGCACTACTATACACCATAGCGCCTGTATGGGCGGATAGAAGAAGCAAGCCACTGATTTGCTCGGGCCCAAGTTTTGTGTTCCCTCACCAGGCGGAAACTGATGCACCCCACACTCGGTAGATGCGAAGCCGTTTCCTTGGAAGTGTGGAGGTTGCTTCCGTAGTTGCAGAAATCCGGGGTAGTATTAGCCGCAATGTATGACAGCAAGGTTGCCGATGTCTTGCTTGACGAGTTGACAGTTTATACCGGGCGCCTAAGCCCCTGAGACGAATATTTAAACCTGGGCGAGCCACAAACTGGAACCCTCAATTTGAGTAAACGATTCAAGTTCCCTCAGATCCTAAGCAAGGGACACCAACACCACCATGAAGTCACTCCTTCTTGTAGCGGCTCTAGCCGCGTCCGCCGAGGCTCACTACATCTTCAACATCCTCTTCGTCAACGGCCAACGCATTGGCGGCGAGTACACCTACGTCCGGCGGAACAGCAACTCGTACAACCCAGCCTTCCCCGACATCGTCAACAGCAACGACCTGCGCTGCAACGTCGGCGCCAAGCCCGGCGGAAACGTCCAGACCTACGAGGTCAAGGCCGGCGATAAGATCGGCTTCAAAGTCTTCAACAACGAAGTCATCGAGCACCCTGGCCCGGGGTTCATCTACATGTCTCGGGCCCCCAACGGGGTCGCGACATACGATGGGTCGGGAGACTGGTTCAAGGTCTACGAGACGGGCCTTTGCCGGGGCAACGCGGCGAGCGATGGGAATTGGTGCTCGTATGGCAAGGATCGGCTTGAGTTTACTATTCCGCCTAAGACTCCCCCTGGCGAGTATCTTGTTCGCATCGAGCATATTGGGCTTCATGAGGGTCACAGAACAGGGCGCAGTTTTACATCACTTGTGCGCAGCTGAAGATCAATGGTCCTGGGGGCGGCACGCCGGGCCCGTTGGTCAAGATCCCGGGTATCTACAAGGCCAATGACCCGGGCATTGCGTACAACAAGTGGACGAGCAATCCGGTGCCGTACAAGATGCCCGGTCCGGCTGTTTGGGATGGGAACTGATGCGGTGCGAGTTGTGGGTCGATTTCATTGGCTCGAGTCCTATTTCATGGCTGCGTTTGAGAAAGGGGGTAGTAGTGTGGGGTTTGGTTGTATGCATTCTTGAAAGAGCTACCTCTTTGCTAGGTCCCTATCCTACAGTACCACTCGTTTAGTGTTCTCGCAGCTCGTTAAGGTGAATTATATAAAACATTCCACCTCATATTCAGTCGAGATTTCAAGCTGGCTGCTCCCCATGCGGCCGAGCTGCAATCTGTAAGTGACAACGCCCTCTCCGTCGTTTGACTGGAGCTTCATGTATACTATGGTTCACTTGTCGGTGCTATCCCTGACCCCGAGGAACTCGGATACCGACCCGATGCAGTGTGATTCTCCAGGCCGCATACCATTTCGCCCAAATCACCAATCTCCTACTAGTAGTTAGTAGTGATAAGAGGAATCAACCAGAGCTTATCTGCTAGATACTTCCCTGTGTTATCTGGATTGTGCAAGCAACTTACGTTCAGCACTATCGAGTCGAGTATTTTGTACTAGGTGTTGTCTAAGCCTCTAAAGAGGTATCTCCTTCGTCCTGACTGATATCTCCAGTCTGCAAGGAGTGACACGTCCATCCCTGTCGTTTACAACATCTGAATCTTGGGTTGATGTGTACCCCCACGTTTCCCCTCTTCAAAGTGCACTTGGGGTACCCAGAATGTATGTATGTATAATGAGTAACAGGAGTTTTATGCACATTAAAGGTACCATGAAGCTATACAAGTCTCCTGACTTTGCTATCAAAGGAGCTTCGAATGCAATGCTATATCTGCATCAGACAGTTGCTGCTCCTTTGATGGGAAGGAAGAAGATAAGAGAGAAGAGCCTGAGAATACTGGGGGCAGGGGGAAACCGCAGGTTCGGCCTTTGTGTGGCACAACACACCGAACGGCGAACGGGCCGGCCCGGCTCTCAGCCACCGAGACGGGCACTCCAATAGCATCCGTCCGCCAACGTGCACGGCTCCAAGTATGGCAAGAGGCCGCTCAGGAGCCTCAGGTTGGGCATAAGTTCGATCCAAACTTCCAGGGGATGACATGGACTGCTTCGTCACCATGAAATGTCTTCCTTCCGGACCGTTGAGAACAAGAGTCCGGAGCGGGTTGGCAAGGGACTGTATAGTAGTTTCTTGTATTATACATAGAATCCCGAGTGGACTTTTTGGGTAGGCCCAACCGCTGGGTATTCAGGAATGTTCTCGAGTCGCTGAGCTTGAGTACTTACAAGTACATATACCTGTACACCCACCCACCCCGCACCGTTCGCCGGGGAGCAAGATGCGAGCCTGCAATCTGGGGGAGTCTCTTTTTGCTAACCCCTGTTCACCGCACAGCATTGCTCAATCTTCGTTGACCACGTGTAAGAGATAATGCAGGCGGTCCTCGATTAGGGCCCGAGTTACGGCCAACCGTTACATTGGACCAATGGGAAGATGTGGCGTGGAGGTTGCGCACCACGCCATCCCAGCCGGCTGGGTCCACGGCAAGTTCATGTTGATGGCAACTCCTCATTCTTACCAGACTGCGATTAGGACCTCTCTGGCTTTATGTTGGAGGTCGACATCTGCATCCGGAACCCAGACTGCATCACACTAGCTGCTATCATACGGGCACCCCAAGGCCGCGATTACGATCACTCTTCGGCCTACTTGAGCCGAGTTGAGTGGGGGATTGTTGGCATTTCCACTCTCTACTTCCATGGTTGGAGAAGTTGCATTTGGGATTTGCATGCTTTAGTGCCAACAAGTTCAGGCAAGCGGGAAAGTCACTGGGCTGTGAACGAAGGGTTAAGGTCAGGGAAAGTCATATACAGCTAAGTGTCATGAATGGTATTGTAAATTGTCCTGCATTCTGAAAATGAACCCCATCAAGGCAATGCCAATCACAACGATCGACGGGGTGACCAGGCGAAGGAATCATGCAATGCTGGGTGAAGCCGAGGGTATGGCCGTCTCCCCTCAATATAACGGCAATCCGTTTTTAAACTCCACGAAGCTGCAATCCCTGATGCATCCGACAGCGGAGAATCGAACATTGCCGACCCGACATCCAGATGTCCTTGGCCAGGAGTGACTACAACCGGTGAGTGACCATGGGATTTCCCCTAATCTGATTCAGCTCTTACACAATCCCAATCGTCTGGTCCGGGACATAAAGTCCTGATAGCCTATACAGGGAGTTTACATCTACGCCACCCTCTTGAATAGGTGACGATGTATTGATGCCGTGATACCGGTGCCAGGGGCACTGCCCAGCACTTTACTTGATACGTGTACGGCGACCAACCAACAACGGCTCCGGTCTCACTTACATGTAGGCCCCGAGTAGCAAAGTGCACATTAGCCTCCACCCCGTGCCGGCATGCGGCTTCGCCGTTGGTAAACTGGCTCCGTTGGGGTGACACCACAGATAGGTAGTTTGAGGAACCCCAACGGCTGGTTATCTAGTACTCACCTAAAACAAACCTTTGGGACCGCTATTGGGGGTTGAGGAGGACGTAAGCAGAAACACGTTGGGATTCATTTCATCAACTCTACAGGCTACCGCCAATCCGGTTCAACAGGAAGGTGATACTTTGGGGGTCATTACAGGGGCATCGAGACACCCGTGGACGGCTACTAACATGAAGCGAACCACAGATATGGGAATTTTGACTACATGTACTTCATGATCCCGGTAGTTCGTGCTCCAGTCTCTCAACGGCTTCTCAAGACCACTCTTCGGGTAGTCACAACGTCAAGACTAGCCCAATTTGGGAAAAGGTAGTGCCTTGGGGTAGGTTTTCATGGTTTGTAGTACGGATGCCGAAAAGGCCTTTGGGACAGGATCTCTTCATCCCTGAGACGTGCAGTTGCATTGCAGCATCGGCTCGACTCTAGGAGCGATTGCTGCTTGGGTCCAAGGATGATGGTGACGTCTTCTTCACCGTAGTCCGCGCATGATATGCCTGGCAATGCTCTACCCCGACTTGATAGGCCGCGTCTACGAAGTACTACTGGGTCCTACTATCCCGTTCCTGGAGTTCCTATGTACGGTACTTGACTCACTTGAGTTTATACACCTTGGTACTTGCCATGTTAGTATCGCTGTACAACACATATTCCACAGGGGCTCGACTACTACCTAATGCTATCTCGGTGTTCTCAACTTCTCCATAAACCAGATACCCCAACTTCCAGGTTGCCAAGAGACGGCAAGCTCAACTGCTCCACGCACTAAACGAATGCTGTTGGTTGCTCCAAGGAGCCCGCTACAACATCCCTGTCGTTATACATATGGAGATTTCGTCGGATCCAAGTAGGAATAGCGGAATTAGAAGTCGAGCTGCTTAGTAGCAGGTGCTAAGAATACCGAGCTTGCCATTAGTTTGCGGGTACTCTTCGCGGCTAAACAAAGCAGGCAGGTACTTGAGCAACTTGTACCTGCTACCATGGCAGTAGTCGACGATCTTGCTGAAGGATGAAAGGTGGTATTTAAGTTGGGAGTTCGCTTCTTCCATGTCATAACCCACGCTTCAGTTTTTTATTGTCAGGCAATATGAACCAACCTGGGCATCAGTTTCTAGAGGACGCAAATTCAGGAGAACCCCAGGCAACAAACTAGCATCTTAGTACCTTGCCTTTGACCGAACACCAATAGCTATGCCTGGGCATCGGATCGCCCTATTCGGGCCCCAAGTTACTTCACTGACGTCAAAGGAGCTTCTCGACTTGCAATCGGCACTCTTATCAAATCCCAAGCTCCAATTCCTCGCGGACGCGCTTGCCCAACTTCCCTCGCTATGGCCACAGCTTAAAGAGATCGAAGGCGCAAGCGAGGCTCATGGTGAGGACAAACTGAAGGCGCTATCCAACTTTGCAACAGGGAAACACACTTTGGACCCTGAAAATCTCACAAACACCCACCTCGCACCACTTAGCATCGTTTTGCAGATTCTCGACTTGAGTTCTCGATCCGACTATGACACATTCCTCGATTCCGTGGAATCCGCCCAGGGGTTCTGCATTGGCTTCCTCTCCGCGGCTACTCTTGCGTCATCATCCAGCTGGACCAACTTCGAACGCAATGCTTCAGCTGCGTTGCGACTCGCTGCCTGCATTGGGATCGTCGTGGATGCAGAAGATGCCAGCCGATCTCATAAGGACCGCGCTGTGGCCCTTGGAGTTCGCTACAAAGCACACTCCGACAGGGCAAATCTGGACATATGGATAGATCAACTACGCGATGTAGGTGGCGATGATATGACAAGCTACCTGTCAGCCCCTGACTCGGACGCTAACGCGGACCAGGCCTATATTTCATGCGTATGCGATGAGAGACTTCTCACAGTGACACTACGAGCCGGTGATCAAGCATGGCTTACCAGTCGCCTCACCGAGGCCGGAATTGCAAGCACCAAACTCGGCCTCAGGGGAAGCTATCACTACCCACAGCACTCGCAGGCCGCTCGGTTGCTCGAGCAACTGTGTAACCAGAACGAAAGCCTGCAGCTTCCTGACGTGGCTAATCTCCGTCTTCCCCTGAGATCCACGGCCGACACGGAGGTCATCACCAAGACCGCGGGCCCGCTGCACGCGATTGCACTGGACTTGATCCTGTGTAAACGGGCTCACTGGTTTCAGACTCTTCAACGGATTGTTCCTCCAAAGGGAGAGGGCCAGTCAACGTACAACTTTGTCACTCTCGGGCCGGATACCGGCGTTGTTCCACGGTCACTTCAAGTCCAAGTTCATAACATGTCCAATGGCAAGGCTCATGTTCCTGCCGCCATGCCCACCGCTTCAGGTTCTAATCCGCCCGCGGATAATCCCAGCCCTGCAACCAGCAAACACGAAGAGATTGCCGTGATTGGCATGGCATGCCGATTCCCGCAGGCCGACTCTTTAGACGAGTTCTGGCAGCTTCTGCAAAACGGTGGCACTTCGTTTGGCAAACTTCCCGCCGACCGCTTCCACACCGAGGATATCACGCGGGAGCCGAAACTCCAGGGCAATTTCTGGGGTAACTTTCTCCGCAGGCCTGATGCGTTTGACCATCGCTTCTTTAACATCTCGGGTCGCGAGGCAAAATCGATGGATCCTCAACAGCGGCTTGCTCTTCAGGTGGCGTATGAGGCGTTGGAGGTTGCAGGGTATCATGCCCTTCCGTCTGCAAAGCAGGAAACGGATGTGGGGTGTTATTTGGGAGTTGGTGCTGTTGAGTATGAGGATAACCTTGCCGGGGAGGATGCCAACGCGTTTTCGGCTTTGGGGATGCTGAGAGCTTTTATCAGCGGTCGAATCAGCCATTTCTTTGGGTGGACGGGTCCATCGCTTACGTTTGATACCGCTTGTTCTTCGTCGGCTGTGGCCATTCACACGGCTTGCAAGGTACGTAACCCTGTGTCAAGAGCGGCACTCCTCATGGAAGTCATGAACCGATATTAACAGATACTTGAATATAGGCCCTGATATCCGGGGAGTGCTCGATGGCCCTGGCCGGTGGCGTGAACGTCATTACGAGCCCAACACTGCACCAGAACCTCGCAGCCGCGTCCTTTCTGGATCCCAACGGCCGCTCCAGGGCGTTTGACGCCTCAGCTGGGGGATACTGTCGAGGTGAGGGGGTTGGGATACTGGTTTTAAAACCGCTTTCCAAGGCCGTTGCGGATGGCGACATGATCCTCGGTGTGGTGGCCGGCTCGGCGGTCAACCAGAACTTGAACTGCAGTTCAATCACAGTGCCAGAGTCAGTCTCTCAGAGCTCGCTGTACAAGCGGGTCTTGTTGATAGGGGGTGTCGAAGCGAGGGAGGTGACGTATGTGGAGGCACATGGCACCGGTGAGTTCACCCCTGAAAGGTTCAAGCTGGATATCTAGCGCTGACATGAGGTTGGTTAAACATGAAAAGGCACCCAAGTCGGCGACCCTAAGGAGTATGAGAGCGTGAGAATGGCTCTGACAGGTCCTTCTCGGGCGGACCAACTGTTTTTGGGCTCGGTCAAGGATAATATCGGCCACTGTGAGGCCGCCTCTGGCGTGGCCGGGGTCATCAAGGTTCTCTTGATGATGCACCACGGCATGATCCCAAAGCAGGCCAACTTCGTGACCCTGAATCCAAGAATTACGACGTCCCCTGACGACAGGATCAGCATACCAACGACAACGCAACCTTGGGTAGCTGAGCGTATTGCCCTGGTCAATAACTATGGAGCAGCCGGGAGCAATGCGGCTATTCTTCTCCGCGAGCACTCTCGGACACAGCAAATGGTGCCTGGGGCGACGTCCACTACCGTTCCTGCTACGCCCTATCCAATCCTTCTCTCGGCAAAGTCTGCAAGCCATCTGGAGGCATACGTCAACAAGCTCAGGGTTTATTTATCATCAACCGACGCATCACTTCAGGACGTTGCATACAACCTCGCCAGGAGACAGAATCTATCATTCAAGTATCGAGTCGCCTTCATCGCGGCCGATACCCACGATCTTCTCTTAGCACTTTCCGGTGCTCACATACCCCCTGTACCCGCCGTCAGGAGTCCAGTTGTCTTGGTGTTTGGAGGCCAAACCGGCCGCACCGTTACCGTCTCGAGAGAGCTCTACGATGAGTGTGAGATCTTTCGGCGGCATTTGGTAAGTCTTTAGCACCTCATTCTCATCCTAACTCATGATCAGTCGCTAACCGCAACAGGACGCCTGTGATGCCACTTGCCAAGCGCTCGGATTGCCAACCATCCTCCCTACCATCTTCAAGGGAGAGCCAATCCAGGATATTGTAGCGCTTCACTGCATGCTCCTATCGCTACAGGTCTCTTCCGCTCTGTCATGGATAGACTCCGGACTCGAGATCGACACCTTGCTCGGTCACAGCTTTGGACAGCTTTCAGCACTGGTTGTAGCCGGCTCAATGTCTCTTGAGGATGGCTTCCGTTTCGTCGCGGGCCGCGCCTGTCTCATCCGGGACAAATGGGGTCCGGAGCAAGGAGCCATGGTGTCATTAGAATGCGACCGTTCCGAGATGGAGATGATCATGAATCTCACAAACGCAACAGACGACTCACGAATCGAGCTCGCCTGCGAGAACGGCCCTCGCAGCTTTGTTCTCGCCGGCAGCGTGGCGTCCGTGGACAAGGTTGAGGACATCTGCCGGTCTCGTGGCCTCAGGACAACTCGCCTGCAAAACACGCATGCGTACCACTCTTACATTGCTGACGCCATCTTACCCGATCTCAAGGGTATAGCGCAGTCGATCGCGATCCGGCCGCCGACTATTCCTGTCGAAACGTGCTCTGCAGGCGAGGCATGGCGACAGTTTGATGCGGAACAGCTTGTGCAGCACACGAGACAACCGGTCTACTTCAAGGATGCTGTTCAGCGTGTTACTTCGCGGCTGGCATCGGCTATCTGGCTTGAAGCAGGCTCTGCTTCGCCCGTCATTGCCATGGCTCGCCGAGTTGTCAGCAGTACTCGTCCAGCTGGAAAATCTCCGGACATTTTCGTTCCCGTGGACCTCAGCAGTCTCGATTCAGGGGCAAATCTTGCCCATGCAGCCTGCCAGTTGTGGAGAGCTGGTTGCGCGACACAGTACTGGAGCTTCTGCCGGCCGGCACATCATAGCTACTCCGTGGATATTGCGCTACCGCCGTATCAGTTTGATCAGACAAGGCATTGGATCGAGTATAAGCATCGGTCAACGCAGAAGGCGAATACCAAGTCAGACAGGAATGGGCTGTTAAAGACAGCCGAGCTCGTGAAACTGGTGGAGAATGGGAGACTCAGCTCATCAGAAACGCTTTTCGTGGTCAACACATCCACTCTACTCTTCCAGCTCGCTGCGCGCGGCCACGCCGTTGCCCGCCAGGCCCTCTGTCCAGCATCCATGTACCTCGAGATAGCGGCGCGGTGTGCAACTCTGATCAGCGATAAAAGCGGGCAGACAGTCCCTCACATCGAGAGCTTGACCATGTCTGCACCGTTAGGGCTGTCCAGCGAATCCATCGTTTTCCTCTGCTTGCGCAGGATCTTGGACGTCAAACCCGGCTGGGAATTCACTATTCTAAGCCAACCATCATCCGCCGGTACCGGCCTTGCCAAGGACACTTCAACCCAGCACGCGAAAGGCCTCATCACATTGGTTCCTGCCGGAGACCTTGTCGCCGAGAACAGGCTGAGTCTGCTCACAAAGTTCTTCCGGTACTCCCGTGCCGAGCACATCATGAGTCTTCCGGCCGCAAGCGGGGTGCACGGTCCGATGGTTTACAAACTCTTTTCGGAAGTCGTGGACTATGCAGAGTATTACCGTGGAGTCAGCAGCTTGTCTGCACACCAAAATGAGGCGGCTGGCCTAGTCACACCTTCCGCAGAGGTTCCCCTTGGGCTGGACGCGGGTATCTGCGACCCGGTTGCCTTGGACAACTTCCTTCAGGTTGCGGGTATTCACGTCAACTGTCTCTCTCCCCGAAAAAACGGGCAAGTGTTTATGTGCACCGCCGTGGACGAGGTCATATTCACGCCGGCCTTTCTGAATCTGCGCGACCGGCGGGAGGGTTCAGGGTCTCCGGCAGCGTGGACTGTCTATACACGATATGAGATGACGTCGAGCGTGGAGATGGAGAACAATATCTGTGTGTATGACACCAAGTCGAAAACTCCGGTTGTGGTTATTTTGGGAGCCGTCTTCAAAGCCGTGCCCCTGAAATCTCTCGAGAGAAGCCTCACAAGACTCAACTGTGTAGCGACAGCAACAGACCTCAACACACGCCCTGCGCCAACCCGGTGGAATAGCTGCAGTTCTTCCAGCGAGCCTCCCTCGCGTGATTCCGGATACGACACGCTTGCGGCGTCTCCTTGCCCGAGCGTCGAACTGGAAAAGAAGACGGGGCTTCCTTTCCCGGTTCAACCTGAACCAACTGGGACAGTAGCACCATTCGACAAGCCAAAGAAGCCCTCTCCTTCCAAACCTGAAGACTCCGGCGTTGTCAAGCGTTTGTGCGAGATGTTCAGCAGCATCCTTGAAATCCCGATTGATGAGATTCAGCCAACATCAACTCTGGATGAGCTAGGGGTTGACTCGCTGCTGGCGACTGAAGTGCTGAATGAGATCCAGATGCGGTTTGACGTGAGGATTTCGCAGGCACAACTTCAGCAGTGCCCGGATGTGTTCCGTCTGGCTTCCATGATCCAGCCTGCTGATTCTGGGGTACAGCTAGAATCTGGCACAGTGCAGTTGGAACCCCTGCAAAGCAAGCTTGTTGGTGGCTATGACTCAGGGGTAGAAGGTCTCTCGCCAGACGATGAATGCAGCGCGAGCTCCGAAAGTTCTGACTTCGACGCACCGCCAAAGCAGGACATGAATCTGGCCAGCTTGTGTCGAGACACCTTTATGCAAACGAAACAGTCCTTCGACAAGTATGCGGATTCAACCCTCTTCTCCGGCTTTTGTACGGCAGTGCATCCGCTGCAGTCGCAACTGGTCGTGCAATACGTTGTGACTGCCTTTGCGTCGTTGGGCTGTGACCTTGGGACTCTAAGCGTTGGGGACGAGCTCCCTTCCTTCGGGTTCGACGCCAGGCACAGCAAGCTCATCCCCCAGCTGTACCGAGTCCTTCAAGATGCAGGCCTGATATCCAAGCGTGATGCCGGGTTCGAGTTTTGTCGCACGGCGGTACCCATTCCCTCCGAGTCTGCACCAGCCTTGCACCAGAGAATGCTCGACCAATTCCCCCAGCATGCCTCCGAGACCAAGCTGCTCCACACCACAGCCGACAAGCTCGCAGACTGCCTATCCGGCAGGGAAGACCCCATAGCTCTAATCTTCCGCGACGCAGACGCCCGCTCTCTGCTTGAAGACGTGTACACCAACGCGCCCATGTTCAAGACCGGCACACTTGTTCTATCAGAGTACCTCTCCTCTGTACTCACCCGCCTTGCTACTTGTACCACTGGCAGCAACAGCAACCTGAACCGTCCCATCCAGATCTTAGAACTCGGAGCCGGCACCGGTGGGACCACCAAACACATCGTCTCAACCCTCTCCTCCCTGGATCTCCCCTTCAAATTTCACTACACCTTCACCGACCTCTCCGCGTCACTGGTAGCCGCCGCAAAGCGCAAGTTTTCGCAATGGTCTTCGTTCATGTCATACACGACACTGGACGTTGAGAAAGAGCCCCCGCCGCACCTCCTTGGGGCGTTTGACATTATTCTCTCGACAAACTGCATCCATGCAACACAGGACCTGATCCAGTCGACGACAAATATTCGCAAGATGCTCCGGCAGGACGGAGTTTTGTGTCTTGTGGAGCTGACAAGGAATCTGTACTGGTTTGATCTGGTGTTTGGGTTGTTGGAGGGGTGGTGGCGGTTTACGGATGGGAGGGAGCATGCCCTTGCTGATGAGGAGAGGTGGGAGCGGGATTTGAGAAAGGCGGGGTTTGAGTGGGTGGATTGGACGGGGGGTGAGACAGAGGAGTCGGATATTTTGAGAGTGATTACCGCGTCGCCTTGCAAGTTGGATCCTGGTCAGCCGCCGCGAGGGATAACGGTGGGTGCCGAGGGAGTTCCCCCAGGGATGATAGAGGGTGAAGGAGGTATCCAACGGGAAACGGTGACCTTCAAGAGTGTGGATGGGTTGGATCTGCTTGCGGAAATATACTATCCTCCGGAGCAAGACCTGGTCACAGGGAAAAGCCTTCCCGTAGGTAAGACGATCCCTCCTTTTCCATCTCCATCCAGCAACTCCTAGTCAGCTAACCGGCAACACCACCACCCAGCCCTATTGATCCACGGCGGCGGGCACATCATGCTCTCCCGCCAAGACATTCGCCCCGAACAGACCGACCTCCTCCTCCGCAACGGCTTCCTCCCCATCAGCATTGACTACCGCCTTTGCCCGGAGACAACTCTCCTCTCCGGCCCCATGGCCGACGTCGCCGATGCCCTGGCATGGATCCGCAACGTCCTCCCAAGCATGCGTCTGAAACGCCCAGATATCCGTGTCGACGCCGAGCGTGTCGTAGCAGTCGGCTGGTCCACCGGAGGCCACCTGGCCATGTCCCTCGCCTGGACAAGTTTCGAGGCAGGCGCCCGCCCGCCCGAGGCCATCCTCTGCTTTTACGGACCGACGGACTATGAAGATCCCTTCTGGAAGCGGGCCAACATCCCGAACGGGTCCGACCCAACGGCCATGGGCCTGGTACAAGTGCCACCCGGCAGTTCTACTACTAATAGTATGTCTCCAAACGAGCTAGACCACCAGATATGGGATGGCGTTTTCGACCGACCTATCACACGGTACAACGTCCCGCCGCATAAGCGCGCTCTAGGGGGGTGGATGGCGCACGACGACGCGCGGAGCCGTCTGGCGCTGTACATGAACTGGCATGGCCGCACGTTGCACGTCTTGCTGGGTGGGCTGGACAAGGAGAAGAAGCTCCTGCCGGCAGAGCCTTCGCCGGAAGTCGTGGCTTCCATCAGCCCCCTTGCCCGCGTTCTCAGCGGTGGGTATGGCACGCCGACGTTCATCATTCATCCGCGGGAGGATGACTTGATCCCGTGGGAGCAGGCTGATCGGACCTGGCGTGAGATGCGTAACATGGGGTTGGACACGGAACTGAGGATCCTGGAGGGGGTGCCGCATCTTTTTGACATGGTGAAGGGTTGGGAGCGGAATGAAGAGGCCAAGAGGGCGGTGGAGGATGGGTATGCGTTCTTGTGTCGGTATGCTGGCTTACCGTTTCGTGGTTGAGGCAGGCCGTCCTGGTGGGTGTTTGCATGCTCGAAGCATCTAGAGCACAAGAAGTAAAGAGATTTCAGGTTCTCAGATTGGCCCTTACTATCCACCTGATGTCAATGATGTAGCCCGTTAGAAGTGTAGTTCCTATTTCAGATACGCCGCTTGGCAGGTTGGCAAACCCCGGAGCAGATGACACAAGCCAGTACAGTCATAAGGTTCTCACAGGCGATCCCTACACTTCAACTTTGCTGAGCTCATCGATGTCCTGGTGACTCGTAATTAGTCATGACTCTCCGCCGTTGTCGGTGCCCTCGATGGAAACGCCGATGAAGGCCGATACGGGAAACTGACGGACAGCAACTTTGATGAAGGTCCGGTGCCGGCGTCACCGCAGATGTTCGACGGTGGATGCTGAGGCAAGAGACAAGAAAATTCTGACCTTGGCATTGGAGACAAAAGAACTTGAAGATATCCATGATGGCTTGGCTACGGAGTTAGTATTTGCCTCGGATGTCTTAAGTTGGCCCTGGCCGCGTCATCGAGGTCCACATCGACAAAGCACATCACTTCGAAAACTGGCCCTCTGTTTGCTTATTGAGCAGCAAAATGTAGAGGATGTTTCTGGTGCTGCTAGCTTCTCGCCGTTGTTGAAATTGGAAGTAAATGAATAAGCTGGATGCGTTACATAGATCGAACCCCTGACGAGTATTGCGGTTCATAACCACTGCCGTCTCCACGGAAACCCGGAGATCCCTGCACTTCGCTTACTAAGCTGGGCGGCGAACTCCGCATCGGCCAACAACGGCTTCCCCACCTCCAACTACCGTTGGAACACGTGGTTGCGCTGGAACCTGGGCGCCACTTGCCTTCCAGCACCTTGATGCGCAGAAGCATCTCGAAACGTGAAGTTCCCAAAAACGACAGTGGTCCTCCGGGTACGGACGGCATGATAGCGTTCCCGGCCAATCACGCCGATCAGATTACAGACACTTGCAGTGTGCGACAGACCCAGCGGGGCCGGCCGTAACCTTGATGACACAGCCCCTCGGACGAAGATGCCCGGAACCAGAACCGCTACCTGTTGCCTGCCATGTGAAGATGTCGGCCTCATAAAGATGATTGCGTGAACAGGCGATCATGCCATCTCAATAATCGATCTGGCAACGGTTGGTTTCTGCAAAGCCGTTGGGGTTACTAATCGAGGGTTGACGGAAGGTGCGGGACAAACCGCGTCATCTGGTCGAACGACGGCAAGTGTTTGCACGTTCCTGTAAGCAGATGGGATGTTGCGGTCCTGCCCCTCATGAATGCGGGGTTCAAACGGGACGAGCGGTACTTGCCCCCCGGAGCGGGGTATGGCCGGTGAAGGGTGAAGGGGCGATCTGTAAGGGTCGTCCTCGCCTCCGAAAAACCCCATTGGACCCCTCGACTTCCTCTGTCGTCCCTTCTTTGTGCAACTGTCCTCATTTCTCCTTCTTCCAACTCACAAAACTTGTTGTGCTTCGTCTGGGAGCATACCATCTACAATCCAGTTTCAAAAGACACTCCAGCAACTTAACCTTTGCAAAACATCACCATGGGTGAGTGTCCTATGAAGCACGCCAATGTCGCTGGCGGCGGCACCAAGAACCTCGACTGGTGGCCGAATCAGCTACGCCTCAACATTCTTCGCCAGCACCAGCCGGCATCCGACCCCTTCAAGACCTTCAAGGACGAATTCGACTATGCTGCCGCCTTCAAGACGCTCGATTATGAGGGCCTGAAGAAGGACCTGCACGCCCTCATGACCGACTCGCAGGAGTGGTGGCCGGCCGACTTTGGCCACTACGGCGGTCTCTTCATCCGCATGGCATGGCACAGCGCCGGCACCTACCGTGTCTTTGACGGCCGCGGAGGCGGCGGCCAGGGCCAGCAGCGCTTCGCTCCTCTCAACAGCTGGCCCGACAATGTCAGCCTGGACAAGGCTCGCCGCTTGCTGTGGCCCATCAAGCAAAAGTACGGCAACAAGATCTCGTGGGCCGACCTCTTGCTTCTCACGGGCAATGTCGCCCTCGAGTCCATGGGCTTCAAGACATTCGGGTTTGCCGGCGGCCGCCCAGATACCTGGGAAGCCGACGACTCGGTTTACTGGGGCGGCGAGACGACCTGGCTCGGCAACGACGTCCGCTACTCGCAAGGCCAGGAAGGGCTTCGGGGCGACGGCATCCTCAACACCGACGAATCGACTAAGAAGGGCCACACGGACATTCACACGCGCGATCTCGAGTCGCCTCTCGCTGCCGCCCACATGGGCCTTATCTACGTCAACCCAGAGGGCCCTGACGGAATTCCCGATCCCATCGCGGCCGCCCGCGACATCCGCACCACCTTTGGCCGCATGGCTATGAACGACGAGGAGACGGTTGCTCTCATTGCTGGCGGTCACACCTTCGGCAAGGCACACGGTGCCGCTCCCTCTGACAATGTCGGCAAGGAGCCCGAGGCAGCTGCCATTGAGCAACAAGGCTTGGGGTGGAGCAACAAGTACGGGTCGGGCAAGGGCCCGCATACCATTACGAGCGGCCTCGAGGTCATTTGGACCAAGGAGCCCACGAAGTGGAACAACAACTTCTTCGAATACCTCTTCAAGTTTGAGTGGGAGCTCACCAAGAGCCCCGCGGGCGCCAACCAGTGGGTGGCCAAGAACGCCGAAGCCTTCATTCCCGACCCCTACGACCCCTCCAAGAAGCATGTCCCGCGCATGCTCACGACCGACCTTGCGCTACGCTTCGACCCTGAGTACGAGAAGATCTCGCGGCGTTTCCTCGAGCACCCAGACCAATTCGCCGACGCGTTTGCCCGTGCCTGGTTCAAGCTGCTGCACCGTGACATGGGTCCCCGCTCGCGCTGGCTCGGCCCTGAGGTCCCGTCCGAGATTCTTGACTGGGAAGACCCCGTTCCTCCCGTCGATCACCCCCTGATCGACGAGAACGACATTGCCGCGCTGAAGAGAGAGATTCTGGCCACTGGCGTCTCCCCAGCCAAGTTTATCTCGGTCGCCTGGGCGTCTGCCTCGACCTTCCGGGGTAGCGACAAGCGCGGCGGCGCCAACGGGGCGCGCATCCGTCTGGCCCCGCAAAAGGACTGGAAGGTCAACAACCCGGCTCAGCTGGCCGAGGTGCTGCAGGCGCTGGAGCGTGTCCAGGCTAAGTTTAACGGTTCAGCGGCCGGAGGCAAGAAAGTCTCGCTGGCTGACCTGATTGTCCTGGCCGGTGTGGCAGCGCTGGAACAGGCTTCCGGCGTGCCTGTCCCCTTCACTCCGGGCCGCACCGACGCTAGCCAGGAGCAGACTCTTGTCCCGTCGTTTGAGCACCTCGAGCCATACGCCGATGGGTTCCGCAACTACGGCAGGGGCACGTCGCGCGTGTCGACGGAGCAGTTCCTTGTTGACCGCGCACAGCTTCTGACCCTGACGGCGCCTGAGATGGCGGTTCTGATTGGTGGCCTGCGTGTGCTGGGAGCGGGCAACTATGACGGTGCGTCGCACGGCGTCTTCACGTCGCGCCCGGGCAAGCTCACCAATGACTTCTTTGTCAACCTGCTGGATATGGGCACCGCGTGGAAGGCCATTGACGGCAACGAGGTGTTTGAGGGGACCGACCGCAAGACGGGCCAGAGGAAGTGGACGGCCACAAGGGCTGACCTCGTGTTTGGCTCGCATGCTGAGCTGCGCGCCATCTCGGAGGTGTATGCCTGTGCGGATGGGCAGGAGAAGTTTGTCAAGGACTTTGTGGCGGCGTGGGATAAGGTGATGAACCTGGATCGGTTTGATGTGAAGAATGGAGGTCAGGCTGCCGCTAAGCTCTAGGACGGGAACGTGAAGGATGTGTGCTTAGCGACTTGGCAGATTTGTAATTAGCAGTAGCAAGGAGTTGTCCACATCGTTAGCCGAACCTTGCTGTGATAAAGAGACTTATGATGATATTAAGGTATCAAGTTAGTAATGTATGCGTGCGAGCCTTAACTTGTCCTCCTGTGCAGAGTGACTGAGCGAGTGTTAAGATTCAGGGGCAGAAACCACTACCCATCACTGTCACATCCTCACCGGGGCATTGAGGTACAATGCCTCTAGGAGCAGGGATTACCTTGACTGTATCTACTTATTCACGCTGTCTCCCAGGTCCTTGCGGTACCATCAGATACTCAAGGGTGAAAGTAACTGCCCGGATTTCGTACCCCATAATAGTGTCCTCCAACGGGGACCATGTTCCGAGCATTCCTCACAGAAATGGACCAAGACCCAGATGCCTCCCGGGCCATGTCACTCGCTCTACATCGGGCTGTCAACACTCGGAACAGTTTTACCAGCGGAAAAACTGAGTACCTACCTAGATCTAGGGGCTGATGAATGAACCTCATGATACCTAGGATCTACCTTGGAAAGCAGTAACAGAAGAGAGTTTGACACCACCATACCAGTGCCCGTACTGTTCTAGTTGCCTGGCGTCTGCGGCCTCATCGTTGGGTAGCTTGCCAACCGCCTTTCAACCTACAGAATGTCCAAAAACGGGTTCAACCTACAGCACTATATCAGCATTGGAATGTGTACAAGATTGTAAGAACACATTACCACAGGAAGGCAGGACGCTGAGTGCGCAGCATGCTGGCAGCCTGAAAGCGAGCGCAACAAGGTATCAGGTATCCACCGGACCTAATTATATACCTTAGTATTGTACACGACTTCCCGCCATCAAGCGCCGAGCGAGAGCACGGTCTGCATTAGGTAGGACCCCATCCAGCACCAGCAGCAGTAAGATAAGACTCGGCAGAATTTTCCTCCAAGAACTCCATCATCTGCTGATTGCTATAGAACCAATCTTCAAGCTGTGCCCCATTCCCCATCCAGATCACCGGATTGACACCCCGCTGGAACTCATGATGATTTGCATCTCCCATACTGCCCGTCGCTGTCGGCAGCAAAGTCTCTGAGTCAGACTGCTGCTGCTGCGGTTGTGACGAGGTGGGCTGTGAGGAACCTGGGAAAGAGAAGCCCAGCGCTGCAAGGTACGTATCGACGCCGAAGTTCTGCTGGCGCTGGGTCTCGCTCGCGTAGGTCTCGGTTTGGGATTCAGCATACTGCGACGCGACGTTGTATAGGACTTGAAAGAGACGGCGCAGTTTGTCAACCCCCTCCGAGACGGGAGTGGTGTCACGGTCTACATGCAGGGAGGCGACGAATACCCGGAGTCGGGAGAGGTCTTCTTTGTCTTTGGTTTCGATGATGTTGCAGAAGAGGACGATGAAGGGGACGAAGGGGGCGAATAGGATCGTCCTGGCCGCTGATCAGTACCACCGTGCTGCAACGTAGGTACTCTGAGTGGCTCACCAGTTCATGTAGATCGAGAACAATCCCGACTCGCTTCGCTCAATCACGGTCATACACTCCTGATGACGCACGAGCGTTTCGCGTGCGGCATGGATGCACTCGGCTGTAAAAGTGGTCGGTGATCCGACGGGATTCGGGACTGCTCGGTGGATGAGGGTCAGGGTTGACAGGCGGAGGACATGATCAGATATCATGAAGAATTCACTCATGTCGTCGTTGGCAAGCTCCCGCATGTAGTGCTCGTATTTTGACTGTGGCACGTTAACAACCTGAGTAACACGCCAGATAGTGCACAACAGGGTTGGCATCTCTCACACAAATTTCACGCGTCAAGATGTCGAGGTCATCAAGCCGAGATACAAGGAGCTGCACACGGGATTGTCGTACAGAAACAGGCTGAGCGATGGCTTCGGGGCAGTACAACAACTCGTAAATCTGGCCCTGAATCTTGGAGGCCGCCACCCATAGATGGCAAAAGGCCATAATGGCCTCACGGTCTGGGTCATCGCAAGAAGGGTAAGGGATGGTGATATCGTAGTCTGGAATGGTTGACGGTCGCCCGAGGCGAAGAGACAGGCTTTTATCGAGGACATAGGCGGCCCAGAACAGAAATTGCTTTTGTTGGCTATCATGAGGTGAATCGTGGGTGTAGGATGCGATTCTGTGGTATCCCAGAGTCTGGCAGAGCTCGGATGCTTTGGAGGAGAGGACCCAGGCTAGTGAGGGCTTTGCGATTTCGATTGTGTGGAAAGCCTATAGTGAGATTGTCAGTCGGATGGAGTTGCGAGCTTGGTGATGGACTGGTCGTGGCCTTACGCCTAGCAAGAGTGCCACAACAACCTCTATGTTGGCGGGAAGATGCAATGGCAAACTGCACAGTGCAGTTTCCAGGTTTGCTCCACAGAGACGAGAATCAGCCAGATACTCCTCCTTTTTGTCCGGGAAGAGCGGAGCGTAGGCCGAAAAGAGGTAATGCAGGCCGGCATTGGCAGTGATGAACGTAGCCACGTCGTAGTTCTGGTTGCTGGCCAAGTAAACAGACAGGCAGCTTTCCGGGAATCGACCCGTGCATGTGTTGAAAAACTCAAAAACCCACGCTATACAGAAGTGTCTATGTGCTAGAGAGGAGAGCAAACATAAGCATAGTTAGGCTCCATGGTCATACGCATGCGGATTTCATGGGGCTACTACACACTTTGAGCAATTCTCAGGATCTCAAGGGTTCTCTCGATAGGGGGCAAGTCACAGCCCGGGACCGGAACAGGCCTAAATGGTTTTGCGTGTGGGTAAGTCATTTCATGTGAAGCGGGCTGTTTCTTCATCGCCTCCACGACTCGATGGAGGGCATCTACCCTCTCGCGCATCTCGGGCCTGGATTCGCTGCTCACCACTTTCCGGAGAAGGTCATTAGCAAAGATGGAATGTGCCGTCAGCGAGGAGGCGCCCTCGACCACAGTCCCCGTAGTTGATGTGTGGCCAACATTACTCGCTGGGCTTGCAACAGACGATGGGTTTGGAGTGAGGGTGGCGGGGACTGATGATTCTGCTGGCGGTTTCGGCGAGGCCGGTAGACGCTCCCTGAGCTCCTCGAGTAGCTCGACAATGCCGTCAAGGCGACGATCAATGTGGTCAATCTTCCTCTCGCTAGAGCAGGATAAGCAAAGATCAAATCGACTGAGGGCTGGGGTGTTCTACGAGAGTCCTTACTACTCATGGGTCAGCAAGATTCGGGTTCGCTTCTCTTTCGGCCTGCTGCCGGAGTGTGTGCATTCAATCTTTGCGTCTAGACAGTGAGCGCATGGCAACTCCCGGTTGCAGCGGATCTATCGAGGTCAAAAGGGGATTAGTTAAACATTGGGGAGTTTAGGGGATTCAAATTTCAGGGGAACAACAACAAACCTTGCGTGCTCGACATGCATCACACTTTGGCGATATGGAAATGCGTGTTAGTCACTTAGGTAATCAACAAAGAGCGGGAACACTTGCAGCACGGGGAACATGAACCGAGGTGCTTTTCCCTGGCACACGGTGACCTGTTGGTGGGGACTCGGCACTCTCTGGCATTCTGCAGACTGTCCGTTGTAATCAATGGTGGAACTTCGGTTGACGGTGAGCGCGGATTCCACACGTTCGGAAGAGAAGCGCAAGAAAGGAGATTGTCGTGCAAGTCTCTACTCCGGAGGGTGTTCAGTTGTCGAGGATCCGGAAGCGGAATCCGCGGGACGCGCGGGGTCCGCAAAGGACGCACCAAAATCCTACCGGTAACGTAATGTTACGGGGGACCCGCTCGGGCCATGTCGATTTCTTTTGATGATTAAGCAATTTCAAATTTCCAATATCTTCGATATCTTTAAGTTGACAAGGAGGCCAAGCTCTTGCCGTTCAAACATGACGTTTCCTTCGGCGAGTGACTCTTTTCAAAGACGCAGATGCAGACGGAGTCCGTCCCTACCAATCCCCGGCTTCCGCGTATTAGTTCTCATTGGGCGTTCGGACCCCCGAGTCCCAGGCCACACTGAAGGCTGAAGGCTCAGCTGTGACGCAAGCGAGGCTGGGCGGCCACATCGCCCACGAACAACGTGATTTCGCGTTGAGTGCCAAGCGGGAAGCGTATTGAACTTTGCCCCATCTTACTCTTGGCGCGTCATCCTCGTTCTTTGCTACTTATACATGCATCTTTTCCTCTTTTGTGAATAGCACCCGGGTTCTAGTTGGACTTCAACACCTTCGCTGCTGCCGCCCACCCGGGGCTTTCACATCCACTCCCTACTCAGGTTTTCAGGTGATTTCTCACCAGTGGCCGGTCAAATAATATGGCAGTGGCTACGAAAGACGACGATTCCAGCGGTCCGCCCTTTCCAGAAAAAGGGGGTTCTGCCTCGCCAGTTCCGGTCGTGCAAGAGGCTCAGCAAAAAGAAGAGGAAGGAAGTGAAGATGCCTGGAGTGCTTATTGGGTATGTGTTTAGGTACTCTGTTGCTTCCCTGGTCCTTGAGAGCGATCTGCATGTCCTAACGCTGCACTCGAGCGAGTTTTCCGCTATGCTGGGACCTTCGAGCTTGTCTTCCAGGGGATCGCTGTTGTTGCAGCCATCGCCTCTGGCGCAGGCATAGCCCTTCAGAACCTTATCTTCGGCCAGTTCGTGACAGTCATCACCGACTACGTTTCCGAGTCGTCCACTAGAGATGTCTTTCTCGACGATGTTGCCAGTCTCGCGTAAGATATGCCCAGTGCTGCCCTGCATCATTCCGAGTCCTTATCCCAGAAGAGCTTGGAACGAGTCGGGGACCAGGTAGCAGTATTCATGCAGCTAACCGGCACTCTCACTGCATCTAGTCTCTATCTTGTATATCTCGGCATCGGCCGGTTTGTCTTGTCCTACTCGTACAACTTTCTCCTAACCTTCGCCGGTCACCGGATCGTGCGGAACATTCGACGTGCCTACCTGAAAGCTGCTCTCAGCCAAGAGATTGCCTACTTTGACCTCGGCACCGGCGGTTCCATCGCCACACAGGCAACCTCCAACGGCCGGCTGATTCAAGGCGGCATCTCGGAGAAGCTCGGGCTGACCTTCCAGGGCCTGTCAGCCTTCGTCGCGTCCTTCATCATCGCATTCGTCACTCAGTGGAAGCTCACGCTTATCGCGCTCTTCATGGCTCCCACCACAATCTTCGTAATGGCTGTGGTCGCCTTTGTGCAAACCGGCTACGAAACCAAGATTCTCGAGGCCTACGCCCAGGCCAATTCCTTTGCTGAAGGCGTCCTCGCAAGCGCCCGCACCGTGCATGCTTTCGAAATGAGAGCCAGACTGGTCGCCAGGTTCGACGAATATCTCGTCGAGGCTCATCGCTGGGGGGACAAGATCTCGCCTCTGTTCGGCGCCATGTTTTCGGCGGAGTACACCATCATCTATTTGGGCTTTGCCCTCACCTTTTGGCAGGGCGTACACATGCTGGCCAGGGGCGAGATTACCTCGTCTGGCCAGATCTTCACGTAAGTGTGGGACATGCCCCTTAAACATCCTCGGCACTCGCTGATGGATTATCTCGTCCAGGGTGCTTTTATCCGTTGCCATCGCCGCCATGAACATCACCATGCTAGCACCGTACTCCATCGACTTCACGCGCGCAGCATCGTCCGCCGCCCAGCTGTTCAAGCTCATCGACCGCGAGTCTGCTATCAATCCTTTTGATGCTTCCGGAGAGCAGCCGCCACCACCCAGCGGCCTGGTAGAGTTTGAGGACGTTACTTTTGCATATCCCACTCGGCCAACTGTCACGGTTCTAGATGGGTTTTCCCTCACGGTGCCCGCGGGCAAAGTTACAGCCTTGGTGGTGAGTCTATTGCTCAATCTATAAGTTGCCTCCTCCCTGTTCCGTGCTGACTGTCGAAGGGTCCAAGCGGGTCGGGCAAAAGCACCATTGTTGGCCTTATCGAAAGATGGTATAACCCCCGGTCAGGGGTCATTAAGCTGGATGGGCGGCCTATCGACTCTCTCAATCTCAGCTGGCTGCGTAAAAACATCCGGCTCGTCCAGCAGGTAAGCATGGAATCCACAAGGCTTCGCCTTCCGCGTTACTAATTCGTCTCCCCGAGCTAGGAGCCTGTTCTGTTTCGTGGTTCAGTCTTCGACAACATCGCGTACGGTCTAGTCGGCACCCCGTGGGAGAATAGCCCCAGGGAAGAACAAATGGCCCGAGTCCAAGAAGCAGCCAAAACAGCCTTCGCCCACGACTTCATCTCCGAACTCCCCAACGGCTATGACACCGAAATTGGCCAGCGCGGGAGTCTCCTTTCTGGCGGGCAGAAACAGCGGATCGCGATTGCACGCAGCATCGTGTCGCATCCCAAGGTCCTTCTCCTCGACGAAGCCACCAGCGCTCTTGATCCCCACGCCGAAGGAGTTGTTCAACAAGCTCTAGACAAGGCGTCTGAGGGGCGCACGACCATAGTCATTGCCCATAAGCTAGCCACGATTCGAAAGGCGGATAACATTGTCGTGCTGTCCAAAGGGCGGATTGTCGAGCAGGGAACGCATGACAGTCTCGTGGCAAGGAATGGGGTCTATGCTGGCTTGGTTAGGATCCAGGACTTGGCGGTTGCTGCTCGTCGTGGTGGCGAGGGTGCCGATTCGGACCAGGAGGAGACCGCGTCCCAGCAGGACCAGGATCGGGGGAATGCTGAGTTGGCTAATACCGTGACGAGGTATCCCACAGCTGACCAAGCCCGAATGGAGGCGCAAAGGGAGCGGGATAATTTTGATCACCATAAACAGCTCGGCTTGCTTCAGGTTATTCGCCGGTTGGTGTTGTGGAGTCTCGAACTGAAATGGTGGTATCTCGCGGTGCTGGTTGCTTGTATAGGAGGTGGTGAGTGCATTCCCGAGCCATTTCTGACTTCCCGCGGCATCTTATCTAACCACCAGCTTCACCGTTCCAGCTGTGGTGCTCCCTGGGCAGGCCATTCTGTTGTCCCGGATGATGGACGTTTTCACCTTGACAGGAGATGCCATGACTCAGCGCGGTGACTTTTTTGCCGCCATGTTTGTCGTTCTCGCAGGCGGGTGCCTCGTGTTCTATTTTGCTATGGGTTGGGCAGTCAATGTCGTTGCGCAGGTATGCAACCCCCTATCTGCCATAATGTTTGGGATAAAGAGATCCTTACACTCTCATTCCTCTTCTAGACCCTATCCCACAAACTACGACGGCAAATCTTCCACGACATGCTACGACAAGACCTCCAATTCTTCGACCGGCCAGAGAACAGCACGGGTGCCCTGGCCAGCCGCGTCGACTCCAACCCGCAGTCCGTCTTCGAGCTCATGGGGTTCAATGTCGGTCTCATACTTATTGCCATCCTAAACATTGTGGGCTGCGTCATCCTGGGTATTGCCCACAGTTGGAAGCTAGGCTTGGTCGTCATCTTCGGCGGCCTGCCCCCGCTTCTGGGTGCTGGATGGCTCAAGATCAGACTGGATATGAGACTGGACAACATGACCTCGAAGCGGTACGCGGCCAGCGCGTCAATTGCCTCGGAAGCCATGACCGCCATCCGCACGGTTTCGTCATTGGCCATTGAGGAGCGTGTTCTTGAGCTGTACACGGCCGAGCTTGACCATGCAGTCAACTGGACTGTCAAGCCACTGGCAGGCGTCATGGTTTGTTTCGCATTGACGCAGTCTATTGAGTATTGGTTCATGGCTTTGGGATTCTGGTATGTCTCTTTGCTAGGTCAGTGTCATTGGATCAGGTTTCCGACTAACAGTTGCAAGGTACGGCTGCCGCCTAGTCGCCTTCGGCGAGACGTCCATGTACAATTTCTTTGTGACGTTCATGGGTGTCTTCTTTTCTGGCCAAGCAACCGCCCAGCTCTTCCAGTTCTCAACCAGTAAGTGAACAAACCGGTGTAATGATGTCGGGCACGGCCAGCTGACCTCGCCAAGGCATAACAAAAGGAAAGGTCTCGGCCAACTATATCTTCTGGCTGTCCGAGCTGCAGCCAACAGTGAGAACAACGAGCGACAATCGCGACCGTGGCCCTGGATCTGGAGGCCCTATCCAGCTAGATAGCATCCGTTTCTCGTACCCCTTACGCCCGGATGCTGTGGTTTTAAGAGGAATTGACCTAGAGGTATAACTGCCCATAAGTACCAGGTCTTGAGATCCCCTACCTAACCAACCGGTGAAATAGGTCAAAAAGGGTCAATTTATCGCCGTAGTCGGTGCATCCGGATGCGGCAAATCCACCGTCATCGCCTTGCTCGAGCGCTTCTACGATCCATCCAGCGGGACCATCCGCATCGACGACGGCATTCTACGCGAGATCAACCCCCGGCTATACCGGCGCATCGTAGGCCTCGTCCAGCAGGAGCCCACCCTTTTCCAGGGCTCCATCCGGGAGAACATCGCTCTTGGAGTCGACGACCCATCCGCAACTGCCGAAGCCGACATGGCAGCCGCGGGGGTAGGGGTAGGACACACCCCGGCAGTGCCAGACTCTGAGATTGAGGCTGCCCTCCGTGCAGCCAACGCCTGGGACTTTGTGTCTTCACTTCCCGAGGGTTTGTCTACCGCAGCTGGGCCCAACGGGACGCAGCTCTCAGGTGGCCAGCGGCAGCGAATTGCTATTGCCAGGGCCTTGATCCGTAATCCGAGTATTCTGTTGCTTGATGAGGCGACTAGTGCGTTGGATACGGAGAGTGAGAAGATTGTGCAAGGTGCACTTGCCGAGGCGGCGAAGACGGGGAATCGGATTACGGTGGCTGTGGCGCATCGTCTGTCGACTATCAAGGACGCGGATTTGATCTGCGTGTTCCATCGTGGTAGGATTGTGGAAAAGGGGACGCATGAGGAGTTGATTGCGCAGGGAGGGATGTATCGCAAGATGTGCGAGGCGCAGGCGTTGAGTTAATGCAGATGGCTACTACTACATGTAGGACATTTAGTCTGTTACCTAAAGTAATAAGCAAAAAGTACGGTCGGGTCGCCCCACCCGCCACACCCCCCCATTTTGACCACCCCGACTTACACAGCCATATCTTCGTCAATTCGAGGCCAATTTGCTCAGAAATACGCTCAAATTGAAGCTATTTGACAGGCTTTCAATACTTGGTATACCATCCCTTCGCCTTGCGCACTGCAGCCATTCGCCTGGGCATGGAATCAATCAGCCTGTCAATAAGGTCCTGGGGGACCCTCTCCTACGCAACCATCAGGGCATCCTCCACTTTCGCGATATTCTCTACGTTCTTTTTGAGGAGATGGAGGCCAGGGAAGTCCCTACGCAATATCTCCTTCATTTTCTTCCATACATGCTCAATGGGGTTGAGATCTGGGCTGTGAGGAGGGTGCTCCTGAACCCAGATTCCATGCCCCTCGAGCCACTCCTCCGTCTTCCTAGCTGTATAGATCCTGGCGTTGTCTTACAAAAAGAACCTGCCAGGCTCGTAGTACGGTGCCAGGCCCTCCTCCAGAGCCCATATATAACTGTTGGCAGTGTACCCATTACGCTCAGCTTCGGGGTCCCTGGTCATGATGACCAGCGAGGACCTCCCTCCCTTCCAGATGGCCCCCCATACCATCACAGTGATCTTAGACTTAACGTAAGCCTATACGTTGACGACGTCTTTGTCAAATTTATACTGTGGGGTGCGAAAAACCCAGCCATTCTTCGTATCCAGGGCGGTCTAGATTGACGATTCGTCAGAGTATATACCCTGCAAAACGGTCAGTCAGAACACCACTTGCGCCAGGGGGCATACCGCCATCATATCGTCAACCCTACGCCCCATTTCACGCGCGTAGGCAAGGCGCTTGGCCGCTCCTTCGGGTGTAAGCTTGATTCGCTTGATTGCACGGTATTTGCGCCTCCAATGCCGGCCCAAGACCTTGCGTAGGGTGTTCTTAGTCACGCCCACAGGGCTACTTGCGATCAAGCATACCCAGGATATGTGGGGGTTCCTTTTAATCATCTGAGCCATATACCAAACCTGGGCGTCGTTCAGCTTCCTAGGCCGGCCACTGCGAGGGAGGCTTTCGAGGGTGGTGTGGTCTTGGAAGCGCTTGACCGTACGTTGTATGGTCCGGACATTGCAGTCAAACCGGCGCGCCAGCTCGGCCTGGGTAACCCCCAGTTGTCTGGCTGTAATAATGGAAGCCCTCTCTACTGGGGTCAACTCCTTACGGTACCCCCGGATAGAGCGGACGTTTGGCGACAGAACCGTACCGAATTCACGCATTTAGGCCAGGAATTGACTGCGTGGTGGTTGTTGTAAATGGTGGGTAGTATGAAACGCGTTGAACGCGAAGGACGCGAATTGGCTAAGTGGGGTTGAGCACGACCGTACTTTTTGACACCCTGATTTTTTTTTATCAAGCATCAAGCACCTGATAACCTAAAGAGCATGTGTCCCACGCCATGATCTCGCATCTCCCCAGGGTCCTGTAGTGCCAGCCAAGTAGTCAACCACCGACACTCTGCAAGCCGAGCAGTTGTTGCAAGCTAGCAAGCGAAACAAGATAGAGAGACATGGCTTAACGTCAAGTATCCCGTGCATGGTGCGGACTGTCCCTACGTCCTAAAGTATTAAGGGTTATGCTATATGTTGCTAGAAACATACCCTCGTAGCAGAGTAGGTGCTCATAACGTTCAGGTTTTGTACTACTAGTAAATACCTTACCTACATATAGTTCAAGTTGTTCAAGCACGGTAGTTGAAGACGGAACAAATACTAATATGTACGAGAGTTTACCGTACTAGCAACGACGGTTCTGATCTTGCCTTCAAGCCACCACCTCCATTGTATTTTCTCTCAGTTACAATCCCACGCCAACGTTGCCGAGCTGACTCGGAGGTTTGCTGAGTTCGAAAGGACGGGAGGAGTTAAGGCTCCACATGATTTGGGGAATGCTTACATCAAGGGAACGGTAGACTGACCTGATGACACTGATCGTCGTTGGGGTACGTATAAATACGAGGTCCAGTGGATGTTGGCAAAGCTTACCGAGGCGCCTGATTGGAAAGTAAGAAGCACTGTGCATTCGATGTGGTATTGAGAAGCAACCTCCAGGCTTCAGGCTGATTCCTGAATATTCCTGAATTGTGCAGCAACAACCCGACCTCGTATTCACCCCAGCAACATGCTCAGGCTATGTGGTTATCAGGCACGTCATGAAGTGGAATCGATGCCCTAGATGAGTAGATGGTTACACACTACAAAGTAGTGCTTAAATAGATGTGCCCATTGTGATCTGGAAGTGGTTCTCGGTCACTCATCAACTCATTGACACATCGAATCCATCCCTATCAACGCCTCACAATCCGTCCACCTGGCAATCCAACTCCCCGCAAGTTCGTTCTATACCGTCGGCAGGCTACTTCAAGTTCAACTGCCAAGATGCATCTCACCACCACAATCATCACCCTCATCGCTGGCGCAAGCTGCACCCTCGGCGCCCCAACCTTGAACTCCCGATCCGAGGCGGTCTCTGCCATGGCCGCCGTCCCTCAATGGACAATCAAGTCATTCACCCGAACCTGCAACGCCGCGGACACGTCTTGCACGGTCTCATTCGGCATCGACACCCAAACGGCGCCTGTCACCAACTGCTCATACAACGTTACTGGCGCGCCGGCTAGCAGGGCGTCTACGAACAGCATCACGTGCGGCCCATACACCATTAGTTCGGCATGGAGCGGCCAGTTTGGACCCGAGAATGGATTCACCACCTGGTCTGTTGTCGACTGGAGCAAGCGGCTGATTGTCTGGCCGGCGTACTCGGATCGGGAGCTGGTTAATGGTGTTGCGGTCACCCCGGACAAGAGTTATGCGCCGCAGACTCTGGCTTGAGGTTTGACATTGGGACATTTCAGGTTGATACGGCTTTGTACATAAGAGGATAGGAATAGGAGTCCCGAGTTGATTGGTACCGTAGTTGTATATTACTCACTTTATTACCTACCTATGCACCGGCAGCTTGTATTCATTGTAGCTCCATGATGCCCAACAGATATCCTGCTGCCTGCAACTCATTTTGGGCATGCCTCGATAAGCAGGTAGCCATCACTATCTCAAAACCCATCAGCCTGTGGTTGGAACCCGAATCCCTCAGCTTCGAGACCTTTACTCCTCCTTGGCCCTCTCCCTGGCAGACCTGTAGGACTGAAGAGCCGATACGACAATGTCCGCGATAGCCAGAGCTTTTTCCTCCTCAAACTTTCGTGTCACAATCTGCACTCCTACAGGTGCGCCATGGTAGGTTTCAGGGTCATCTGAGATATTATAACCAGAAAACGGTTAGCGGTCACTCTCAAGCTGTCTGTATAGGAGGCGATCAAGTCGGCACAATGACTATGTAGACGTACAAGCATCCCAGTTGCGCTGATCAACTTCATTCAGTGGCTGGTAGGAGGGGTTCCTGACAATATCGACGTCCTTATCCGCCTTCGTCACGGGTATAACCACGGCGCTGTAGTTTAGCAGGTTGATTGCTTCCGTGTAGCCTAACAAAGTGTTTAGTGGAATCAACTCAATACCTGTAGAAGCTAGCAGGGTATGACAATGCTCCAACGTACCTACGTGGAAGTACTTTCCCGGGATGACGGCTGCGTGGGGCGCTACAGGCATAATCACTGCATCTACAACTTGCCCCGTGACCAGCCCGCCCCAACCCGCGGTCTTGTTCCAGTAATCTGAGTATGCTGCCTCGTACTCCAGAGCTTTGACGGTGAGGTCTTGGTACTCTAGGAGAGGCATCGGCTCCTTCAGCTGGAAGAATTCCTGCAGATCGGGAATCAGAGGCTCCCCGGAGCGCTGGAGGTGACTGTGTATGTCGGCGCCACCGTCCGCCGTCAAGAATGACATCTAAGGTATTCAGTTGACATCGTAAATCATGTTCCTTGCGGCATGGCTAGCTGATACTACTTACATGGATATCCCTGGCCGTGACGTGCGACGGTGGCTTCCAGTGAATTATCTGGTAGAGAAGCAAGTTAGTGGAAATCCGCCAGTCAGCGCGAGCAAAAGGTTCTCCATGCCTGATGTTGTGCGATTATCAGAGCTTTTACGACTTCACCAAGCCCCCTCTCAACGGGCGGGTGCGGCCGTACATGGCCATCATTCCTAGAAAGGCCGGTTAGTCTCTCTCGTGCCAGCAATCTGGACTGTACAGCCCTGTGTACATCATGTACATACCGTAAGATGCCCAATTTCAGGGGCTTGTTTTTGGGCCAAGGGTATGCAAGCCCATTACTGCGGGCACGGCTCCGGCACTCGTCGTAGACGTTCTGACGAAACGGGATTGGGACAACAGCTGGGTCCCTCTCCCAGGGGCAAGTCGACAGAACGGCCCGCAAGCCCAATTCCAAACCGCTGAGGGAAGTGCTAAGGAAGCCGACTGTTGACCTGCAGGTGTTTTGACCAGGGTTGGTGTTTGCAACGTCACGATATGACAACCTCTCTGGTGTTGGTTTGAGTGCAAAGATGCCGTTGAATGCCGCTGGAATGCGCACCGAACCACCGATATCTGTGCCAAGCCCGAGGGTGCTGCCACGCAGGGCTTGGAGGGCTCCCTCTCCGCCGGATGAACCACCGCAGGACAGGTTTTGGTTGTGAGGGTTCAGTGTCTGACCGATGATGTTGTTCTTTGTCTCCCCGAACATCAAAGTTTGAGGTAGACTGGTCTTGCAGAAGAGCACAGCTCCAAGAGAGAGGAGCTCGGCCGTGATTTGACTTTCGACCTTGTGTACCTTGCTTGGATCGTCGACGCCCAAGTTGCCACCGATCCATCCAACGTAGCCCATTGTTGTATCAACGCCCTTGACGTGAAACTGATCCTTCAGGCTGATGGGGAGGCCATGAAGAGGGCCGATCGTTTCCACCTTTGCTGCATAATGGGCATCGAGCTCTCTTGCACGAGCTAATGCCTCATCAAAGAAGATCTCATGGAGGCAGTTGTTCTATCGAGAATATCTGTCAGTAAAGAAAGTTGGAGGTCATTGCTGACGGAATGCTCACAATCTGGTGGGCAAGGGCAGCGGTTTTGCAGAACGCGGAGGTAACCTCAAGGGCAGTTAGGTTGCCCTGCTTGATTTGATCCACAATATCAACGCTGTCCCTTGATATGATAGATATCTCATCCTCGTTGAGGAACTGTTGGATGAATCCGTCAGTTAGGTCGCGCTGAGCCCTAGCTTGCGCCAGCTGCCCCTCATCCAGTCTCCATGCCTCTGGAATCTTGCCAAGTACGCTGGCACGCTTCGCAGCAGCAGCCGACTCCCAAGAGGTGTGTTCCATTCGCACTCAAGCAACGATGCTTATAGGGACTGGGGAGAATAAGGGACGGAAGGAGGGAATGGTGCGGGCACTAGCTGTTGCGTTATTGGTATTCAACTTGCATTGGGGCGGGTAAGAAATGAGAGGTCGGTCTAATAAGAAACCCGGGTTTTAGGCTACTATTTCCGTAGGAAGTCCGAGATCACGAGTTATCCAAGTTGAACCATGATCTCATAACAGAAGCGCTTATATAGCACAGCCACCGGTGGTATGTAATGCAATTCTCATGTTGCCAAAAGTCTACGAGATTCCAAATGCACAACTCTATCTAGTAGTACTCCAAGAGATGAAGATAGGGTATTGCACGCTAGTATAATCACTGAAAGTTACTAATTACCTTACTTACCTATTGTTCTACTGAAAGTAGGAAAGTCGAGACATCGCAAACTTTCTCCACCTCACTGAGCTGCAAGCTCAATGGTACCTACGGCAATCGGGACATTTACCCCCCATATCAATGTCCTCATATGCCACTAAATAGTCGGTGCATCCCAGATTGTTTCTAGCACCCGAGCACTTCTTTTGAGTCCCCCCTGTGGCGTATGGATCCATCTTGTGCCTACACTGGATGTAGTAATGGCGGTTATATATCCATGTGCACATGGCTGAGGGTTTGTCCAGATCCGTCTAAAGCTCGTTGTCTAGTGATCGACTGCTGTAGAGTTCTGTAATGCGTTAGGATTGCTCAGGATCTAGCGCAGAATCCTTGGTACCTTAGCTGTCCTTCGAATGGTAGCTGAAGCTAGTAAGTCTAGAGCAAAGAGCCGAAAGTTACAGGAACGTACTAGTAGCAATGAGACTTTGTATATTGCGAAGCAATTTACAATGCTTCTTCTCGATGTTTTGTTCTTGCAGTCAGTCGACTGCCGTTAGGTGCTGTTTCTACTAGTATTGAGGCTGAACAGGTGGACTGTATAGCCATTCATACTACATGTACAGAGAGATGCGAACAGTTCAAGACGCAACGGCGGTTACTGAACTATGGTCTAGTTGATCTCGGAACAAAGAAGCTAAAATCACCTACTGTACCAAGTCAGTTAGTTGGGAGTTGTTAGTTACTCCTTTAATACAGGGTGAACTTGCCACTACCTTTGAAGGTCTATTAAGGACTCATACAAGCCAGGCAACATAGGTATATTGTAAGTTGTTCCAGATTATTGTGATACTGAAAGTAGTAAAGCTAAGCATCGTGAACTCTTTCTGGCTCACTCAGAAGCTAACTGTGAAAACCTACCTTACGTACGACTACCGTTGGTATACAACGCGCCGGCAATCAGGGCATAAACCGGGCATTCTTTGGACTTCCTCATGCGATCCAGTCTCAGTGTGAGGGCTCAGGAACCATGGTACCGTCGGTATTGTATAAAGAACTAAAAGAAGCCAAAATCAGCTGTACCAAGTTAGTGAGTTTGGAGTTCTACGTTACTCAATATGATACAGGTTAAACTTGCCACTGCCTTTGTTGTAGGCCTGTGCTCATGAACGTTGGGGGTATGCTGCCATCTGTGCTGGCCCAGGTTTTGGGCCAACATGGAGGTACAGTCGTAGCATACATATCTGGAAGGCACAACCGCAATATCGTAGCCATAAGGACATCTAATTCGTACTCCTATAAATCCATAACTACCTTACCTAGCCAGCGATGAGTGCGACGATCCCCCACGCCCTTACCCATCGAATCCATCTCCTCGATGTCCTTCTCCCAGCTTCAGCAGCCCGCACTCTCTCCCATCATGATGTCCCGTGTCACACAATCGACTCGACCTCAAAGTAGGGGTTATTCGGATCAAACGGAAACTTCCTCACGACAATATCACCCACATACCCCTCCAGATCCGGATCAACAGGCACGAAGTCCGGGGTACACTTCTTCTCACATGTCCCCTCTCCCCCTACACCAGCAGCACCAAACTGCCCAAACATCTCCACCTCGGTCGTCTTCCCATCCTCATACCCAATACGCACCTGGTTGACCGTCCTACGACTCTCATCCATATCAAAATAGTTGCTCGGCATAAATTGGATGCCCGAGTGGGCCGTCGTCATGACCGTGTTGGGCAGGTCGCCCGAGTGGGGAACATGGTGCATGCCCAGGTTGAGCCACAGCACCAGGTCGGTGTCACGCACGCTCTCGCCGTCAAAGAAGGCGTCAAAGTCGATGGGCGGGTCGTGCACGTCCTGGCTGTTGTACGGGTGCGCCCCCTTGGGCTCCGTGTCCTTGCGCCGCGTGATCTGCACGTCGTGCCCGGCCCAGCGTGCTGCCTTGGCCAGGTTGGTGCTGTTGAGCACGGTCAGATGGGCTGCGCCTGTGTAAGGGAGTACCCGGTACCCGCGGTACTCGCCGTGCTTGTTGGTGGCGTTCTCGTTGACCACGATGACTTGCGTGTCGGAGTTGGGTCCCCAGTTGAACCGTCCTTCGTCCTCGCTCTCGACGAACGAGCGTGTCAGGGACATGGTGTTTCGGACCTTGCCTTTGGACCAGGGGTAGGTCTTGGATGTGGACACCATCTTCATCAGCTGTACCGAGTTGTTTGTGCCGAGAATGTCAAAGTCTGCCTTGAAATTGAGGACGTGGTCGTGCATGCTCCCACTCAGGAAGTCGTGGATCTGGAAGCCGTAATCTTGGTTGTGTGCGAAGTAAGCGGACTGGATGTATCCCGAGGCCCGGACTTCTACGGCAATGGATCCATCGAGGAAGAAGGAATAGCTGAATGTGTAGTCGTAGTTGCCCACCGTGGCGACCGCGCGAACCACAAAGTAGATGTTCTTGGTGACCGAGATATAGCTGCTCGTGCTGTGCCTCTGGATGGGGTAGTCTGCTACGTACTCGAAGAGACACACACTGTCGATGTGAGTGTGTGTCGTCTCGGCAATGTAGAATGATGTGTTGAGGTATGTTGCATAAGCAGGACAATCGTAGCCCTTGACTAGCTCGAAGGAGTAGGGGCCAAATCCGTAAAATGTGTCAAGATAAGCCACGCCCGAGTTCATGGGATCATTGCCTTGAGACTCGTTAGCTTGTCCATCCGGCCCGGCGGTAAGTAACGACGGGGTCGCCTACCTGCATAGTGCGCCAGAGCTTCCTGCAAGCTCAACTCGTACAACACCCTCTCTCCTTTGTAGCGGATGTCGTACAGAGCCAGACCGGCATCTCGGGTGAAGCCAATGTAGAAGGTGTAGTTCATCCACTCGACGTACTTTTGCTGGGGGTCAACGGCAAACCGCGAGCCGGCTGGAGCAATTACTGTTGGGGGATATGCAGCATCCATCGGATGGACAGGGCCTTGCTGGTCGGTTCGTGCCCAGTCCCCTTCCACATTTGCACCCTGCTTCTCAAATCCCTCGCTCCAATAGGCCTCCCGGAAGGCCTCAGTAGTCTCATAAAAGATGTTGTTGTAGAGCCAACCCTCCAGCTTCCACTTGCTCGGATCTCTGCCAGTCACATCGGACATGACATACAAGCCGAGAGGCAGCAGAGTCTCGGCGTCAAAGTCGTCTGTTGGGCGGTTCCAAAAGGTGTCCCAGCGTATGATCTTCCCGTCATCCTGCCACAAGGGGTCGATGCCCCAGATGTCGAGCGTGTCATTGTCCAAACCCATGGCAGTGCCATTCCACAGGTCCAGGGTGATGTCTGCGACGGACTCGCCAAGCTTGTAAAGCCACTCAGTGTATAGCGTGTCCGAGTCGGCATCCAGATTGCGAACGCGACCGCCGTTCTTCTTGGTGTAGGGAAATTCGAGCGGCTCCCACGTTGTGGTGACATTGTCAATGGGCAGCGGTCCCACGAGGATGTCAGCATAGTATGGAGCTTCGGTTGCGCGGTTGTTGAGAACGACGTGAGCGTATCTGGCTGGTTCCGTCGCATCCCCGTCCAGGTAAGCAAGAGCGTCAGTCTTGTTAGGCCACATTGCCTCAACCAGCTGTCTGCAGATAGTTGAACAAGTTAGTTCTGCTCCCAGGTTAGATCACGATTTCTTCGGCAGCACACTGACATGGTGTTGTCCCATTCTGTGGCATTCTCGCTGACCGTCAGGTTCAGATCCTGCCGTCCGAAAAGCCACTGAACGACAGAAGCAGTTTCCACATCAGTTAGCTCGCCCCATACATTCTTTTTTGGGGCTGTGATGCTGGTGGTCAAGGTGTCGGCGCAAGACGCCTCTGTTGTCCGTCGATGACCCTCGATAGCGCGCTTGATGTTGTTCGCCATCTTTTTCCTCCCCGGCCCTTTACGGACCCAGGGCGCCTTGGGACTCGGCCGGGCCAGCACATCATGGGCGAGTAAGCTAAGAAGCAAAAGTGAAAGCACAATCGCCCTTGGGCGAAGACAATCAGATATTCCCATGCTTAACCAGGTGCTGTCGTTCAGGCCTAAGGTATTTGTACCGTTCACTCCACGACGAAAGACTGGCAAACAGAGGCTGGCTTGCTCTTTTCAGTTGCCGAGGTTGTCCCCAACACTGTCAACCTTGGGTTGGGTCGGCTTCTTATTCTTACCTTCCTGCCGGGATCCTGTCTTGCAGGATTGCTCGGGAAGAATTCCATAGCTGTCATGCCTTGTCCGGATTTCACTTTGGAGTACAGAGCTTCACTATCGGCCAGCATAACAAGGTCAGCCCGGTCAGCCCGGTCAATATTGGCCCGCTTGCTATCCTTGCATGCCGGAATACGTTGTAGGAGCGAACCTAACCAAGGTCGTACTACGTCGTGTAGTCTGTAGAGCAGGGCATGTATGAACCATTGATGTCAAGATAAGATAAGATCAAAGGATAGGTGCAGTGCTGAGGGGAAGTCAGGGCTAGGCAGATATAACTGATATCGATGCCGATAGACATGTACACATGATCACTTTCGTTATCTCAGAGCCGAGGCGGGGTTGCCCTTCAACGCAGTGAAAGCTTCCACAGCAGATGATACGGTTGTACAAGGCCGCACTTCTTAGCCAAAATAGGTCAAGTGGGTTTTGATCCTTTGCTTTTAGCAACCTTGAGCTTACACGGATACTTATCTGCAACGCGATAACCAACTATTCGGTCTGGAACTGGAACGGCAATTGCAGCTTGAGATACTACTCGCTCACGAATAACCCAAGAAACACTTACCTACAAGCTTACCAATCGTGCTCAAGCTTGCTCCAGGGTGTGTACATCTCACGCCCTATTGTCATATCCGTGGCAGTGTGCTCTCGGCCTTGAGTCAACAAAAACAAATACACAATCCAAAAGCATCCACCGTGCGACCAGAGATCCCTCTCGGGGAAGCTGTTGCTTATGTGTATGTGGCCTCTCTGGCACTTAAAGAACATTGCTAGTGGACAGTTCCTGCAGGACAGACAGCAGTTCGATCTTGTACTACGTATATAGAAAGGTGAGTAAGAGTTTACCCTCTCCTTCAACTACACCCTGATCCATTGTTATGGGAAAACAAGCTCTGTTGCTACTGCTCTGATGATCTGATGATGATGGTGGTAGGGAAGAAGAGAGATGGCCAGAGAGGCTCTGGAAGGCAAGCCTACCTTATATAGGCTTGCCTGGCTGTGTGGTGGTGACATAGGGTGTTCGCCCTGGCAAGGAAGACAACAAAGGAGCTCTAAGGAGGCCTAAGGCCCAAAGAGTTCCACTAACAATTGTACAATACCATTGAATTAACCAAGCCGGTAATCGACTCTTGGGATAGCGCATCCTACACTTTGATTGCGAGGCTCCGGAGCCGGGAGCTCCCCTTCAGTTTGTCGGGAACTTAGCTAAGGTAAATACCGCTTGACGGCACCCGTTCCGTGCATTCTCAATTGGAGAGAGGTTTGGGGATTCAGGGTATTGAGGGTATTGAGGAAGTATCTCAAACCGTGGTGTTGCTTGCAGTCTCGGACGGTGTTCTTCTTGCCCATACCATGTCCAGAGTCGCCGTCTTCCTCTGCAACATACATGTACATAGTGATTTCTACGTCACAGTGCAAGCTAGGAAGCAACAACCTTCTTAGGATCTCGTCCCGATATTAGTACTTGCGTCGACATCTTCCCGTTCGTGTTAGCTGGGATCTCGTAGAGGTATAGTTCTGACTTGATGGTATCCCACCCGATGGCTGCCTAGGCGGGAGGTCGTTGACTGAGACTCGTTTAAGATGCATTGTTTCCGGCTCAAGAGCTTCTTGAATCAGGCAGTGCCGCTCACCTGGCTTCCGAGTAATCATAACCCGGGCCCGCAGGTCCAGGAGAAAATGTATCCAAAGTTTCCCGTTCAGCGACCAAGCATATAGCTGTGTACCTGGCAAGTTCCGAGATGTCAGGGTCAACCTCCGAGACTCTGCGTTTCAGCCATGGCGTCGCGTGCCAACAGCACCCAACCAGTGGCATCGCAGTTCGGACGCTAGACCGCGCGGCTGAGCCTCAGGGGAAAACACTTGGCACTTGAACTGTTTTCTCCCGTCCTCCTCCTGCTGGAAACGCCCGGTTGGTTTCCTTTCACTCGCAGACCCGAAAATCTCCTGCGCATGTCGTTTCTGTTTTGCCGCAGATGACTTTCCAGCAAGCGCCATGGAGCCTCATGGAGGTGAGGGACGCCCGGCCGGGTTATCTTGTGTACTTGCTGCTTTTATCTTTGTCGAGAGCGGGGAGCTCAGTCGCAGTTCAGCAAGGCACCAAGCAAACTGAGGTGCAAGGAGACGCTGGCAGCGCCAGACTGACAGCGGATGCTCGACCTCCTGCAATCACTCCGGGGCCGGATCGCCGACGAACACCTCCTGGCTCCCCTCTTCGTGCTCGGGGACTTGCAAGCCCTCACTACTGTGGATGGGACTTCGGAGACATAGGTATGTTTTCGAAGCATTCCATTGGCATTGATTCGAGCCACTGGTCAGGCAGCTCGGCTTAGGGTCCGTTCTCACAGAGTCACAGATAAAGCAATTACATGCGGGGATCCATTCAACTCTCCAACTTGCGCCATTATTGATGCTAGATTTGTTGGTTGTTGCGACGGTAATGGCAAATGCTCGCATTACACCACTTGTTATCCCAGCGCGGTCCACGACGCAATGGCATCTAGGGACCCTCGTGCACTGACTTGGTATGTGTCATTAGTTGTCTCCCAAGACCTGCAGATGGCAGTACTTTTGAAGATTCCCCGCTAACTAGACTGGACAGTACTGACGTGGTCTCCGTGGAAACATCAAAGCGGACCTCGACCAAGGATTCCGTCGAATCGACGTTTACCTATTTCTGGACGACGTTTAACGTTGACGTAACCGCCGGGGAATGCGTCGAGTATATCTGGGACCTGAGCTCGGCAACATCATGGAGTTGTGCACCATCTTGGAATATTCACTACGCCATGACCTCCGTCTATGTTGGTGGGCTATCGGTGTCCCTCCCAGCTCGCTCAGTAGATGGCACACCACTCCCGTCCTTAGATCCACCTGGCAGAGATCTGAACAGTAATTCAACAACCTACGTTATCATTGGAACCATACTCGGCGTTGTTGTATTGCTTACAATATGTGGCTTCGCTTGGTGGATGTGCTGGAGGCGGAACAGGGGTTGTTCCCGCAAGACGTCCAATGAACCGGGCCATGAGAATACTTCTGCCTTGGTTCTACAAGCATCTCCCGCCCGGACAAGTCGGGATCCCATTTCAGACCAGGCGCGTCCGATCCATGGGGACATCAGCCAAGTACGAAACCAACCTAGCGTTACCCAGTCGACATCCGTCCACACAGAACCATCTACTGAGAACTTTTCGCCTGAAGGGCTGCGAAGCGGGCAGCCTCATGACAAGAAAATGGCGAGGGTAACTCTGTCTCACATGATACCGTCTCCTTTGCCGCCGCCAGCTCAACCAGTAGCTCCGCTTTTTTCACGTTGACCGCCGCTTATACTTTGGGATATCTGGGATGCATCTTAGAAAATACCTATATTTCACTGCCTGTAACTTGAATGACTACTTCACCTAAAATGGCTGCTGCGACTAATGCACAGAAACAATACTAAGATGACGACAACTTTGCCCTCTTGAGATCTCTGAGTCCAGCAAGGAGGTCCTCAACGTCGTATCCTTGCGCCCGTAGACTCGCCAACTCCTCCTCCAGCAAGCTCATCTCGTTGGCAAATCTCGCTACAGATTCATTACTTAAACGAAAATTCGGGCTTTTCATCTCAGTTTCCATGATGTCCAAAGCAATGTATGTCATCCGTGCCCTGCAGAACTTGAAATCCACCCGTTGATTACCAACGTGGTCCAAACTTTGCCCAGCGTAGTCCCGCGCTATCGTGAGGTACGTTCTCGCTTTTTCCCATGATGAACAGGCTGCCGACATATTGCAGAGATTCAAGCAGCATCGCGCTAACTGGTCATACACGACAAACAGCTGCCCAGGATGACAGCTCGCAACACCCGGTTGTTCTAGCAACGTACGAGCGCAGCGATAGTAGTCGATAGCCTCCCGGAAGTTGCCATCCCGAAAATGCTTGTCTGCTCGTTCCATTTGGTGTGCTATTGATCGCCAGCTTGAGGTTAGCTTGGCCACGTCATCCACCTATACACGTGTACGTGTTTCGAAGGCATCATCAACTTACATAGACCTTGACCTGGCCCTGGACTCTGTGCCGGTTGACTTGTGCTTTGCACTTGGCCATCCCATGACCTCGCAGCATTGTTGGCGCTGGGTGAAGCGAGATATGATCCGAAGCTTGATGAAGAACGGGAAAGCTGGGGGTTCTGATAAAGAGTTGGGGCCTCGGTTTGGGGTTGAGCAGCAAGAAAGGTGAAGTTTCGAGGTTGTGGCGGAGGAAGGGTATTGGAAGCCGGGGGCGTAACAGGGTACTGTAAAGCTAGACTGGGATTTGGCGAAACCGGCGGTCTAGACATTGAAGATGCAGATGGTGTGGGAGATGGGCCTGAGCCTAGCGCTGGAGAAGGTCTATCGGAAGGTGTCGGGCGGCTTCCATCGTAGCGACTCGGCGATGCCATGGGCACATCAGACTCCATACTGGGCCTAGCGGACCCAGCGGCCAAGAGCATCCGGTTGATCTTCATCTTCAACTGCCCCAGAACCAGCGTGAATCTAGGGTCGGTCGATAACTCGAACTTGCAAAGCAGGTGATGATCAGCTGCTAGCGGTATCCGATCTTCGTGAGAGAGACGCATCGTTGCGGAACGCTTGTTGACAATCTGGATTGAACAGTCAGATGGGATATTGACCGCAGCCTTTTGTGGGTTCGTAGAGGAGGAAGGAGAAAAGGTGACATGGGTTCATTGTTACCAGCTGCCTTAAGATTGGGTGGTGTTGGGTCTCATAGAACGACAGGATGAACTTGAGGTCTGCGGCCTGCTCCACAAACCGTTCACAGAGTCTGTCCAGTTCAAGGGAGTGGTCCGCAAGCAGCGCGACATTCAACCTCAGGTTCCTAGCGATTCCAGGAACCCTGACAAGGAGATTTAGTGCTGTGGCCACAGGCGAACCCAAGTGCGGCGTCCCCATGAACACTACTCCCTTCGGGGCATCGAGGAGGAACTCAAAGTGGCGGCGTCGGTCGCTTGCCTCCAGGAGCGCCGTCTTGAGAACGATGCCCCCAAGGCTGTGGCAGATGAAGACTATCGGACGGTTCAAGGGCTTTGATTGAGCAAAGGATGTCAGAACTTATGCGAAACGATATTAAGGTATCACCACAGGACTAAGGGATATTCCGTGGACAAAAACTTGAACTTACAAGACCATCACGTTCGATCTGTAGACGAGCGAGGAGATCCTTTGCGGCATCCTCAATGGTCGCAACCGAATTGCTGAGCCACGCCTTCCCGGCATCATATCCGTACGTGAATATTCGCGCTCGAGGGAAACTGTCCTTGAGGAAGTCCCTAATCCACAATGCACCGTTGCCTGACGGACTGGTCCAGCTTCCAAACTTATCGCCCCCCAGGCCGTGAATCGCAATGATGCTAAACAAGAACGTTAGTCGCACAAACCCTGTGGGAGATGTAGAAACCAGAGAGACGATAACACAGACTCCAACACAGTATCTGCAGTTCTGACATTCGGCGGATGATATAGTTGGAACAAATCGGGTTCGGAAGACATGCTCGGCGCTTTTCAGCACGTTGCAACGATCATAACAGCGACGGAAATGGTGTAGGAGAAAACTTGCCGGCAGGGAAAACCACGACATTTCAGGGGTAACATGTGCATCGCCCTCTCGACTCCGATATCATGCATAGCTCAGCTCTCAGCCCCTTCGCCAAATGGTATATCTAGCCAATGAAAACTGTGCCTTTGCCTTGCGGCTTGCATTGACGCAGGATGCTGGCTCGGGCGAGATTGAAGCACTCATCACAAATCGATATGTTAATTGCAGAGAATTGGTTAATTCGGGTTGTCTATCCTATGCCCTGAGCAATAGCACTAGATCATATAATAACCGTTGGTTTGTTATACAACGATATCAAACACCCCTTGACTCTACCTACACTAGCGGCCTCGAACAGGCCAAGTTGACGAATTTCTCCTGGAACTGAAAGAATCCCCCAGCCCGTTCTCCCCACGACCGGGAAAGAAGAAACGAAAGGCACTCTCTCACCACGTCTCCTTGATAAGATCAGCTGCCCTCTCAGCAAACGCATACACAGTCGCCTGCAGATTCGCGGTGCTGACCATGGGGATAGCGCTCGAGTCCACAACACGCACGTTCTCGACGCCGTACACCCTCAGCTTAGCGTCCACTACACCGCCGAGCTCTCGCGGCAGCATAGCGCAGCTGCCTGCCGGGTGCCACATGGACGTGCCCGTGGTGCGCAAATACTTCTTGGCCGTGTCCAAATCGACCAGGTGCGAAGCCGGGTCCCGGCGGGTCAGCGGCTGGTGTAGCAGACGTGCCAGCGGCGGTGACGACGCAACGATGGTCTCGATGTGCAGCAGGTGGTGGGCCAGGACTTCCTCGTCGATGGGGTTGGAGAGATAGCGCGGGTCGATCACGGGGTCGACGAACGGGTTGCTCGACTGGATGTGTACGCTGCCACGCGAGAGTGGGTGAGACAGCATGGCGCCGATCGAGACGAACTTGCCTGGGACCGGTCCTGTGGGTGACCCGGAGCCGGGCTCGACAGGGGGGGCCGTCTGCGCCATGAGGCTGAGGTACGCCCCCGACGGCGCCTTGGAATCCAGCAGCATCCTCTCGGCGATGTTGTGCAACGCTCGTGCGAGTGGCTGGCTCTCGTCGGGACGGTTGCTGTCGAGAAGCTCGCGCAGCCGATGTTGGCCTTCCACTGGCAGGGGTAGGTAGGCGTAAGTGTATACCCCGACGGAGGTGAGCGGCCCGGAGCGGCTTGACTGGTACTCTTGCATAGCCTGACCAATGGCTTCGGGCTCCTGCCGGGCGAGTGCGTCGAGAGTCTCCAGGTCGTCTCGCGCCTGGTAGCCGATGCTAGTGACGAGGTGGTCGTTTAGGTTCTCGCCTACGCCGGGAAGGTTCTGGACGACATCAATACCGTGCTTCGCGAGCAGCTGTGCGTCACCTATGCCCGACAGTTCGAGCACCTTGGGGGACTGGAAGGCGCCTGCTGCAATGACAACTTCTTTCGCCGCCGCAACCGTTTTAAACTCGCCATCCTTAACGTACTGGACCGAGGTGGCGCGGATTTTTGGCACGGACGGAGAGGCCTTGTCAAAGTCGATCTTGAGCACACAAGCGCCAGTGAGTACCTGTAGGTTGTCGCGGTTCTTGATTGGGTGATAGTAAGCTGTGGTTGCGTAGCTCCTCTCCTTTTTGGCCGGGTCGATGCTAGCCAGACAGCTGAAAGCTCCTACGGATGATTCAAAAAACGGATCATGCGCCATAGCGAGGCCGCTGATCTTGAAAGTCTCTGCCCAGGCTTCTCGAATGGGGTGCGAAGCGGGCCCGGGAAACGAGGTCTGGATGGGACCCGAGGCGGTTTCATTATCACGGCTCGTCCACTCGCTAATACCCATGACTCGCTCAAGGCTCTTGTCAACCTGCGGGGATGTGTACGCTCTGGCGAAGTAGGGCCGTAGCGCGTTCCAGTTCCAGCCTGGGTTACCGAGTTGATCCCATGCGTCAACCAGGCATTTGGCCGGCGGCACAAAGACATGTGCGTTGATGCTGCTCGACCCGCCCAGAGCCTTGCCCTGGTTGACAGGAACCTTTCGCCCATTGAGTTGGGGCTGCGGCTCGGTGGAGAAACCCCAGTCGGCGTCCGTACGCTCCAGAGCCTTATACAGGGCCGGAATCTGAACACGCGGGTCGGCACTGTGGTCTTCGCCCGCCTCGAGTACAAGGACGCGAACATGTGGGTTTTCCGACAGGCGGGCTGCCACCACGAGTCCGGCTGTACCGCCGCCGAATGACGTAGTCAAACGATGTAGAATTCATGATGTTGGCTTGAAGAGGTGATTGATGGCAAAAGTAAGCGACGAAAGGAATCAGGGGGGGGGAGGGGGGGGGGGGGGGGGGGGGGGGGGGGGGGGGGGGGGGGGGGGGGGGGGGGGTCGTGCACGTCGTAAGAGCAGGAAATGGGTTCAGGGAGTTAGGTTTATCGTTCTAGGACATTGTTGGTGAGCTCCTTGCAGTGTGGAATTCAGGGGTACTTGAAGGGTGGAGGGCTGTGCCGTCCGGGTCTAGATCCCGTCCCGTCGATACTACCTATGAACCAACATGCATTACACAGTAGTACTATACGCAGGAGGGTGGCCGGGTTAACTAGTGTAACCACTACGATCATGGGGTTGGATCCTGCCGAGAGCGCCCCTTGGCCTTATGGTGCTCTGGTCATGGTGCAATCACTTTCTCCTTCTTCAACCTCCACAACCAGCGCCACCCCGCAACGGCCGCCGGGGATGCGCGGAACAAACCCTGGCGACCTGTGCCGTCCGGGCGCATAACCCGGCAGCAGACAACCGCAGTTATGCTGTGCATGTACCCCGTAGTGCTGTTCACGGTCGCGTTTACGGCGGGCGGTCTCGGGCCCTGTCTACTCGAGGCCGTCTCCTGCCTGTGGTACAACGAACTGGATGGGGCGTCAAACCCGTTCATCAAAACCTGTTCAAATGGGGTCGGCTTTGCCTGCTTCTTTGGCGGACCACTCGAGCTGGTGATGGGCCGTTCAGTCCTTTCAGGACAGGACGAAGCTGCGCGGTAGCCTGCCATTATGGCCGCAGCCAAAGACTTTCGAGACGTCGCGGGTGACAAGGTTGCTGGACGCAGAACGGTGCCCCTTATGATTTATGATACAAACGTAAGGTTGCTGGCAGCTGCCCGTTTCGTCCTCTGGTCTGCCGTGTCGTGTTGGTGCTGGGGTGTTGGCTTTGTAACATGGAAGGTCGCGGTGGGGGTCTGGGTGGCGGCTTTGCATCTCATCGCGAGTCTGATCTGCGATAGGAGTCATCGTGGGGATATTTTCACATGGGAGCTGTATCCTGTCTGGCTTTTGAGCCTGTCTGCTTTGCCACTCCTCGGAGCCCAAGCGTACCGCTAGTCACTTGGTCGAGGGAGTTGATGGTTGGATGCAAGGTCGGCAATTTCGCGGTGATTATGTAGGTATGTGCGTAGGATTTTGACAGAAAATCCCCCACGCTCCGGCTTGAGCATAATAGTATTGTAAACGGCCCCCAACAGAGCATGACACTACATGTTACCTATAGTGGGAAAGGGAAGGTGGGATGGCAAAGGGGGTTGGGGCTAGGGGTACTGTACTTATATGACATATGTACACACTACAATACATAGACCTCAACGGTCTCTTACCAACTACCAACCATCACTGGGCTCCTGTAGTTCGACCTTCATTGGTTGCCAAGGCTAGAGTAATGTACGTACGAGTCAAGCAATCGGCCATTTACAGCCAACGCCACAGTTCATCAATGCCGCTGTTGAATCAAGGCGTTATGTTCAATCCCACTGGCAACCTGGAACTTAAGGCAAGATAGGCTGCCTCAGTCACTTTCCGCGTCGCAAAATAATCAGTCAAGCAACTACGGATACATCAACCGATTTGTGATTACCTGCAGGTACCCTTCATCCATGTTACCGCCCAAGAGCACCCCCTTAATAAGCGCACACGATCCTATAATCTGGCATACCTAATCAAATCCTTCCCTTCTGCTCACTTGACCGCCGCCGCAGGGCAACTGAAGTACCACGGCTTCATCAGGCAACCGGGACGCATAACTCGAAGAACACCCCGGCCTCCGTAACAACTCGGGATGGCACTGAACCTCGATTCGCGGCCTACAATTTTCCCAAGCGCCTTGGTATCTGTGACTATCTCGTTGCCATCCGCAAACCTCTCGTTGATCATACTGGGGCCATTACGGTGCTGTCCTGACAAGTTGTTTCGACTTGGTGAACTCTCGGTTCGAGTTTGCATCTAAGGACGGCAGCGGCGCCATCCCGAGCGAAGAGTTGAAAGTTATTCGGCCCTCTCCTATGTTTGGAACCTTCAAGAAACCTAAACAACGACGGAAAGAAGACGACGAGGGCAAAATCGGAGAATAAGAACAAGAGAAGAAGAAAATGGCCCTGCCGCTGGGCGCAGTCCAACTGGCTGTTGTTTCGTTCATTTCCATCTCTTTGTCCCTGGCTGCCCTGGCGCTACGGTTATGGTCAAAGCACATCTTGCACCGTCCTCTGGTCTTTCATGACTACATGGCTTGCGGCGCCATGCTCTTCACGACTGGCGCAGCGTCCGTCTACCTCGCAGCAGGGTTTGCTGCAGGCTTGGGACTGCATCTCGACTATATTATGGCGACCGACCCTGCTATTCTTGCACTTTTTCTCAAGGTAAGCCAACGCTGAATCAATTGTCCGTTTTGAGTTTTCGTTTCTCTCCTTCACAAGAGCTAAGAACAGCATCAACAGTTATTCGTACCAGGGCAGCTCCTCTGGGCGGCCGCCAACACATGTGTCAAGATTTCGATCCTGTCGCTGTACACCTCCCTATTCGAGGCTAGCTGGCGATTCGTCCTTCTCTGCTACGCCACCATGGTGTTCACCGCGGCATACTTCATCTCGGTCCTACTCGAGACCTTCCTGCTCTGTAAGCCGGTTGAATTCAACTGGGACAAGTCCATCGCTGGCAGTTGCGAGGGGCAGAACACAGCTTATCTCGTTGCGGGCATCACAAATCTCGTGATTGACGTCTTTGTTGTTGTCATGCCCATGCCTATGTTGTTTGGTCTTCGCATGTCTCTGCGGAAGCGATTGGGCGTGGTAGGCATGTTTAGCTTGGGAGGATTGTAGGTTCAATTTTTGGTCACTGCATCATCTTTTTCTATTTCCCCCTGATGTGCTGACGTATGCGCTTAAATCACAAAAGGATCTGCGTCCTGTCGATGCTGAGGGTTATCTGGCTTAACAGCTGGGACCTGACCGACATGACCTACACCGTTACTCCAGGCGCCATTTACTCCGTTTTGGAACCCACGCTCGGCGTCGTCAACGCCTGTTTGCCAACCATCAAGCCGGCCGTCTCCAAGATATTTGGGCACCAAAGCACCCGGGCCCCTAATACCGGGAACATCGCCTCAACAGACAGCAGAAATATCCGGAAATCGCAAAACTCGAAAGGCCTGTACACACGACAATTCGAGAGGCTTGAGGACGACGTCACACTCATCGATATCCGTTCTGGGCCTCCTTCAGGTACCAGCGACCCGAACATGAACGCAAACAAGGACATCACTGTGAGTCGGGGGTGGGCGGCATACAGCGAGTGACAAAAGGTGCGAGGGCAGTTGGATTCGGTTTGTGATTACAGGTCAAGTGCAGAACTTGCTGTTGTGGCTGCCGAATTTGGCAGGGCGGGGCCGCCATTTTCGGGTGTCTCGACAGTGAGGGGCGCTTGGTCACCAGCCAGGTACTTGGTACCTCAAGCACAGGGCTTGACCACTCCTCCAATCAATTCCCGCTGCAAAATCCACGACCCCACCTGCTCTATCCTCCAATGAGCGTCCCGGTCCTGGGGCAGTTGGTTTCGAGCGAAGAGCAGCCGCTCTCGCGGTCTGCCCGCCGCGATCCAGGAAACCGTTTTCTTCTACCTGGCATCCATTTTTGGCTCCCCGGCGCAGCCAGACAGATATAAAAATGACGCCTCTCGCGCTTCCCGTCGTCGCCGTCTCGTCGACTGTTGTCGTTAGAGTCGGCGGCGTTGCCCCTCGGCACTCAACGCCATCGCCATGCCGGCACATCGCCCGCCGCGGCCCCTCGTAGAGGATCGGGATTACAATGCGAATTTCGTCCTGCGCTTCACGCGGCGAGAAGCCAAACAGTGGAATGCGAAACGGCCAGAGGCTCTCACAGCCGAGCAGCGTGCAGCTCTCCGCAAGCAGCTTGAGGATACCCAGTTCCTTCAACCCGACTATACCGACAAGACCAAGATCAACATTGCCGGTATACTACAAAAATGGAAGAGGTAAACAGGTTACCTCCCTCCTACTGCATTTACATTTTTCACTAAACGAACCTGGAGATACTATAAATTTACCAAAGCATGGGGAACCTGGCGAGAAGTGTTATGGAAAGCAACCTGGGCGACGGCGATGGATTTCCTTGAATATCTATGTTACATATATACGATCGAGTTGTAGGGCTCGTCCTAGGAGTATTTCCGCTAGTACAAGCAGCTATATACCCGTGTTAGAGGCCGCTATATGGATATAAATGACAGTAACGAAGTTGAAAAGGTATACCCTTCCAAGCTTTTATACACCCAACGCAGTAGCTAATTCGCCTTGCAAGTGGCACGATGTCGTATTGGTCTCCCTATACGGCCTGCGAGCGCCATATACCCGTGGAAAGGACGTCGCGAACTCGGATGCCTTGCTGCGCCTACTGACCTCTAATATCAAGTACAATACCGCTATCCTCAGTTGGGAAAAACACCGTATATATCTGCCGGGATGCTACCTCGGCCTTGCCTTCACGGGGGCTCGGCCGGCTGAGTTTGTGGACGGCGAACGAAGTAGCGGCAAGGACGGGTGTCTGGAGGAACTCTTCCCGCAGTACGCTACTGGGGGTGCCCCTAGCGACGAGGACAAGGCGCCCGATGAGCTTTCTAGGCTGCTGGAACGGATGATCTCGCAGGAGTACGAGGGCTGTGGACGCCCAAAGGCGCTCTGTTATGAGGACATTTTGCTGATGGTCGTACGCCACCCGGAAACTGGCGAGGACGTCCTGGCTATGTCCATCAAGCTGGCGCACTACAAAGGCGCAGACAATAAGCCACAGCCGTAAGTGATCGCCTACTTCTCTTTAGCGTCTTGTAGCTAACACGACCTGCCTTCTAGGACTATCTTCTTCTTTACCCCTACCAGGAGGTTGATCTTCTGTTTTATAAGCATTATCGTTAGCCTGGCAGTCCACGACCGTGCGTTTGCCGCATCGAAGTTCAGCAGCGTCAGAGCAGTTTTCCAGGCGAAGAACCGGGGACCGGTCAAGTGTACGCCTTTGCGATGGAAGAAGAAATGGCTCAAGCGGCCTGTTTTCCGCCGACTTGACGACTCTATCGCTAAGGACAACTCCATTTCCGAAGACGAATCGGATGAATCGGACGAATCGGACAGCTCAGACAAATCAGACGGCTCAGAGTACCAACTTCTACCATACCAGAAGCTGTTAGATGACATGAAGCGGCAGTCGCTCGATGCTGGAGAAGAAAACCCGATTGAACCAAAGGCCTGGCGTAGGGGAGCGGCTAACGTAGCGAATGGTATGTTCTTTCTATCCCTATAGTAGCCTTGTCTAATTTAATAGCGCCCAGGCAATAGCTCTAATGCTATCTATAATTAGATAATGCACTACAACCCTAGGTAGGCTACGTTCAACAGTATATATATCAACAAAAAGGTGGGGTTCCACCTCCAGAACGCGTTCCTGGACGAGCCGACCGAGGACAGCTTGCTCAAGATGCTCTCGCATATCGGCCACATACGCGACCCTCGCGCAAGGAAGGATATGGTTCCCGATCCGGTTTGGGAGACGATGCCGCCCGATCCAGAGATTGAGGCACTGAAGGCAGAGAGGGCACAGCTCAAAGGCAGCTAGTACCGGATCAAAGGCACGGAAAACGAGGACCGGATTCGAGAACTTACCAAGTTGATCGCGAGTATGGAGGCACAGCGGAGGAAAAAAATCCGGCGAGCTTACCGAGAAGATTACTTCTACAACCGTCCGACCTGGGACATCGAGGCCGACAAGAGCGACGAAGAGGAGTATGTTGAGCCGGCTGTCGAGCTGCAGATAACTAAGCGCGCCAAGCTCGCCGAAATCCTCTGCAACCAGCCGGACAACTTAAGCTCCGCAGAGCTGCTCGAACTCCGTATCCAGGCTGCTGAGCTTATGGTCGCGTTGTGCGACAAGCGAGAAACCAGAAAGAGGGACCGTATCCGGCGGAGGGTGCGGGCCGATGGTGCAGTGAAGGAGGAGTCTCCCGGGCCCGACCCTTTTCCACTCCTAATGAGCAAGAAGCAATGTCCACGGTGCATTGGGGATAAAACCCTGTCCTATGAGGAAAGAACATTCGAGTACTGTCGGCCAGCGGTGATGTACGACCATTTCGATAGGAAGCACGCACAAGACCTTAACCCGTGCAACCACCCTAAGTGCGTAGGGTGCGCGCTGAAGTTCAAGCACTTGAACCATTTTAAGAACCATGTAGAGAGGGTCCACGGCGTTCCATTACGGCCGTGAGTGTATTTAGTTAACACTATTATAAAGGCTAGTTATTCTATATTTCTAGAGAGTGCAAACGACTTGGCTTTCTCAGGATGCCTTAACGTGATGGTGGAGGGTGCAACGATTCTTTTTTGGCTGACCGGTAAGGAGGGCATTAGCCTGCTACAGCCAAATACCACAGTCAGATGACTGCCCTACAGTGCGCACTATACCATATCTCTGCCGCTTTGTGGCACCTGTGGCACCTGTGGCGCACCAGATGGCACGACCAGACGGACGACACTAGGCGGGCACTCCGAATCCGAGTTGTTTCTATTTTCCCTCAAGGTGGCACGACCATACCAGGCGGCACAACCAGACAAGGCAATACGACAAGGCAATACGACAAGACAATGCGACAAGACAATGCGACAAGACAAGTCTGCAACCAGACAAGTCTGCAACCAGACGGCCGGTCGCATTGTCGTATTGTCTTGTCATATTGTCTTGTTGTATTGTCTTGCCGTATTGTCTTGTCGTATTGTCTTGTCGTATTGCCTTGTCGTATTGTCTTGTCGTATTGCCTTGTCGTATTGTCTTGTCGCTTCACGCAGCTCGAGTAAAGCCCGTCCTGTCTTGCTCTCTTCCGGGCCAATCGAAGCCTTCTGCAAGGGACCCAGCTTAAGTAGGTCTGGCCCCACAGGGTGGAAAGGCACGGACCAACTGAGAGTTGGAATTTTCCAATCCGCAGTTGGCTCGTGCACAATGAAGCCTCTGCGGCAGAACTGCACGGACCAACTGAGGGTTAACAGGAGTGACCGTGCCGGCAAGCGGCACGCAAAAGGAAGCCTGGAGGAACTGTGCTGCACCTTGTGTGGGTTTGCTATACAATATTTGGAAGCCAACCCTAACCCTACTGGGCTCGTCTTTATCCGAAGTTAAGCCGGTAGAAAGGTTAGGCAGACAACACTGCCTGACCCCGCCCAAAGCACAGTCGAAGCACCATTCAACCTTCCACAATAAGCTCCATTCTACTCGAACATACTTTAAGGATTCTCTCAGATACAATGGTTGGACTTTTTCAGCTTCCTAACGAGGTGCTGGCTTTCATATTTGACGGGCTAGACGCCCAAAGCTTCTCCGCCCTCCGGTTGACGTCCAAATATGCAAAATTAGCTACGTTGCCAGCTTTCACCAGCCGGTACTTCCGAACCCGATACGTAATGCTCTCAAGGCCCGGCCTCGAAAACCTTGCGGAGATTGCGCGACATCCAGACTTTGGCCCTGCTGTGAGAAAACTAGAGCTCTGTACGGATCATTTCGTGGAGTTCCCAGATTCATTCTTTCATATTGCACGGCATGAAGGCGACATGTTACTGGCTATACAAGAAGGTCCATATCCTCCCGCAGTTGTAGTGGGCAGCACAGATGATGTACACTCATCCGGCGACGACGAGGACCAAAGCCCTGGAGAGGAAGGTGGGGGGGCCGATGAAGGGAGTCTTGCGTCTCAGGACTCGTATGAGGCGCCTTTGGATAAGGCGGCTTATACGTCACTGTGGGAAGAGCAGGAACACATGATCATGTCTGGCCTTGCGCAGGCCTACATCACGCAGGCGCTGATTTCTCTTACCAACATCGAGGCGGTCGTCATTAGCAACAGGCACCGGCCCTGGGGTGCGCTAGCGCTTGGCCGACAAACAGGTCTACCGCCAACAAACGCCGTAGACGACTACGAGGAGGTTCCCTTTCTGGGCCGACTCCTTCGCATCACCCTTACAGCTATCGCGACGAGTGGTGCCGCTCTTAGCAGCCTTACCATCACAGCTGGCCTCCCTCGGGAGGCGATTGTACCCGACATTCTCAGACTCCCGGAGTCGCATTTGCAATACTACAAGAGCCTCCCTCCAAGCCTCACGGAGCTCACACTGAATGTATCCGCCGAGGCAAGGAGGGGCGCCGGGGACCGATGGGCGGACGACGTATCAGCATTTATCGGTGTGTTTCGACAAGTCACACAACTGGATCTGGTCATCAAGCCCGTCGACTACGGCCCGCAGGTTGACCGGTTGAAACAGCTCGTACCAAAGCTTCAACTACCGAATCTAGAAGGCCTAGGGCTCTATAGGGCATATTGTAGCATACAGGATCTTGGAGGTTTTATCATGAGGCACAAAGCAACACTCCAAAGCGTTACTTTGGTCCGAGTAGGAGTTTCGGATGGAATTGGCCACTGGAGGTCTTTGTTCGCTCTAATGCGTGATCATCTCCCAAGGCTCGGGTTATCCATACAACGATGCACTGCAGGGGGGCTTGCCCTATTGTGCCGAATGGAAGACGAAAATGGAGAGGAATTTGAAGATTGTTTTGATGTGGGGGGCAGTCACGAAGCCTGGACGGCAGCAATCCAGGCGATAGAAACAAGATAGATTGCATCGTCTGACTATTTAAAGTTTCAGAGTCTATTGCCAGCGGCACTATTGCCAGCGGCACTATTGCCAGCGGCACTATTGCCAGCGGCACTATTGCCTTTGTGAAGGGCATAATGTTTTACCTACAACCTCCGTTGGCCGTCCTCCCCAGTCAGATAAGCAGAGAAGACAGCTCGCTCTGGTGCGACTCGGAGGTTTCCGAGATCGAATCGTGTTGCGTCGTCGCTAAACTCTGAAGAGCGGAATAAGTCACGATGGATAGACGATTTAGTAGTGAGGTACTGCAGACTCTGTTGGGTGCTCCGTATCTTCAATAGAAGAGAAACCAAAAGATATCATCAACAAGGACTGTTTCAACAGTTGTGTTCAGTTTTCCTCCTATAGATGTTGTATATACGTCCCAGTGCTAAGATAAGGTGCTTCTGAGGTAAAATAGGAGTTAAGTATAACGTTAAAAAAAATAAAAAAATAAAAAATAAAAAAAGAGAACCAAGAATTCGGATCGCTCCTTAGCGAATGGGACTGAACAAACACATTACCTATCAGAAAGTCAACAATTAGGTTGATAGTCGACATCTTTCCCCCTCTTCCTCTTGCCTAACACTTTTCGCTCCTCCGAGAGCTCGGCCATCGTCTGTCCATCGAACTTGTGAACCTCCGCAACATGGTCCATCCAGGCTGCCCGACTTTCGATCATGATCACATTACCGTCTCGCCTCTGGCACTCGAAGCATGCAAAAGATCCCTGAAAAAGATCCTTGTGCTCCTTGTTAAAATGTCGCGAAAAGCTGCTGCCTGGATAGAACATGTTTTCACAGACCAGGCAACGAGCAGATCTTGTTTTCGCAAGCTTTCTGCCTGGTCCCTGCTTCCGGCGGCTTTCGTTTGGCAGGCATGGCGTGAACATGATGCCGTGGCACCGCTCCACGTGATTGCTCCATTGCTCAACCCCTTCCACCATGTGCCTCCCTCTGCCCAAACGGTTGCACTCGGGGCACGGGAATGGACGGTCAAATGCCCCCTTGATATGATGGACATTCTGATTGTGCCTTGTATTCTAATGTTCCCCGTGTCTAACACTTCGGATAGGACGCAGTTGGACTTCTTCGTTCTCGCTCTAGGCTGTGGCTTGCGAAGCAGGATCCAGGGCGACCGCGCAAGAATCGACCGAACAATCTAAATATGCGAGAGTGGCTTTCAGAGTTAGGCTAGGAGGTTCGATGATGCGCCCGGACCCTGCTTAGTGATGATCTTTCTAACTTATTCAGCAGACTAGCGGCCTCAATGTCATACACATAACCGGCACGAAAGGCAAAGGCAGTACAGCTGCCTTTACAGACTCGCTCATACGTGCCCATTTCCACCGTCTGTCCCGTCCTATTAAAGTCGGCCTATACACTTCGCCCACACCTTATCACTGAGCGGGAGAGGATAAGGATCAACTTTGAGCCGCTCTCGAAAGATACGTTCGCACGCTACTTCTTCGTTGTATGGAACACATTACGCAAGAATGCCAGCGATGACGGGGACATGCCCGGGTACCTGCAACTATTAGCTTTGACGTCTGTGCATGCGTTCAGGGAGGAAGCTGTCGACGTGGCAATATACGAAGTTCACGCTGGTGGACGGAGAGATGCCACAAATATTTTCGAGCGACCTGTAGCATGCGGCCTCACCACAATTGGTATGGACCATGCCGACCTCCTTGGGGATACAATTCGAAGTATAACGTGGCACAAGAGCGGCATCATGAAGCGCGGGCAGCCGGCATATTCGGTCATTCAAGAAAAACCTGTGGCAGAGGAAGTGCTTGAGAAGGAGGCCGCCAAACTGGACTGTCCACTCGAGTTTGTGGACACATACGCACATTTACCTGACCACCCCAGATTGCGCGTGCCGGCGCAGAAGCGGAATGCATCACTGGCTATCCGGTTAGCCAATGCATATCTTGGCAGTTACAATGACGAGCTTAGTTTAGATGATATCATAACCGGCACGAGTCGGTGTAACTGGCCTGGACGGTTCCAAACTATACTGAAAGGACCTCATCATTGGGCTTTAGATGTGGCGCACAATCATCTCAGCCTTCCTGTCGCATTGGCAGTTCCGTCTGCAGGGCTTGTCAAGGGCGTGAATCGAGACAGCTATTGTCAAGGGCTGGCCCAGCGCGCGTATGAACGGAGTTGATCATGGCTGACGGGTGCTGAGAATCCAGCCAATCAACCAAGCTTTCCATTGGAGATGTTGGAGAGATGGCTGGGGACAAGTCTCAGATCGCCAGGCTCGCACGCTTTACCGGATTGAATAGCATACTCTCCGGTAAAGCGTGCGGCCAGAGCCGGGCTCTTCTAGGGGTTCGTACCAGTCTTCAACGCAAGGACAGAGAGGCACAGATGAGAGAAGAGGGCAAGCGAGTCCAGAAGTCCCCTGGAACTCAACAGCGCGAGTGCTAAACTCGCTACTCGCGTCGTACGAGACTCACCCTTGTATTGAGAGCGAGCAGTTCCCCACGCCCTCAACCGTCACAATTGAGTCGTCGTCCACGTCTACGATCAGCACACGTAGCCAGGTAGGCAAGGTAGGGGGTAGGAAGATCGCCTTAGATGGTCAGGCCGTGAAAAGTTTGTACATAGATAGGTAGGTAGGTAAGTAGTCAGTACATTTGCGAGCTCGGACGGAGCACCTCTCTCATACCATCGGGGGTGAGCAAATTTCGCAGACTTAATTGGTCTTTCGATTCATCAACCTCGGTTAGAAAACACAGTAGTGCTGCCGAGAGATGCATGGACATGCGCTTCTCCGAAGACTGGCAGACGGCCGGATCGTACGCGCTGCATCGCTGATAGGGATGGTGGCGAGAATGACGATAACCCTGCTGCTCAACCGCCCGAACTGGGTTGCCTGATCAGGTCACAGAACATGTTCTGTAACAATGTGACTGCCACTGACTGGAGCGGTGGCGAAGTTGCGAACAGAGCCGTGCAGGATGCAGGCTGGCGGCTGAGGGAAGGTCACCGTTCTTGCAATTTCTATAGCATGCTACCTCCATATGGTGTTATCAACCCTGGTACACACCCTGGTTTGTGCGGTTTGTGACCCGGTGGAGGAATATCTCGGCCCAGAGGTTAATACCACTTCGGCCACCCATCTGTCGAAACGCCTAAATTAATGTGATACCGTGGATTCGTGGCTGACAGGATTCGGTGTGCCTCTGCGAAGAGTTGGTGGCTTCGGTAAATGCGCGTGCGGAATTACGATGGTAAAAGTGATGAAGCTGCGGACACCCAGATTGCAATGTACGAGGAGGCGGGCCAAGTCAAGGTGCGTTGTCTCTCTGCTACCTAAGTGGCCAAGCTCCTTCCACATTGCAGGCTGTCAACAATCTTCAGGGAAGCTACCGATTGACCCCGCCAGCTTCTCGTCGAATTTCCTGCACAAGGCGTATGATTCCCTTGAGCCCTTTCGAGTCGGAGGTTGAGCTCAGGGGTAAGTAAACAAATGTCACGTGATGTTTGCTGCCATTCAGCTTAGCTGTCCACCGGCTCGTCGTCGCACGCTCTCGGTAGGTCGCTCTGCATTGCGTATGCGCAAGACATGGCTGGGCTTCCCTCTGCGGAAAGTAAAGATAGTCCTGGTCAATCCCTCGCTACACCCAGATTCATTTGCATTGACGATTGACCAAGGTATGTATTGAGCAACAGCCACGTCTCACGGTAATCACATAGAACATAGATTGGAGCGGACAGCAGTGAGCTGCCCAGAAACGTCGTCGCCGCGTCGCATACCGCGGCGCAGCCCGTGCGCCTGGAAGGAGATGTCAATGTCAACCTTGCGGAAGCGCTTCCCCACGCCACCCGTCCGCAGCATCCGCTCGAACACAATCAGCGTCGCCGGCGTGCCCGTGCCATCCCGCATATAACCGTTCACAACGTGGTACAGGCACCCGAGGATAATAGGGTTAGGGTTAGGGTTAGGGTTAGGGTTAGGGTTAGGGTTAGGGTTAGGGTTAGGGTTAGGGTTA